AAATGAAACAGGCAACTGAACAAATGAATAATCACTGGCCCTTGTGGTACTGTAAGGACCCTCTGACACTGTAATATGGATCTGCAAATCAAACTAAATATTGTGCATAGATGCCAATTGGTCTAAATCTTTTCCACTTTTAGAAGCTTTTTCAAGGAAATTGCCCTTTGGGATTGGTTGATCTGCATCCCAACGCTAATTATGTAGACTTTTCGGCTGCTTCACTAATATGATATGAATCCAGGAATCTGCTTTCTTTGCTTCGCTTCTAGATAGGAAAAATGTGAATGGCACACTCGGGCAGCTTCCCAAGAAGCAAGAGAATGATTTGTACTTCGGAAGGCACTGTCAGTCTGAAGGTAATTGCAATACGCATTTCAGCTGATTTTGCATTTTCCTCAAAACATTTTAAAGGGCACAGAGGAAAACAGTGAAATAATTTGTCAAGGCCTCTGGTGGGGAGGGCTGACTCTTCCCCAAGGGAAAGATATGCACTTTAAATAAAGTGGAAAGTTGAAGCAAGGAACAGCATGGCTTCTATTAAATGCTTCCTGTAGCTGACATGTAGCAGAAGACCCTCATGCAAGCAGCTTGTTGCTGTTTTGATCCTGGCAGAAGATTAGTATGCCTGCTATTTGACATGTATTTCCGATGAACTGTATGCTAGGTGCTTTGTAGAAAACAGAAGTAGCAAAGCCTTCTAACAGGAAACCCACATTGGGGGAAGGGGGGAAAGAAATATAAATCCCCATCCTGTCTCAGTAGCAGAGCAAGTGCTTTGTATTCAGAAGGTTCCAAGTTCCTTCCTTGGCATTTTCAGGTAGGGCCAGGAGAGACTCCTGCCTGAAATCGTGGATAGGCATTGCCAGTCAGAGTAGACAGTACTGAGCTACATGTACCCGTGGTCTGACTTGGTATAGGACTGCTTCCTGTCTTTCTAGCCTAAATATTTTTTGTTTAGATGTAAATCTCATTGATATCTGTGCAGCTTAATTCTTGTGCCAGAAGTAGTCTAGTCATGCTGGCCACATGACCCAGAAAGCTGTCCGTGGACAAACACCAGCTCCCTTGACCTGAAAGCAAGATGAGCACCGCACCCCATAGTCATCTTTGACTGGACTTAACCATCCAGGGGTCCTTTACCTTTACCTACTAGAGACAAAATCATGTGGGGTTGGGGGTGGGGAAGAAGACTTGTGTACAGCATTTTAGACTAGACTCGGACTGGATACACACACAAAAAATTAAAGCACATTATTTCCCCAAGGAATCCTGGGAGCTGTAATTTATTCCTACAGAGCAACAATTCCTCGTCGCTTAACAAACTAGGGCTGGATCTAGGCACATCAAAAAGGTGTTACAGGAAAACGCATTGTACACTTTATTATGGGAAATCATGTTGGCAAAAGACGGGACTCGACAGCACCTTCTGATGTCACGGTGTTATAACACATATAAAATGCTTTTCCTTTACTAATGTTGACATAAGGTTCTTCAAATGCATGGTGTGTATGCAGGCTTAAAGTATATTTTCACTATGGTTTGCCAACACTGCGGTGGGTCCTATCAGTCTGATTTTACACAGCACTATGGACACACCAGTACGTGAATGGAGTTTCCAAGGAAAGGTACCGACATACAGGGGAAGTGAGCCAGGAAGCTGTGGCCAAGCACAGCTATAAATATTTTTTTACATATCTACCACCTTAACCACTGGTGCGCCTGCTACCTTTCCACTTTGAATAAAGGAGCCAATATGAAAGACTAGTTATCATGGCACTTGAGGGTAGTACATAATAGCTTGAGGAGCAGCTATCTCTATGCAGTCCTTTCAGAATTCTGGTCTACTCAGTTTAGATAAGAGAGTTGACACAAGAACATGGCAACTTTTATGTTATGCCTTATCAAAAAGCCTGTTTGTTTTTAGAATTCACTGAATCAGGGTAAGTTGCCTCTCTATTTCCTTCCTTCTTTCTCCTTACTTGTCCCTCCTTTCTAAAGGCAATTGGGTGTGAGGATTAAGTGATTGACCCCACAGAAACTAGACCCTGATGAATCAAAGCACTAAACCACAGGCTTAACTTTAAGCACCTTAAAGCCATAGATTTCAAATAGGCTATTCATGAGCCTATCTTATCTTTTAGCTTTTCTTTAACCATTTCATTTCCCTTGGCACACCATGAGGGTCTTGTCCCAGTTTGTAGTACAGTTTACTTCTCCCATCATAGTTTTGAATAATCCTACAGAGAGTTCCTACGTTGCCAGATGGCCTGGTTGCTTGGGTTCATTTTAGGATCTGCACATTGACTTTGTCTTGCTATGCAGTATTTCCTGCACAGTTTACAGCAGGAAAAGGCGCATGGAGAGACATAAAGGCATAAGGAGATGTTGCAGCAGCAAGAGTGGAGGGTTTTGCGCATGGTCCTGGCTTACAAGCATATGATACCGTGTATAGTTCAATATTTTCTGTGCTGATTAGCAGTGATCTTGCAGACTTTTGTGCACTTATAGCACAATAAAATCGGATCTGTGCTGAAGCTCAGTAGGTCTGGTTAAAGCTGAAATAAAAAACCAAGTCGAAACCCATCTCTACTGCTTTGAGTTCCATGATGAAAGGAAAGTGGGATACAAATGTTATTATTATTATTATTATTATTATTGCAAAGGGAATACACAAAGCTTTGTTCCCCAGGATGATGATACTGCAGATTTAAAGTAACATTTTGGTAACACCATCGTATTTCCCAAAAGAATAATAATACCAACTGTTGCTGACATTAACAATTTGAGGGAACGTAACTTACATTTTCCAGAAAAGTAGACTGATTTGATATACTACTAAAACAATTGTGGTAATCTAAATGCTCATGTGCATGCAAATTCCATTTACATTAATGAGCTGTTTGCAAGTGAAAAGGTTTAGGATCGAGGTGTGAAATCTCTAACTAGATTTTGGTTGAAATACATCATCCAACTTCACCTAATACAAACTAAAGGAGTTGGATTTTTTTAAAAAAATGATCATGCCATATAAAAGAATTTAGAAAATAAATGAAGACAAAAGTAGACTTCCTTATTATCGTTGGCATCAATCTGTCTCAAGAGAATGGAGTGCATCTCCAGGGTGCAGCCAAACCTCTGGAGAATCACAGTGCCTGCTGTGGCTGCAGAGGCTGGTAACTCATAACTGCTGCCTCCTGCAATGTTTTTGCTGTGTTAGCAGCACCAAAGTGACCTATCTGGGCACAAACGTAGGCAATTTGTATGGGGTTCCTGGGCTGCCCAGACAACAAGTCTCTCTTATCATCCTTACTGATGTGGTCCAAAGAAAAATGAGCAATATGTTTGGTGGAAGAAGCATACAAGACGGCATCCATCCCTCTTAGGAACTCCACTCTGGATTTGTGTAGGGTTTACTCCTTAGCCTTTTCTTCTCCCAAATAGGTCCCACAAGGCAGCGGGTATGGATTTTTCCTCTGGGTTTCCTCCCAAAGTCTTTCTCGTGAATGAATATATCTGTAAGGCAGCAGAGGTTTAGGATCAGAGTCTTCCTTGAGTTGGATGAACTACATTCCCAGGTTGACGAGCCCCAACCTGGCAGGTGGAGTAACTGCCTTCTTGACCAGTGGACACACTAATGGTCTTGTCTGCTCAATCTGCCGGAGCCTGTCTTCACATGCAGGAGAAGTCCCTAACTCACTGAGGTTTTAAGACTCATCGGCTACCCTCACCTAGTTATCAAAGCTGTTTGATGGGGTGTGGCCACTGTCACATGCTGACAGTTTCTAGGAGCCACAGGTGAAAACTGAGTGCAGGGTAGGGAACAAAGGTGGACAAAGTACCCCAGAAGGAGCACAATGTGTATCCCACAAGAGGTACTACCCATCCCTAAACACCTATACATAGTAATAGTATAGAAATGTTCTTTATTAATTCGAGACAAAAATGTAAGGTAACACTTCCCCTTTACTATAAATTTCTGATCAGTTTTAGCCAGATGCAATGAAAGAGGCACAGAGTTATTATTTGTTTATTTCATCTACAGTGACATCTATTTCATTCCTAAGCACAATTCAAACACCTGACTACATATTGATAAGCCTTCGGCATTTCCTACCTCTGCTTAGGACTGTAAAATTAGGAAGTGGGTTATTAAGGATGTAGCAAATCACAATACATGGATGGCTGTTGGAATTCTGCTTCAAGGCTCACAATTTTGTAGGCTTTGCCTAGAGCTAGCTAGTAAACAGATCAAAAGTCTAATGCTAACCAAGTTTGTTCAGATGCATGCAAGTACTTCCATTGAAATATGTTTGGGACTTCTACTTTAGTGATCCACAAATTAGGCATGAATGAGTTTAAGTCCAAGTATACCAGCTTAAGTAGCTGATGAATCATAGTGGTGAGCTTTAGAAAGACTGGGGCAGTAAAGATGTTCCACTATGGAAAGCAGCATGGAAGTAAAAACAAAAACAAAAACCTTCACAAGAACTTTGCTGAATGAAAATCTTGATTTCAAACAGTAAAAACTCATTATTATGATTAGAGAAAATTTTCAAAGTGCTTCCCGTGCGTGTGTGTGTGTGTGTGTGTGTGTGTATGAATGAAAGACAATATGTGTTTATCCTATAGTCAAAGAACATAAATATTCTGACCTCCTAGGTGTCTGGTGTACTCTAAGTTTCCCCATCACCACAGCTATTTTAAATGTCTACAGCATACCAAGAGGCAATGAATATTTTTAAAGCTGACAAGATGTTATAAGGGAAGGGAAGAAGCCCATAGAACACAGGAAATAAGATTGAAAGCTTTTAAAAAGAAACAACAACTCCAATTTTCCTACTGTGGTAAAAAAATATCTCTGCATTTCCTACCACGTTTCTGTTATATTTGTATATGTTACTCATTCTATTTTCAATGAAAATGTATTGCAAAAACTTTAATTAGGTTCTTCGTGATAATAATCTTTGTACTTTTCTAATTCCCACCTCCGGACAGAAATGAATGAAGATTTTCTTATCGGAGAAAGGTTTCATTTACTACAAGGAACAAGAATAGAGGAAACTACATGTCAGGTAACTCTGAAACTCTGAAACTGTAGCAGAACTTGGGCAATAGAAATACCTGCCTGAAGTTCTTTCTAGATTGGGTTGCAAAATGGATCCCATGTGTCTGTAGGCTTGGCTGGATTTTTTTTTTTATCAGCCTGCTCTCTGACTAAGGACTGCTAATGGAATCCCTCCCACAACATTCCCGTTGAGCCACCCTGGCACCCTGCTTGGAGGGTCATGCATAATTTTTATTGCGTACTCAAACAAATGGGCCTGCCAAATCATTAAAGTTGGTGGTTCTCTTTTGGTCTGTGGTGGTTGAGCAAATCATGCTGGCCATGTTTCTAAGCTTTTATAATAGATGCTCATTCACACAATCCACATTAGTCAGATCATGAGCTTCCTGGTGGTCACAAGCACTCCGACAGGTTAGGGGAAGAGCTGTAAGTCAGTGGTAGAACATCTGATACAGAAGACCAAGTTTCAATCCCTGGCATTTCCAAGTAGGTCTAGGAGAGGACCTTCTCTAGAGATCCACTGCCAATTAGTGTAGACAACACTGAGCTAGATGAACGTACAGGGCAGCCTTGTACGTTCTTGCCAACCTCCTGGACCAGATATGTATCTCCTGTAATTGCTTCACTTAAGGAGAAAATAATCTCATGTGGGAAGCAAGGGTATTTAGAGTAATTTTTTAATTTTTCCACTCTTTTAAATAAATGCGGCCAGGAAACTGCTTCAAGACAGGTTCCTATGAATGTGTCACAATCACACTAGGTTTGTGTATCTGGTGAACTAAGTAAAGAATGAAAGTTTGAATATCTCCCTTGATTTGTTTTTATTCAATGGGTTATTCTTTTTCTTTTATATGACCCATAAGGGTTTAATGCTTTGTAGCACACGCAAACACATAACTATGCTGCCATTAAATTAGTATTGTGAAATTTTATTTGGCACAGACCTATCCTAAGTGCTTTGATCAATCTAGCCAGCTCCAGTTTGGTGTATGTGTCCAGAATGTTTCTCAATTTTTATAAACATATACTGTGTCTCCAGGCACTTGTCTTCAAGAGACTACATTAATTAACCCACTAGTATGAGCAATTAAAGAAGCCTGACCCTTGGGCTTGTGCATAATAATTTAAAGCTAATTAATGATTCATCAGTTGCTGAACACTGAAGAACTAGAAGACACAGCAGAAATAGGTGTTCCTAATGATGCTGTTGTTATTGATATCCGTGAACAAATTAAAAGGAACCAAAGGGGGTTCACTTATCAATGGGCAAGCAGGTTGCTACACAATTATATCTCTCAACCAGTGTGTTACAACTTGTGGTTGGTTTGGAATGAGACAAACCACAAACCTAGGTTTGCATATAATGCTAAGCCAAACCATGGCTTAGCTCCTGATGATGTGGAAGAAGCAGCTCTGAGGGAGAAGAAAAGTGGCCATAATTTTCTAAATGCAAACCAGGACATTTATTCATTTATACTAGGCCATTAGTGTTACATGTGAACTAGGCCATTATGTCATTGAGAAGCAATTCAAGATGCTGTAAGTCAGCCTGGGAGAGCTATGGCCCCCAAGGGTAGCATCTATATTATTTTATGAATGAAGTTTGAGTCCCAACATTAATTTTGGCTTGCTTCTTCTTCTTGGACAGTTCTTACTTGACAACAGAGAACTATGTGGGGGGCCTCACAGCCAAAAAACTGATTTAAAAAAATCTACCTCATTGGTATTATTGATACCTGTTATTTTAAATGCATTCTGCATAGCCCAATTGCTTTCATGATATATCTACATGGTGCTGTTGCAATTCCTGTTGTTGACATTTTGTTTACCCTTTTGTGGCCAAGGTAATGACATTTGAACAGTGGATTCCACCTCAAAACCATGTCCCAAGTGCATCCAGTGATACAGTAAGAGAGATTCCACAATTTATATTCCTTTTTCGTTTTGGCTGAATTATACATTGGCTGCAGTGTTTTGAAAAGCCTTCTTCGGCTTTTCAACATTATAGAAGCAAAACCTTTTAGACCTATGTCTTTGTGCCCTCACACTGATTTGCCAGCCAGAGTTGAGTGTGCCTCAATAGTATGTGTGCCTGTGGAGATTTTAGGAGATCAGGTTGCCCCCATTTCGCCTTATCTACAAGGACTCTGATAAGAAAAAAGTTTAGTAAAAATTTGTGCTAGTTGAATGCTGATCAATGTAGCTAACTGGTAGCATCAGGACAACTAAGATAATGCAGTGTTAGATTATGGAGAGAAAGATGGAGAGCTGAATTAAGCCTAGAAGCCCCATACCTGACACTCCCCAATTTTGACCAAAACACAGCCCTGCACCCTTCTAGATGAATGAAGAACCAGGCAGAAAATCAGGCAGAGGGCCTTCTCAGTAGTGGTGCCTGTACTGTGGAACACCCTTCCATCAGATGTCAAGGAAATAAACAACTATCCGACTTTTAGAAGACATGTGAAGGCAGCCCTGTTTAGGGAAGTTTTAATGTTTAATGTTTTATTATGATTTTAATATTCTGTTGGGAGCTGCCCAGAGTGGCTGGGGAAACCCAGTCAGACAGACGGGGTATAAATATATTATTATTATTATTATTATTATTATTATTATTATTATTATGGCAGCACAGGGGCTGCCATGAAAGATCAGTATGCCCCATTTGCTTCCCTGTACTTCTCTCCACTAAGGTGAAGTACAAACAATGAAGTCTTAAAGTATATTCTCCATAACTGTGTGCTTTCTGGCACTATTCAGGTTAGGAATATAGAAAGGGGCCTTATTCCAGACCACACTATCTGCCTTTCTGGCTCAAGACTGACCAGCAGCTCTTCCAAATCTCAGACCATGAGTAAATGATATCCGTATGGGTTTAGCATAGATCATATATTGTATGATTGTGACCCATTCATATAGGCACATGCTTGAGTGACTCAAAAGAAAGACAGGAATAGGTTTATTTGTCCCAGATATAAATATACTTAATTTTTATTCATTCATTTTCATATGCAACCTCCCTCCTTCCTGTTCAAGTAGTTGATATTTCCCCTACCCCCACATAGCAGTGTGATGCTCTGAAACTGTTTCAGATCCTGTTTCTGATAAGTTGCTGTGGTCATGAAGCCCCAGAACATTTGGTGCTTATCCTTAATCAAAGCAAAAAAGAAAACTCCAAAGCTTTCATTACCACAGTTTGCATCAGTAAAATATAACTACTGCATTTATTGTTCTGCTTACATGACTTTTGCTAACATAAAACTCTCCCCCTCTCCACAGTAACTGCTTTTAAAACAAAGAGGATTACACTTCATCCATTAGCAAAATTGTTTGAGTAGATTATATTCCCATTTTACTTTGAGATGCTCAACCATCCACCCCTCAAATAAAATACAAGTTCAGACCTCGGTTATTCTCAGTTAATAATTAGAGTTGGACACGTTGCCTGCTAAACAATCCGCTTGACTTGGGTAGGTTTGCTTCTGGCTAAAATGCGATGATTTCTGTGTTGTCAGCTAAGAAGCCATTTCACTGATAATTATCCCCATTGCTTTTTGGTGGAGTGGTACCCACCAAAGTACTGCACAGTGGCTTGAATCTATTTGCTGCATGAACAGATGGAACATCCATTAATGGCAGGACTCCAGCTGCTCAGGAAAGGACCCCTTCTGCATTTAAGTCTCATTCTGTGAATGGAATGGCATTATAATCTCAAGCGTGTCTGACCCAACCAAGTGGCTTTGATATTTTAAATGAACATGCAACTTCCCCCAGATGCAGACTTTTGCATCTCTTGTTAAGATGACTGTGAATGAAATTAGATTTTCTATTCCAATTCCACACACTCAAACATAACTTGAGTTGCGTCAACATGCACCAGCTGAGGATGGCATCAAATAAAATTAAATCCAATGCAAAACTATAGACTGCTTTTTATCTTTCAAATAGAGTTCTGATGAAAAGTTCTCAGATATGTAAAATCATTTTTATATTTCAGGGGGTCACGCTTGGTTCAGCATATTCAGTAATGTTATATTGCATCTCAGGATCCTATTATTTTGTAATCTCTTCTCCATTATATTTTCCCTATTCTACAAACCTGCCAGTTCCTCATATGATTTGTGTACTCTGAAATCTATGGTTAGGTTGAAGAACCATTTGTTTCAGAACTCTTCCATTAGCTTACTCAAAAATGTAGTGTATTACATATTTATTCTAGTAAATTATCATATTCCTAGCGTAAGGTACTCTGTGAAAATACCCTTTACCAGCCTAGTAATGGTATTCCACACATTTGTAACAGAAATGTTGTTGTTGTTGTTTAGTCGTGTCCGACTCTTCGTGACCCCATGGACCAGAGCATGCCAGGCACATGCCTGTTGTCTTTGTCCATGGAGTTTTCTTGGCAGGGATACTGGAGTGCTTGCTGGTTCCTACTCCAGGTAGATCATGTTTGGTCAAAACTCTCCACTATGACCTGTCCGTCTTGGGTGGCCCTGCACGGCATAGCTCATAGCTTCTCTGAGTTATTCAAGCCCCTTCGCTACAGCAAGGCAATGATCCATGAAGGAGTGTAACAGAAATACTAGTACTTAAAGGGACTACAATCCAACGGTTGATAAGCACAAAATAGCTGCCAAATGGAAACACGTTAGTTGCCCTATAACCTGAGTTATTGAATCATTAAAAAAAAACAGAAACAGAGAATTCATAAAATACAATCACATGTATACTTAAAAAAACACAAAAAAACCCAGCAGCCTAAACCTGGTTCCAGAGCACCGAAATAACGTAACAGAGCAAAAACACATCCATCCTAACCACCATAGAAACAGACTCCAAAGTGTAACGATCAATGTTTTAAGTATTAAGGTAAAGTCAAGGGAGAATAAAGAAGACTTTCCTTGATGCCAGCAAAATATTAATGAATGTGCTAGGCAAGCTTTGCTGGGGAGAATGTTCAATAACTAGGAGGCCACCATGAAAAAGGCCCTCTCCTTTCTTGCCCTCCCTCTGAACTTCAGGTTTAGGAGACACTCATAGAAGGGTCTCTGTAGATTACCTGAGGGTTCAGGGAAGGGTATATATGAGAAAAGGCAATACGTTAGATACTGCTGGTCCCAAGCAGTGCAGGATGTTATAGCTTAAACCAAACAATATGAGTTGGACCTAGAAACAGCTTGGGAACAGACTTGGTGCACAAACTTCCTTCATACCTTTTGAAGGAGTGAGTTTTATGACAATAGAGGATGTGTTCACATTACTGCTTACTGTGGCTCCAGTGTGCTCCTACCACTGTTTTTTAAAGCCAGGTTCACATGACATTAGCCACACTCCATCTGCATCCTGTAGCTTTTAGAAAAATACTCCTCTTTGATTAGCTTTTTCTCAAACCAGCTTTCCGTTGCGTGTGAACAGTTCATGGTTCCATCGTGGTGTGAACAGTTCAGGCTGCTTTTGTGCATGTGCAAATGAAAGCCTCGCTGACCTGCAGTTTGGTGCATGCAAATAAATAACTGGTTGAAGATATTTCCAGTTCTACTCTGCTATGAACAGCAGTGGAAAAAGCTACTTGAAAATGCAGCAAGAGGAAATGATCTTGCAGTGTTTTAAGCCACTAATGCAAACATAACCACAAAAAAGAAAAATTCACCTCACCAGTGTCAAACTGCTGCACCACAAATGGTTTAGTGTAGCACTAATGGCTATGTGCCAAGTGGTTCTGTATAACAGCCTTTACTATCTGAATTATTGCAAAAACAGCTTGTCTGGTTTGGATTTGAGATCTATTTGCAGGCATAAACAGAGAACCAATAGGACATTCCCACCCATTCTTTTTCCTATTCTATGGAAGATAGGCCTACTGGTAGCAAAAATCAATATAGCCAGTTCTGAACCAATACACCTCTGGCCACCAAATCCTAAGAACTCAAAAGTAGAGAAATAGGCATTGCCATCATACCTTGCTTCTGCACTGCTATGTCTAGCAGCTGTCAATAAGTAACAATGAATGAGTCTCACACGGCATAGCACTTCTTATGTTCTTATATACAGTGAAATACTACAAGTTCCATAATCACAGCTAGTGCATCCTTACATATTTTCCTTTCTTTTTCTTTCACAAAGAAAGAAGCTCACAAGTTACAGTATATACTTGTGGTAGATTTAATTAATATTTTTGTAGCATCTTTGAGAACACTTCAGAGTCACTTTGTAGCTTGTAAAGAAATTACACTGTATTTCTTTGCTTCTTGGGAGAGAGGTTGCTATTAATTTTTGAAGGCCAAAGGCTGACTATCTCCACCGTAACTTCTGTCTTCTTTCAAAGCCACATACTGCTTGTAACCTGAGAAGAGGTAGTGCAGTCAATCCAGGAACACTATTATTGAGGGATCTTCAGACACATGAGAAAGACTCCTGTCTGCTGCTAGTTAGTGTAGACAATATTTGATTAGGTCAACTAGTAGTCGGATGCAGTAGAAACTATGATGTTTGGAAAGCCAGGAAAATGTGCATAGAACAAAGACTCATGGAAATTCAACCTTTTCCATGAGACTATTTTTCAAGTTGTCCTTCAAGCAATCATGCCACTATTGCATCAGTCAGCTGGCTGATTTAATTAATATTTTTTGTAGCACCTTTGAGAACACCTCAGAGTCACTTTGGAGCTTGCAAAAAAAAAAAAAATACACTGTATTTCTTTGCTTCTTGGGAGAGAGGGAAACAAAAATTTCAATGTGTTTTGACCATATGTTTCTTTTCTACTCTAGGTTGCAGAATCTGATGAAAATAAAGCTGAAACCGTGGGAACTTTAAAACGGTTGCAGAAATTAGTGCAAACTAAGAAAGCCAGTATACACAGTTTGGATGACATCAAACATGTTTTGATACCTCTCAGTAAGTAAAGGGACACCTTTTGAGTCTATATATGCTTGCGCTTATTTCAGTTTTCTATGTAGGTTCAGAAAATGAGTACCAAAGTAGGTAAATTATGCAGAAAAATATTATTCCCTCATTTATTTAAATTAAATATGTCCTGGGGAGACTATAGTGTCTCCTGAGTAAGCTGAAAAAATCTATGAATTGTGAGATCAGTGGGAGGTTAGAGACTTCCTTGCTTCAACAGAATGTCTGCAAACTGGTTCAGACAATACCTCAAGAGTTAATGCAGCTCATCATGTGAAACATGCGCACTATCCCCACCTCTGCTGGCTTCACTCACCCATGTGGGGATAGACCATTCAAATGTGGCCATCTCTGCATAAAATCTTAGGTGCGTAGGTCATAATTGTGGGGTCGGTTTCCTAGATCAACTCTTACAAATATCCTGTACTTTATACCAAGTGTGTGTTAGTAGTTCCACAAGTTTGGTACAGAATTGCCTGCATCCCAATATTTCTATGTATCTTTGGGGATGGGTGGGAAGATAAAACACTGTTTCAAACCACAGTTTCATTTATTTATTTTTAAACTTTTTAAAGAACCACCGCCACAAGATGTATATGTCTCCGAAGATGAGGATGAAGCTCCAACATCATGTATGAAATTAAGCAAATCCCAGGACAAGAAAGTATTGAGAGAGAATACAAGGCGAAAGGATGAAGCTGAGACGAGAACAGGCCTTCTATCAACTTCCTTGGGCAGATCTTATACTTCCAGACTAAGCAACTTAGGAAATATTTCCATCCGTTCAGAAACTGAATTTCAACTCTGGAGTGATTGGAAACCTTTTCCTGATAACCAGCTGTGCCCCTGTGATTTCCTGATTACAAGGATAGAGGAGTGGGAAAAATGTACTTGTTGCTCTCACCAGCCCCGTCTTACTTCCTCTCTCACGGACGTTGATCTCCCAGATTCATGGGTAAGTTGCTCTCCTCCCAAATATTTAACTCAGCTATAAAGACTTGTTGGGTTACGTCTGGCAGTTATTCTAGTCTACCTGTGACATGGCTGAAGCATCCAAAAGAATGGTGATAGAAAAATCCTGAAAGACAAATCTGATCCAAACCTGACGTTGCCTTTATTCATTCCCATAACTGTCGTGACAGATGATCCCAGTCACCTGCTCATTATAGTCTTGTCAAATTGTTAAGTAGTGCTAATATGTCTGTAGCAACTGTAGGTTTATGAAGGTTAGGTTCTGATGGTTCAGAATTTGTTCTGGAGGACCTACCCTTGTCTCAATTCAAAATGGATTCACACATCAGAGAAGGTTTGGGGGGGGGAGAGAGGGATTGAAAGGTTCATAGATTTCTCTCCTGGCTTGAATTATCATCACATGCATTGATAATGCTGTGCATATACCCATTATCATATTGACCCTTAGGAAATTGTTGTTAGTTTTAGCTACATCCACAACATAGCACTTGAAATTCAACTAGATCTGGATGGGCAACATTAACAATGTTAAATTTCTGCAAGAAAGAATAATAAGAATTAATTTACCACCAAACAAAAGTCTACTTGGTTAGATAATCTGGTCACATTATTCACAGCAAACAACAAACGCTTAGTCAGGGCAGATGGCTTTGGGTACACACATGACACATGCAGAATGTCATTTTACATTTTGAGACACAGGATAACTTCTAGAGAGAATAGTGTTCAATTTTTGTTACACCTGAGCATTATGAGATGGACAAATTTGGATTTTGAACTGGATATTATTATTGTTTTATTAATAATATTTATTTGTTGTTGTTTTTTCAGAAAAATGACTCAAACATCAATGTAAAAACAAACATTAAAACTAAGTATAAGAATACAACTACAAAGCTCTTAGATTTCAGTATCAAAAGTGAAATCTGTTTATATTTGTGTCATTCCACCTTAGTATTCAGAATAAGGAGATCATAACATCTATTAAAGAGAAGTGGTTTTTGTCTCAGTATTTTGAAGAAAACGACCTGTTAAATCACTATCCTTTCTCATCCAGCAAAACCTTGCCTGTTGTGTGGGATGTGTTATTTGACTTCTTTCAAGGTTGGCACTTAAAATACTCTTAAGAATATGGTTCCATACTCTTGCTCCTGCTTCCTTCACTAATCTAGCCTGACAACCAATATTACTTACTGTTCCAGGCCCTTTACACTCACAACCTGTTTTTCCACCTTAGATTTTGCTAAGAGCTCACATGTATCTAAACCCAGACCGCCACAGAAGTTTAATTCTTTAAGTATATTAAGCTTAGTTTTGCATCCATGTTTAAATCATACCAGCACTTGAATATGACACTGATGCAATTGGGCTGACTGACAGACAAAAGACAGCCACAGTTGTCTTTGGTAAGGTACAAGTACGGAATAGGAACCGAAACAAAGATATTAAAAATGTAGGGAATATAAAAAATCCACTCCACTTCTCTTCCTGGTTCAATTTTTTGCCAGCTTAAGCTCCCTTGCTTAAGCAAATTTTACGTAAACAGGCCTGGTCAGACCAGGACAATGAGATTCTTTGCAAACTAGAAGACTGGCATGCCCCACTTCACACTGATGCCCAACACGTGATACAGGCTTGGAGAACATTGCTATCTACAGCAAACTATGAAAATTGTACTTTAAAAATAAATGAAAAGTTTGAATGTGCCACTCAAATTGTATATGAGGCAAAATAGTGGCAATTCAGCAGTATGACACTGACATGAAGAAATAAATTCAGTTTGAACTGATGGCCCTGGCAGAAAACAGCTTATTGATAGCGGACTCTGCTTTAGCATTAATCAGAATACATATTTGTTGATCTTGATTTTAATCAGAGATAGAAAGACAGATAACATCACGTTTGCAGCTTGAAAGGTCATCCACTACATGCTGCTTGCTCTTGGAGCTGCTTTGTAAAACAAAGGTTTAGCAGACCTCACCCTATGTGTCTGAAATATAGTCTGTTGATAATGTTGCAAATCCTCTGACTAAAGTGTGTTCGGTTTTTCTTCTTGTCAACTCCAAAATGGCTCTCCTTCTTTCAGCTTTGTACAGATCTTTCTAATTTAAAGCTTCATTAGAATGAATTGGTAGCCCCAGCATCTCCAGTTAACATAGAAGGGCAGGGAAAGGCCTGTCTCACATCTTACATCTTGGAGAGCAAATGCCAATCCTCTAGTCTGACTTGGTATGAGGCAGTGTGAGATGTTCAGATCATACCAGTTTCTATAGTACAAAAGGAAGCAATGGAGCCTTTAGCTGATTTTTTGACTTGGGAAAGGTGAATGTAATTACTTTGATTATGGTGCCCATTCTTCCCCTTTTAAAGTCATCATTGTTAACTTCTCTGCTCTCTGATAATGATGCATTGTGGACACATTTACACATGAATATATATTACACGGTGATGTCACTTGATAACTTTCACCTGAACCATCAGTGAACTGAGTCTGCTGTGAAGTTCTATCCGTTAAATGATGTACAGTAATTTGCATATTCTGTGTTGTGTGTCTGATAAGCCTTCTCATATTTTCAACATATCATTTAATGTTAGTCATTGAGAAGTAAGAACATAGTTATGGACTTGCCTTCATGTTGTTTGCTATGCTTATGGCATGTTAATTAATGAGAGCCAGTGTGGTGTAGTAGTTAGAGTGTCAGACTAGGACCTGGGAGACTAAGGTTCAAATCCCCACTCCGCCATGAAGCTCACTGGGTGACCTTGGGCCAGTCACCGCCCCTCAGCTGAACCTACCTCACAGAGTTGTTGTGGAGATTAAATGATGAGGGAGAGAACTGTTGAACCCTTTAGAGGAAATGATGGAATATAAATTGAACAAATAAACAAATCCTTGAGTGCTAGAAAGGTGATTGGGAAGTTTGTTGATGAATCTGGTTATCTGGATACATTTGAGTCAGTTTTGGCACCAAATCAGCCTTGGTCAACCTGATGATTGGTAGAGGACAAGTGGAGTACCTGATCTCTCAGTGGCTTTTGATACTATCAGCCATGGTAGTTTCCTGCACAGGATCTGTGAGATGGGTGTCAGAGGCACTGTTTTACAGGAGTTATGATCCTACATGCCCTGTCAGTTCCAAAGAGTGGCACTGGTGAATGCTCATTGGCCCCTTGGTGTTTGTGCTATGGGGTGCAAAAGGAGACTGTTTTGTCCCTGGTGCTATTTAACATCTTTATGAAGCAACTGGGAGCAATCATTAGGGGATATGGAGCAAAATGCCATCAGTGTGTTGATGACGCACAGTTCTACTTATCTGTAATATCAGAGGTAGATTTAGGGGAGTGCGACTGGTTTGGCTGCATCAAACATGGAGCCTTGGGGGCACTGCAGGGGGTGACACAGCCATGATGTAGAATGGAGGGTGAGAGGCGGCGGGCACCAAATTTTGGTGCCACACAGGGCACTGCTGAAATTTGAGACCCCCATGGTCCGCCACTAGTAACATCTTGAATAGGACTGGGTGTGCAGACTCTGGACTAGTGTCTTGCCAATGCTGTGGACTGGACAAGGACTAATAAACTGAGTTTAAATGCTGGTAAGCATAGGGGCCACCTCCTAGGGGCTGAGATCCCTTTGGCCACCCCCACCCCTCAGTTGATGGGGATTGCCATTCAAATGATGTGTGTGCACCACATCTTGACATTGATTATGTGAGGTGGGCCTTACCTGCCCCCCCCCCATATTTTATTCAAGCTGGTACCCCTACTGACAATATAGAGGCCCTGTGGGGCCTTATGTTTGAGAGACAGGTCAGGTATCTCCTTTTCTTCTGCCAGTGGGGAGCTTTTGTGCCTTCTATGAGTAGAAGGAGGCCTTCATTTGTGAAACAGTCAATCTTGATCCAACCCATCCAGTTTTATAATAAACCTACTAAAAGTCCCATTGGCAGCTAATTTCTTTATCTATGATGCATCACTTGTAAATGCTAATGGGCTACAGAAAATGGAAGAGATCCATTTTACCTTGAATATATGTTCTGATCTTACACACTGAGTTTTCACTACTATTAACTACAGTATGTTTTTATAATATGGTCAGTCATATGCATGAACAACCCTGCATGTAACATTATCAAATGTGATGTTCCAGGTATTACTATCAAGTCATTTCTTACATGGGATTGCAGGAATTTTGTAACCTGTAACATACACAACTAATTGTGGTTTACTAAAAAGGACTGATCTGAGGTATTCAGGTGCCATTTATAACCATCCCTAATAGTGTGTGTGTGTTTCACATGCTCTCTGTTCACCTGTCCCTCTTTATGATCAATGTTGTGCAATGCATTCTTCATATTAGACCATTTGAAAATTAAAAAGATAAAACTCTCAGACTACATTAACTTTCCAGGCATTAAAATTCATTCAAGATTCGAGCTTAACTCAATTATGTGCTTGTAATGTTACGAGTGTCAGTCTTTTGCTCTGTTTGGTATTTTCAACAACTAGTGCAGAGGTCAAACTTTCAAGGACAAGGAGATAATCAGGTCAGCCTTCAACCTGCTGTAATTTTTCTGATGCATGGAGAGAGGAAATAGATATGGGTGGGCACTATATCTCCTGAAATGGCCTCTTTCTACCCGTTTAACGATAAATATTCTAGCAAAGGGAAGCTCATATATTACTCTACATATGAATTCTCTTTTTATTAATCACACAGATTTTAACAGTAGGCAGAAAAGGAATTAATGTTTGAATTATCAAGGTGGTTTGATTCCCTCCTAAAGGTTTATTTGGTGCTTTAAAGGTTGGAACAATGGCCAAGAGTATAACAAATGAATTTATAATTGCATGAACTTGGGTTCAATGTGCATTTCCAAATGATATGATAAATGCATTATTAGGTGTGTTGTGTTCTTGTTGCATTTATTCTCCAATAGTTTCATGTGAGTTTGGTCAGGTCTATGATGGCATTTCAGCTGCCATTACCAGACATATGAGGATGAGAGATATTTTACCCTTCCAACAATTTTATTATTGACTCTATTGCAAGAATACAAGATAGATTTAAGCATGTGAAACTACTCAAAATCTCATGAAAAAATTGATGAGAGAGTGAAACCTGAACATGAATTTCTGAAATGCTAGAATGGCTTTTAATAAATATAGGGTCTAATCCATAGGGAGCTTCTCCTACAATACTGTATCAAAATTAATGGACTCATGATTTAGCTCCTGCCCTGCATAGACCAAAAGAAGGCTGGATTGTGCCCATAAATGCACTTTTCTTATTCAATTGTTTAGAAGGTTTAAAAGAAAATAGTTATGAGGATACCTTATAAATACTCATCATGTTTGTAATCTTTCTTTGTTAGCTAGTCAACCCAATTTGATCAACCCATCCTGACATGATATTGCCTCCTCAGATTTGCATAAATATATACAGTGACCAGAATAACAAAATTAAATGATAACTCATCTGAAGGGTAATATATAAGCTTCAAGCTTTCTTTCTCCGGAATATTTATTGTTAACTCCAGAAAGACAGAGGCCATTTCAAAAGATATAGTACTTATCCATTATTTCTTATTCATGCATCAAATTTTACAAGGGCGGAGGGAGAGGGTATATAATTGAAGGTTAAAATATTATCTTAGCAACTGTTGATATGTGTTTGGGTCTTTTGACAAAGTTTTGATTTGTTTTTAATCCATGAAGCACTGTGCTAAGAGCTGAGCAGTACACCACACACACACACACACACACACACACACACAAACACACACAAACACACACACCTTACTGGTTTCATATATAAGACTATAGAGATATAATCTAGGAGGGCGCAATGACCACAAGAGTAGGTTCACACTCCTGTTTGGTGTTTTGGAAAGTGGCCCATTTTAGTTTGTGCTGCTTTGCCTTAGATTGATTTGTTGTTGTTGTTTAGTCGTGTCCAACTCTTCGTGACCCCATGGACCAGAGCACGCCAGGCACTCCTGTCTTCCACTGCCTCCCGCAGTTTGGTCAGACGTCCCGCAGTTTGGTCAGACAGTTTGATATCAGCACCTTAATTGATATCAGCACCTTAATTTTGAAAATCTGAAGCTCTGTGCCGCTTTATTGACTTGCATCAACAAATGACTATAGCTCTGTCTCTCATACACACTTTTTTTTGACAGAAGTGAATGAAATTTGTAGGTATAGCAGGCCCTTCTATATAAAGTCTTCCAAAACTCCAGACAAATAGGTCCAAGTTATATTTTTGTTGTTTGGTGCTGGCTGATGTTGAAGTTTAACCTTTTTAAAAAAGAGAGAAAATCCTCTATGACTGTTTAAATTCCATGTTAGTTCTACTGGATCCAACTTTTACTCAAATAACTTGTAAAACTGAGGAATGTGCATGCACACATGCATGTTTTTTCTCTATTTGGGGAGGAGAGATTAGCAGGAAAATAGGCAACAAGTGTGGGTGGTGCCCACGGTACTCTCAGAATTCCAAATGGGTCCCAAAAGACCACTATGCTATTCTGTATAAGCTAAAATGCACCACTTTCCAAAACAAAAAACATCCTTGTGGTCATTGCACCCTCCTAGATTTTATATCTCTAGAGTCTTATATATAAACCAGTGAGGTAGGGGTGTGTGTTTATTACTCTAAAAACCAGTTGGCTAGAAGTACCAGGAGTAAAGCTGATTTTCATCTCGTTGATATCAAATGATCTAAACTACTTCACACCAAGTGTAGGCTGCTAATAACAAATATGATTCCATTTCTGGCCAGGATGACAACCTAGGGAGGATTTTGTTTTTTAGGGATAAGATTGTTTGGCACATTTAGATGTTTTTTGTAGGAATATGCCCTGGAGCAATGGTTGCAAAAGAGTCATGAGCCTAGCTTCCTATGCACTTCTGAAAACCTACTCTAAAGAAAACATGTAAGAATATAAGAAGAGCCCTGCTGGATCAGACCAAGGTCATCTATCAAACAAAAGTAGTTCCTCTAGTGCAGTTCCTCTGTTGCCCACGGTGGCCAACCAGATGTTCCTGGGAATTGCACAAGGAGGCAATAGCAGTCTCTGCTTGTTTCCCTGCAACTGGTAATGCTGCAGGAGAATGGATATAAATTGTTTGTTACCCACCCTCATTAGAACATCACATACTAGGCAGTGTTTGTTCTTTTACACTTCAGCTCACTATATTTTTAATTTGTTTTGAGAGGGATGTGCCAGAAGATCATGGTTGCTGTGGTGCTTCCTAGTATGGTTGTAACACTGAAAGAAGAGAATAATAATAATCCTGCTGTTTGGGATGTTATAAATTGTTGACAAAGCTATAGAAGACTGCAGGGGGTTGAGCATCCCTGACTTGTTCACCCTTCCACACAAGGCTGCTAGTATGGAAACAGTGCATCAAGCATCGTTTCTGTAGAAGCTGCCGTGAAAGAAATGTGGGGAAGAAGCTGAAGGAGCAGCGCTTGCTGAGTTATACCCAGAGCCTCTCTCTCTCTTTCTTCTTCTCATTTTGTCTTCCTTCCTCTATCTTCAGTATTTCAACCAGTCCTAGCAGAAAGCTGAGTGAAGTCACATCCTTAGCAGAATAAGGAAGTCTTATTTTGCTGATTTGAGCTCTGTGTATCATTCACACTGCTGCACTTTGGCTGAGCAAATCGAGCAACTCTGCCTTATAATGGTATTTTGATTCAATCTGAATGTTAAGATGTTGAAGAGAAAACCTTCGAATGCTTCAGATAAGGAAAAAACTCAAAAGCCAAAGGTAAGAGAATTTAGCATTTAAGAAGGAATTACATTTAGATGGAAAAACCCAAGCTGTGGTGCTCAAAATAATCTGTTATATAGTACCAAATTACAAGTTTTTGATATTCACAGCCCAGAGTTCACTGGGACTGAGGGCAGCTGGACAATGTTCATTTCTGGAGGGGGGTGGGTGGGTTTTTTTTTTTTTTTTGGTGAGGGTAATTTCACACAAACAGGCCCTCCCATGAAAATGAGGTGGCAAAGACCCTCTCTTCCAGGAGTAGATGTTACAGGTTTCAGACCTAAGTACCAAGCAAGCAGAGGTGTCCTTGAAATCGTCTTCAACATGCTGCCCTGAGTAATTCCCAGATTTAGGTAAGCAAATTCAAAATGAGAATTTTACAAAGGTCCCACTTAAAAGAGAAGGCCACCACCCTCAGAGGGAGTTGCACAAGTCCAAGTCTTGGTAACTGTATGCAGCCCTCATTCCCAGTCCAGTGAGGGACCTTGATTCTAAGTTATTTTTAGTTTAAAAATATGAAAGTAGCTCCTTCAGAAGTGTCATCGCCACAGTTCTACTTCTTTAATTGTGAAATGACCCTACAGGGGTCTTAGGACTAGTACTGACAAAAAGTAATGGGCATTTTATCCACAAGGATGTGTGCTCAGTTACATGACTGTGTTCAGAAACTTTGTAAATTGCTGTGTGAGGAAGTTGTCTGGGAACTAGCCATGGCTTAGACAGGAGTATCACTATGATTCCATAATTGTTGCAGATGCTTGTTTCTGTGAACCAATAATTTTGTTTTTCTATCTTTAGTGAACTTTTTAGTTTAACAGTCAGTTGTACTTTGCTGCAAGTGTTTTTATAGTAAAGCCTAACAATGGCAGAATGTGAATGCATTTTATTTGAAGTAGCAGACGTTTGTTATTTTGGTACCCCTTTGCCTTCAGGTATAATATAATTGATCCCTCGAGAATGTTTATTGTTCAGTTCTTCATTGTTTTGGCTGCCTGTGTTTTACATTTACATTCAGAGGCAAAGATAACATATAGAAAGATATATACAGATATACCGTTATAGCTAAGACATTGAATGCATACATTTTAATTCTAAGTCGAAATTCCAATCCCACTGATGTCAGAGTTGGACATGGTAGAGTTAGATTTTTCCCATAGGAACATAAATAGCAAACTTTGGATATTTTGTTCCCAGGTTAGGACATTCAAGTAGCAAAGAGGAGCAGAGGAGAGTCTTGCCAAGAGCACAAGACAACCAAATTATTATTTTCTGCCCTTGCATTTTTATTTCTCTTCCCTCCCTTTATTTTTGGCAAAAAAAATTGCTGCATTAGTGTGAAATCATTACTTGTGAAAGGAATTGGGGAGGGGGAATATTTTGGGTTCAAAATGAATTTTCACAGTTAGATCCACTTTTTCCATTTTTTGGTAATTTATTTTTGATGGCCTTTATATCTAGCATAAAAATATTACTGGTACATCTGTTCTGACGACTGGATTGAATAATACAGATTTTCATTTTTGAAAAAAACAAAGGGTTTTGGTTGGGTCAACAAGATATTGTTTATGGATGGATTCATATTTTTTCCTATCTGGTACTCTAAGCTTTCTGTGACTGTTATTGTGTGTATGTGAATTGTAGGTGTTTGTATAAAAATGTTAATGTTTTATATGAATTTCAGATGGTATAATGTATTTAGTTTCCATTTTTAAAAACACAGTTCACTTGGAAATCTTTAAGGTATCAAGTGACTAATAAATCTTATTACAAATAAGAGTATAAGACAAGGTGCTGATATTACAGCTGTAATCTGCTGTATTGCTGTAAATATTTTAATTAATTTCAAGTGGTTCAGTGAGTAAAATTTTTCGACACACATAAAACCTTTAAGTTCATGCAGTAAGTATGAACTTCCTGAGCTTCCTAAGACTGATCCTCTGATGATAAAGGGATTTTCCCAGATTGAATTACACTTTCTGCCACTTTCTGGGGAAAGAATGGATGAACTTGTACTATCAACAGTAATCTTGAACAAGTCAATATTTTCTGGGAAGATAGAATCGATAACACAATCCTCTTTTCACTGATTTAAAAGCTGATTAGGATTGTAATAAAATGGATGAATTAATAATTGGCATAAATAAGTTATTTAATCTTATATGTTTAATGATGGGCAATGGCCACCATTGGGCAGTTGCTGAGCCAACAGCACTCCAGCTGTTTCTCCTGAGGCCCCTGACTATTCCTGTCAGTTGGCAATCAGAACTATGTGTACCACCTTCTAACTAGATCTGCTGACCTTGGGCACCCTGAAAGACAGTATCCCATTGTCAATGTTGAAATAAGATTCAACTGCCAGCCTGGTTGGATTCTATGGATGGAAAGGGGGAAGGGATGTGATCTCGTCTTTTGCCTCAGGTAGCTGACTCTGATGGTTGCTAAGCAAGGAGGTATGATCACACTACTGGAGAGACTTTCTCTCCTTCAACTTTGTTTATTTTAGATTAATACTGTAAACTATCATACAAATGTTTTTATGTAGAAGGTAGTGGTATGAATTGATTTTTATAAAAACACATTTTCCCACACTTGGTGAATGGAATTGCAATAGTAAACCAGCCCCTACCCCCGCCCCGCCCCAATGCCTCACCTTAAAAATATATACCTTTATTCTTTAGTGGCTTTCACAGTCTCCAGTAAACTTCACCAAACAGTTGCCCATCATCGGGGGCGGAGTTGCGTTTGAAACAGCTCCATTCTACAGCTATAATGTATTGACCCCTTGCAGAGGGCTGATAGGTCCAGAAATTAAATCTGGCCCCTGACGGCCACAACATTCAGTGAGAAAGAAAATATTGTCATGGACGCATTGCTTCTTAAGCCTTTCTGCAGGCTGGGGAAAGATGGTAATTTTAAAAAGCCTTACATGGCTCCTTTGAGAGGAGACATGCCTCCAGACACTTCAGAAGTACATAGTATTGCCACACTTTCACAATCATTCCGTCATCTAGAGTGGCTGTGTTCTGCGTTATGACTGCTCATTGAAAGTCTCTAGATGACTGGCTTTCTACAAGTTTAGAACTACTATGTGCAACACTAAATGGCCACTCCTCAGCATATTCCCCCTTCTAGTGAACCACCACTGTGGCTCACCAATGTTTGTACCCACCACCACCCATTTTCTCTACAATATTTTACTGATACCTTTTTATTATCTTAATCAATTTAATTTCATGGGAAGGAAATGACGAAATAAATGACGAATGTACCACAGGGTAGTACATTTATCTGTTATTTTGATATGATATATATTTTGATAATGTTTAATGCAATGGGGACGCGGGTGGCGCTGTGGGTAAAACCTCAGTGCCTAGGACTTGCTGATCGTAAGGTCGGCGGTTCGAATCCCCGCGGCGGGGTGAGCTCCCGTCGTTCAGTCCCAGCTCCTGCCCACCTAGCAGTTCAAAAGCACCCCTAAGTGCAAGTAGATAAATAGGGACCGCTTTATAGCGGGAAGGTAAACGGCGTTTCCGTGTGCTGCGCTGGTGCTGGCTCGCCATAGCAGCTTCGTCACGCTGGCCACGTGACCCGGAAGTGTCTTCGGACAGCGTTGGCTCCCGGCCTCTTGAGCGAGATGAGCGCGCAACCCTAGAGTCGGTCACGACTGGCCCGTACGGGGGGGGGGGGGGGTACCTTTAATGCAAAAGCATAGTGGTGCTAAGCCAGTGTGTCTTCCACACATTTTATACTGATTTTCACTATGTGTTTAAAAGTAGGGAACAGTGGGGAAAACCTAACTAAAATCAATTCTGCATTCGTCATACTGAATTTTGCAATTCCCCTCTAAAGAAGATTGTTACCAAACTAACCATATGGTTGGGAAACATTTAAAACATGCACCTATAGTTGCAAAGGAACTGGCAGGATTTCACAATGAACTTCCTTGCGTGCCTTCCTGGATGGTCAGGCATTGCATTCTACAAAAACTAGTAACAGTCATGCTTAGTATTTTCAATATTTATCTAGCAACCATTTATTTTTCTTTTAAAATGAGCTTCAGTATAAACGAGAATCCCCTATTCACTTCAGTGGGTAAACTGAGCAGCTACACACAGATACTCAGTGTCTCTCAGAGATGCATTTTTTAGGTCAGCATACACACACTATCATCTACATATTGCTGGTATAGCATGTTTTTGGTGTTCTGAAAGCACCTTTCTGTAGAACAGTTATAAGCCATCTTACATCTTACATTTCCTTGTGTGGAAAGTAAGAATGCCATATGGGAACCTCCTCTTGGGGAGAGTTTTGTGACATTGTTGGACTGCACTTGTGTAGATACTCCCCCACATCCTTCCATGAAGATATTAACCTGAGAGGTACCTGAGCCATTTGGTGTTGGGATTACTTTGAAGATAATCAATTGGTTTTGTAAAAAAATCCCCAAGTATATTGGTATATTTTAGTCTTCAGAGAATTGCATAGGCTTCACTAATGTTTTGCTATTTGAAAGGAGGGGGCGGAAACAGCCTCCATTAAGTGTTTATGCTCTTTAAAAGGACAGATGGAAACAGCCACCATTAACTCTTTCTCATCTGCACACAAACACAATTGCGAAGGGGCTGGCTTCTGCCATGGTATTTATTGTGTGGTGTTGCTTTTTAAGTAATCACTCCAGTTTATCGAAACTTCAATCAACTTAGTGTTGTAACCACTAAAAACTTTTCCACCAAGAGCCATTTATCTGATGCTTATGGTAGCAGTTTGATAGATATGAAGTGCATCCGTTTTGTGCATTGCCCTTGGACAAAACACAGCTGTATGGTGATATTTTAAAAACCACCATGACTCTAATGGAATTAACTGGTATAAAAGGGAACAGATATATTGGAAGCCTGAAGTGCCAGAGGGTCTATGAAGTGCCTTTTTTTTTTTTTTTTTTTTGCATTCCTTGTTGAACAAATCAAACTGTGTGATGTTCCAGGCCTGTCTGGTGCTAGGGCAGGAACACTCTGAGCACAATGCCAAAAGTAAAAAAGATACGTAGTTGCTTGTGTGGCACAACTGAAGGAAGCCTCTGGGCAAACACTGAGTGCAGTATAACTGTATGTGTAGCCTGTGTTACTGGACTTTTGGCATCTCAATAAACCTATAAGCATTTTTCATAGAGTACAGTGTGCATTGAACAGGGAGGGAGCAAAGAAATTGATGTGCTAGAGGGTCTATGACCTCTGCGTGGCAACTGCTCATGTTGTCTGCACAGCATGCAGGTGTGGACACCTGCAAAACAATGTCTGCAAAAGCGCTTTTAGAAAAAACCTCAAACTGCAGGGCTTACAGGCTAATGTGCACACAGAGACACACTTCACACAGTAGCATGTAAAGAGCTGCTCCCTTCATTCCTAAAAGCAGGGAAGTGGTAGCCGGTGGAGAATTCTATTCTCCTACAAATGGAAAAAGCTGCTTGATGAGGATGAATGAGTTTAACTTTGTCCAGGAATGGATGGAGGATGGGGCACAACCACAATCAAAATTGCTGGAATCTAAGGGCTGATTTACTTGATTTTTGTACATTTCAGTTTCAGACAGGATCCTGATTGCATAAACTGACTCAAAAACTGTATTTTAAGTTCTATCCATGGTGACTCATTCACACGTGCAGGTCATTACTTCCTGTTGCAGTTCTCAAATCATGAGCATATGCTAGTGAACAAAGTTTTAAGTGCATTGCAACTCTGTGGGTTAAACCACAAAGCCTAGGACTTGCAGATCAGAAGGTCGCGGCTTGAATCCCCACAACGGGGTGAGCTCCCATTGCTCGGTCCTTGCTCCTGCCAACCTAGCAGTTCGAAAGCACATCAAAGTGCAAATAAATAAATAGGTACCACTCCGGCGGGAAGGTAAACGGCGTCTCCTTGCGTTGCTCTGGTTCGCCAGAAGCGGCTTAGTCATGCTGGCCACATAACCCGGAAGCTGTACACTGGCTCACTCGGCCAATAAAGTGAGATGAGCGCCACAACCCCAGAGTTGGCCACGACTGGACCTAATGGTCAGGGGTCCCTTTACCTTTACCTTTACTGCCTAACTGCCCCATTTTTACCAGGACATTCCTGGAATTACAGAAGCTGCAGAGCACCTTGGGTGGCTGACCGCTGCCACCTACCACAACATGCACGAAAAAGGGCCGCAGCTTCGTTATGTACAGTGCCACTTCTAGAAGTAAATCAGTGTGTGGTGGTGGCGGTGAGCCCCTGGGCACACAGCTGAGTGGTGGTGCAGTGTGGCATGCAGTAGTGGGCATGCGCACACACAAGCCACTAAGGTGGCGTATGTGCAAGCGGTGGCGCGATGGGGGGCGGGCTAGCAGACAAGCAGTGGCGGCAGTGGGATGGGGGGGTACAAACCAGCAACTGGTGGTGGCGGTGGGATGGTGTGGGGGAGCATGCAAGTCAGCAAGCAGCAACAGGAAGTTAGTGCAGCGAAAGGGGGAGAATGTCCCAATTTTTTCTTAGGAGGTGGTGGAGCAATTCAGTGGTTTGTTATTTTATTTTTAAAAATGAAACAAAATTGTGCTTATGGATCAGATAGATTCTTCATAAATTTCCTATGTTGTTCTCCTGTTTAACCGTGGATACAATGAATTCCAAAATAGCAGATACAAAAATAAAAGTTACTGTCATGCCAAACATTCATTATTCAAAATATAATTGTGGGTTTTAAAGACCAAGATATGCAACGTGGAGACTATATACCATTAATGAATATTAACCAGGGTTAAGCTTTCTAATGTTATTTCAAAGGCATTTAGGAGATTCAGATTTAAAACAGAAAAGTTTAGATTTCATAAAGAAATTGAGCCCATAATTAATCAGCTACTCATATCATTGTAGCTGGTTTCTACAACCTATTTGGCAGTCACATTCCTCCCCCCCCCCCATTTGCATTTATTCCTACAATAATGAGAGGTGATGAGCTGATGATAAAGCTACATTTTTCTGGCTTCCAACTGTGTAAATTTATGCTTAGAGGCAGAGATGGCACATAGGTCTGTCATCAAAGGTCTTTAGTACAATCCTCCAAGAAGACTGTCAAGGTATTTGCAAGTTCTGCAAAACAGCCACAAACAGATAACATCTGGGTATGATGATTTTTGCTGGAAATACCTGTAAGCATTATCGGATGACACCCACATGCATAGAAACTTGTCTTCATATTCAGTTAAAAAAAGAACTTCGGGTGACATTACAGATAAGGTTTTCCTGTTTCCTGCAGGCCTTGTAAATTAAACTGGGTCAGAGCTAACATCGGCTGCTTCATCATCACACAAGTGTGTGTGGGGGGGTGTCCATTAGTCAAAGTTTCTGCAGCCAACAATACTACTTATTTTCTTGTATTCTGTGTAGACAGTTGAGCCAAAACAATCCCCTAGAAAACTTTGTTTACCGTGGTAGCTCCTATTTATTTCAGTGAGGCCTGCAGAGGATAGCTTCTTAATGGTTTCCTGTTCATGATTGCTTGTTGATGTTTTTAATTTTTTAATTTTTTCACTGAGATGTTCCTTGTTTTAAATTTACATGTTTCTTCAGTTGTGTTCATATATCATAACATTCTCATTTTAAGATTTATTTATTTATTTAACACTAAAGACGATTTCAGAAGTTGTAATACAGGTGACAAAAGACAATTTTAAATCATGTTAAAATATATTGTTGTGATGGTAGTTTAGGTCCAGTTAGCTAATATGTCACCCTGTGATTGTAGAGATTCAAAATCATAATGAATTGTGCCATCATCAGTTCCACTATTATATTCCCAAAAGGTGAATGGGATTTTAAGGTTCATTTTGGTTTTCGTGTTGCATTTCCAGAGCTCGCTGTCCCCCATCTAAGATTGTGCTACATGTATGTCAGGCATCATTTTTTTAAAAAAATAAGTGCAGCAAGAGGATGTGGTTGAAGGTTTTTTTAATGGTGACAGAAAACTTCCAGTAATCCAAACCAGATGGTTCTAATCTACTAACCTCATTTTTTAAAATAAATAAAAATGATTATGATACTCAGACAGAATTTACCCTATTCTGCATGGCAGATTTTTCTGAGGGTTGCTGCACTAGATCACTGTACATAATGTGAATGTGTGTGAGCTTAATTAGATAAAATATCTGCTTATCTAATTTGAAAAATATCTGAGATTCAGAACAAGGAGCAACAATTTAGAGAAAAATATCACTTCAAAGGAAAGAGGGCAGAAGAGTTGTGAGCCATGCCCCTGACGCTGCTTTGTCCACATCTTTGGATGTTAGGCTATTGTGAGTACAGAATTTGCCTGCCTACTCACTTAGGTGACTGCATAATTTGCTCTTTTACAGTGTAAATGCATTGGTAAAGTGGCTAGTCTTTTTACAGATGTTGTTCAACTGGGATCAACTTGCCGAGGCATTAATTGATAAGAACTCAAGCTCTTATTAATTGATGTACTTTTTAAGAATAAGTATATCTACTGCTTTTCCAACATCAAAGTGCTTTTCAGCAACAGAGAAGTGAATAAAAATAATAGAATAGATACCAAGAATAAACTCAACAAAAATATAACTCAGTCAAAAACACTCTCTATGAGAAAGTCCCAAGGCCAGATGTTTTTACAGTCTGTGTGTGCGTGTGTAAAATAAGTTCTGTGTGGGATTCACCTAGCAAATCCTGTCAGTGGAAGCCCTCTGCAAAGGGCTTCTCCTCCTCGCCTCCCCTGCATGCCCCCCAAGTGGCTTGCAGGGGTCAGGAGAACCCCCTCTGAACAGCTCATGGGGAAAGGGAAGGGGAATTCTCCTGTCTGATATGCCTGCATAGATGGAATGTTTGTAATAGTGCAATGTTCAGTTCAACCCAGTGTCATTTAAACTGTAGGAGAGATTACAGAGCCCACATGGATATCCTATGAGTGATATCCACCATTAGTCAAGCTTACGAGCATAGATTTCATTAAGTCTGCTCCCAGTATGACTTAATTGGACACCCAATGTATCCAGGCCATCTGCATACTGAACCCATGTCACTTGAATAACCTATACAGTACATTTGGTTCCATTCCTGCTCTAAAAAAATGTGGTGGTGGGCCAAACATGGAGCTGCTTCAGTACTGGGGTTTTGATTACACTTTGCTCTTTCTTTTCTGCATCTAAGTCAGCAGGTTTCAGTTTTTAACATCTGTCAAACAGCTACTCAGCTGGTCCTAGTTATTTGTAAACTTCAGTGCGCTGGATCAACCTTGCATTTACTTTACATTTAAAAAGTCCTTTTACAGATTTACAGTCCGCTATATAAATGAACTGGAGACAGGGCAATCCAATAATATTTGAAATAAATTTTCCTCACTTTGCACTCAAAGGTGAAACCTCTGTGGAATTGACTACACAAAGTCCTTCACTCTATATTTTTCTTCCTTATTAACCTGCTGCCTGCAACATCAGCCATTTGTGCTCATTGAGCTTACAAACCTTCTCCTCCAAAAATCCTAAGAAAAGATTTACTTATTTTTATTTATTTAGGATTACATGATATGGCATATTTGCTGTGCATAAAGCTGTCATTGGCTTTTAAAAAAATAAAAAGTTTAGGTTCAAAAACCTGGTGGGTTGGGGGCTGCTTGGGCATGAGGTTGTTTATAAGCCCTGCTATATTCACTGCAGCACTCAACCTCAGGTGATATAAAGCATGCAAAAAAGAACTTTCTGTCAGTTTTATTATTTCTAAAAAGGTTCCCCTTGAAGGAGAAGAGTGACCTTGTTCTGCTGAGCTGACATGTGCCATTGAATTAATGGCTGAGCTTCGCTTTAGGGAAGCTTGCAGAAACATTACAACTCTCGTGGCTGAGTTTGCTGTGCACATTAATCAGGTAAACCAAAATGATGCATCAAACACTCATTTAAAAGTAGTAAAATTCCTCCCTCCCCTCCATATTCCTTTTTTTTATAAAAAAAAATCTTCCTAAGAATTAGTGTACAGTTGGTCATTGCTTATGGTCAAGGGCACTGCTGGATGGATACAGTAAAACATAGCTGAGGGGACTGAAACTTTTCTTAATCTCCAGCTACTAAGGAAGCTCAAGAAGGAAGTTAGATATAATAAGGACAGGTTAGGACCTGCATTTAATACAAACCTTATCTCCTAGAACATATTTGCTCTAATTCTCATGACCATAACATTATTTGACATTATGATTCATAACAATGTGGTAGCAACATTGATAAAAAAGGAACGAAAGAGTTTGATCACACTTCCAGTGAAGACAACAGGGAGTTTATCATTCATTTAATGGAGGCCATGATCAATGGCTTCAGGCAAGACAAACAGTTTCTCCCATTGACAGTGATTTTTGTAATAGTCTGTTAATGAGATTTATGAAGTATTTAATAGTGCTTAAGGGTCCAATGCACCTTTTATTTTTCCTGCGTCATTTTGTGGTGGTCGTTAACTGAACGTAGTGCTCTTCTGGAGCTCCCAAAACTAAAGTTGTGATAGACATGTCCACAAAACAGATTTAAAGCAGATTGTGCCTGTACACACACACACCTGTAATGAAGAAAGCATTCATCTAGAGCTTTCCCAAATTGTGGATCTCAACATAGTTGAACATCCCCATTTTTCAAATTTTTCAAATTTAATGACCAATAATCACATAGCATGGGGCAAAGAAGGTAAATGCCATCACAAAGTTGAAAGCCTTAGCTTAAAGAACTGAGATGCTTTCAGGAAATGGTTATTTATTATGTATGCCAATATCTGCAAAACATCTCCACAGAGACACAGCCACTAAACTTGCTAACAAAGTCAACCACAACCTGCTTTTTGAGACCAGATCAGAAGGCTGCCTTTACAAAGAGCGCATATATTATGTTGAATGCCCCAGTTCTATAATGTCAAAAAGCCCAGAATGGTTGGAAGCAGCTATGGACTAGGTGGAGTGCTTCCACAACTGCATGGCTCAGAATGGATGCATTCTGCCCCGTAATTCTTAACAAAGCAGGAAAATGCCATGCACGAATAAAAAGAAACGCCTTGTGAACAAAGCTGGATGAATATTTGAGATGTGAATAGCTCACTAAAGTCTCTCAGCAGTTATCCTAAGATACTAACCTAGTTCCAAAGGAGCACTTATGGTGATGAAACAGTTTATGGCCATATTTAAAAAAAGATTTTGCACACGGGACAAATAAAAGCCAATGTTATAAAAGCAGGTGGATGAACCTCATTCCTGTTCAGAAGACCAGCACATGATCTCCCATTTCTTTATCCTTTGTCTTAGTGGTACATGAGGCTCTGTGTTGTCTTTCCTGCAGTGCGTATTTACCATAGGTGCAATCTAATAAGCACTGATCTCATACAACCCCCATTTGTGCTCATAGAAAAGCATAACTTGGCATCTTAAGGCTGTCTACCTCACCAAATGCTAATAAGCTAGACAGATAATTCTTTAGTTAGCATAACCTAACAAAGCACAAGATACGGTTTATGGCTGTCTTGGGTCTGACTGTAAGCATTAGTTCTGTTAATATTTCCCAGTATTAAATGCTGATTATTACTCTTGAGGAATGTGATGCAGGGATTAACTCTGGCTCTCAGGAAGTCCAGTGTACTACAGACCTCCCAGAAAGGAAGAATGAAAGTTAGTGATGATTTAGACGGGGAATGGAAAATACAACAATTATAACACCTCAACCAGTAGCACATTTACACCTCCTGTCCTCTGTGCTGAAAACCTCTTCTCAAAAGTATATAGTAAAAATTAAGGGGGAAGGGAAAGAAGAACATCCTAGCAATAGTGACAGGCATACTTATATGTATATAGAGCCTTCAGTTAAGGAAAAGCAAGGTGGAAAAGCAAGCAAGAAGAAATGGGTGGCCAACGTGGTGCCATCCAGATGTTGCTTCACCACAGTTCTACAGCAAAAACTGTATTGTTTAGGCCTTTGCAATTTGATTTATTTTTTATCAGCCAGCTTTGCTGATACGCTCTTGATGCTTTTAATGATGTTCTTGTTACAGTACTTGTTCTCAAGCTGTACACTGCTTTGTTATCTCTTCTATGAAATTGTGATTTAGAAATATCTGAACAAAAAAAATAAATCCCTGATTTTTGGCTATGTTGGTTCATGGGGTATTTATGAATCAGGACCTAAGAGTTCATAGCCCTTGTGAAAGCAGAACATCCTCCAGCAACCTCAACTCCATGCGACTTACAAGAGGGAGGACACCAGAACTAGCTTTACAGGGGCTGAATTGTTGAAAACATAGCAGTGAGTTGACCAAGAAGTAAGCTTGTTCACCAGCTCTCACATTCCTCTTCTCCTGGCAAATCATCCAATCAGAAATATTTTGGTGCCCAAAGGGAACCTCCTGCGTTCTTGCTCCTTCTTAATGGGTGCATGCAAACCCTTCCCTTCCTGCAGCACATTTTATGTTCAGGGAGATTAATTTGCTTAATGTAGTCATCCTTCCAAAAGAGAATCACTTAATTTTATGGGATTCTGAATACCAGTGTCAAAATCAATGGCCCATTCTCTTCCAAGAGACTTGCATTTGCTTTAAAAGCTTTTGTAAAACTGGAAAATAAGGCTCCCACATTACACCAATGGCTTCACCGGGCAGATACTCACTGAAGCTGATGTGGCTGCTGGCACAGGCGAGCAGAAGGACTCAGGAGTCACGTACACACACACACTGCAGGCCCTCAGCTCCTCAGTGTGTTTTTCTACACTGTTGTCATGGGGTTGAATGCATTTTAAAAGGTGGCAGCTATATTGATTACTTAATGGGGAGAAAAAAGAAGTTGGGACTGAGAATTGCTGAAGTAGCCCTGCTTAATGCTCTCCTGTGCAACAAGGCCATTATCTAGAATGGTGGAAACCATCCTGCAGCTCTTATTAATGTTTAATAAGTACGGCACAACACAAAGGTACATGACAAAATAGCCCAAGGCCTCTGCTCAGATAGGATAGAAGATTGTTGTGAGCCTCGAAAGGAATAACTGATTTCCCTCAGCTCTGGCTCTTTATGAGAACAGCAACGATAAGCATTATTTCCCCTCAGCTCCTCAGTGTCTCACTATCACATCAGCACTTCAATAAACAGGGATTCATCGTAGGCATCCCGAATGCTACTGAAAGGCACTGGCTGCTAAATTTGTATCATGGCACGAGCCTGTTCCTCAATTAAACATTGTGGTGAATTGTAGCCTTCCTTCATTTATCTACAGTGCTGTGGGGCATATTCAGCAGGACTGAAAAGTCAGCAAAAGGTGTTAATCCTGCCTGATAGGCCCATAATCTTTGGTGCCGTGTGTGTTATATCACACTATTGAGATGCCTCTCACCACTTGTCAGGATATTGTTCACTGATTTAATATAGAAAATCTGTAAAGGAAATGTTAACTGTATGAATTGAGGGGGATATCTGACACCCATTTGCAAAATGTACACACACACACACACACACACACACCATATGTAATGGGTAGCAATGAAAATGCTCTGTTACCACGAATCAAATAAGGGGGCAAAGTAAACTTGATATAAAATTAGAGTAAGCCAGGAGTGGAGAAGCTTTCATAGCTCAAGGGCCACATTGACAGACTGTTTGGCGGCTACGTGCATGGGATGGCTGTGATAACCCCAGGCCTGAAACTCTCACATGCACCAGTAGTGGCTCACTAGGTGGGGCAGAGCCACTACACTAGTTTCCAGCAGATGGGGCAATGCTGCCTACCAGAAGGGAGGAGAGATGAGACAGGGAGATCAGTGTGCTACAAACACATTGGCAGAACCAATTTGGCCTTCCTGCTGGTGTGTTTGCACCATGATGACCTTCCCATTGCCCCATTTTGGGGGGTGGAGGAGGTGTTGAAAATGAATAGCAATGCAATCCTAAGCAAATTTACTCTGAAGTCATTTCCACTGTACTCAATCAGATTTTTTTTCACTAGTGAGATTGCAGCTCTAGATAAGGAATTATTCCTGAGCCTTGAGGATTAATGTGAGCTATAAAATCAAATAAACAATCAAAATAGGGTTGCAGCTAGCAAGACTGATCTTCATGTGATTGCAAACTAGTTGTCCAAATGATAATTTTATTCCATCAGTAAATTGTCGATTACTCTTTATTTTTAGTTTCAAAAGAATGTAAAAGAAATGGGACCTAACACAGGCAGTAAATTTGTGATTTATTACCAGGATTGTAATAAGATGAGGCACCTTCCAGACTGAAAATTCTCCAAGGAAGCTACTTTGTAAAGTGTACAGTTAGTGTCAACTGCATGTACATCATTCTTAGAATCACCACTGCTGAACTTGAATGCACACTTATCACTTTGCATAACGGTCAGCAATGCAAACATACCCATAATGAGACTCTTTCAGAACCAACCATCAAACCCTTGCAGAACCAAAAGGGCAATATGTAAATATAGCCAAACTACCTTTAGTACCGGGATGCGGGTGGTGCTGTGGGTTAAACCACAAAGCTTAGGACTTGCCGATCAGAAGGCCGGTGGTTCGAATCCCCGCTACGGGGTGAGTTCCCGTTGCTTGGTCCCAGCTCCTGCCAACCTAGCAGTTCGAAAGCACACCAAAGTGCAAGTAGATAATAGGTACCGCTCTGGCGGGAAGGTAAACGGCATTTCTGTGCGCTGCTCTGGTTTGCCAGAAGGGGCTTTGTCATGCTGGCCACATGACCCGGAAGCTGTACGCCGGCTCCCTCGGCCAGTAAAGTGAGATGAGCACCACAACAACCAGAGTCGGCCACAACTAGACCTAATGGTCAGGGGTCCCTTTACCTTTACCTTTAGTACATATGTTTTGTTGTTATAAAAGAAATGGAGTTAATAGAGTAGCATTCAGTAATACTGAGAGTAGACTCACTGAAACCAGTAGGGCTTAAATTAAGCATAACACTAAATCTGAATCCAACTCATTGTTCCTACCTTATCCTTTGTTGATTTGATCACAATTAAAAAACACTTTGTAGTACATTAGGAGTGTTTGGCAAACCTGCGTAGAAGATAACAAAAAGTGTGTGTCTTAAGGCAGACATTTAAAGCACATCCAATGCACATTTGAAACATGTGCCTTCCTCCCAAAGAATCCTGGGGACTGTAATCTTTCCCTCCCATAGCTATGGTTCGCAGCACCTCTAACCAACTACAGTTCCCATAATTCTTTGGGACTTGGAGTCATGTAGGTTGGGTGTGCTTTAAATGTATGGTGTGGATTTGACCTTAGTTACTTTAAAAGTCAACTGTAGCTACCTGCTCAGGGTGAGATTGATGAGTAGAGCCATCCTTTGGGACTGGACTCAGGATAAAGGTAACAACTGATAACTTCCAACTCTGCAAAGTTCCGATTGCCTCATCTATAATGTATTTGATTATCATCGCTGACCATACGTCAAATATGAATGCATAACATGTACCAACTGGAACACTCAGCAAAGTTATGAAAACTTTGTATCAGCTTACTCTAAAAATAAATAATTATGTTAGTGTGTCTATCTATATTTATTTTTTTCTTTTCATAGCGAGCAGGTAGCTTTGGGAACTTTGACCAGCGCAGACATCAGTCAGTTTCAAAGCCAGATGATTCATCTGAGGTTTGTATATTACTCAATCTAGTTATTTTACATAACAGCTCCTTAACTTCTGTACATGCAACAGAAAGCACATTGTGCAAAATACAGTGGATTTTGCACCAACTGAGTGAGCAACTGACTGCTGAATTGAGTAAAATTTGTGCAGACTTAATGATTTGATGATACAGCACACAGAACCTTGGTTTTCGGAGGGGAAAACACTCAAACAGCAAGTTGCTGTTGTTGAGAAGTTGTACATCTCATAGTCATCTATTGTCTATTGCCTGTTACATTGCTGGTAATTAGTTATACACCCACCTTCCATAGTTTTGGAGATTTACAGAGGCATGTCCAAACACAACTGGACAAGGGCCAACAAATCTTGCCTTGCCTTGTTGCCAGCCAGAGTACTATCATCATTACCCTATTCCCCCATCCAAGTACAGGGGGAAGGGCCTTCTTACATTATGTTGACTTCAAAGCTCAGCCTGGCTGTGGGGTGTGCATGAGAAAGAGCAGCCCTGACCTCTTCCACAGTGAAGCTCACCCTCATTACATTTAGTCTCAGACATTCAAAAAGTGCCGAGAAGTCTCCTGGCTCTCCAAGTATCTCTGAGGTTCAATGCAGTATCAGGGACAGTCTTTAAAATTCTCCCATGCTTCTGAAGTCAGCCTGGTACTTTTCCAGACACTGAAGAATGGCAGGGGCTGTTCTTGATTTTGTGCTCTTTCCAGAGCAAAAGATGTAGATTCTTGCCAGTGGAACTCTAACACAATTTGCCTGTAATGAACAAACTGTAATTTGGGGGCAGAAAACAATGACTTGCTACATGTATCATCAGAAAGCTTCACCAAGAGACTCCTATAAAATTTTAAACAAACTTTTTTTCTTTTTAAAAAACCCAGATATGTGAAGCAGATGCTGTAAGTGATGGTGGAGAACTGGGACATAGCAAATCACCAAATAGTGGGGGAAGCCTTGGAAAGAAGATGCGGGCCATTTCCATGACTATGAAGAAAAGGATGGGTAAAAAGTACATCAAGGCACTTTCAGAGGAGATGGTAAACATATCACTAAAATCTTTTGATCTTCTTTATCTGCTTGTGGTTTAACTTCCGGTTTTTAAGCTCTGCTGTCAAAGTTGCTTCATATTTAGCTGTGCGTGTCACTGTGTTCAGGCAACATCATAAACACTGCAGTGATATTGCAAAACTAATATGTAAAGTAATTTTCTCCAAACTTATTGAACTATGCTTAATCACGCCAATCCACTTCTTTGAGTGAAATTTTTATGTGCAACTGATTGTGCATCTTATTTCTGCAAATGAAGGCTTTGGGAACGAAGTGGGGAGAAATGTTCAGATTCTGTTGGTGGCAGTAGATTCAACACTGGAATCCACCTTAAATCTTAGGTGTTGCAATTCAAATACTTTCCCTTATTCACTCCCGTTTGGGAGTTGGAATGTTCAGATGGGGATGGGGAGATTACATCTCACACTGATTTGAATAAATAAATCAAGCAATTATTTTGTTGCAGACTTCCAATACATTAACTGAATTTTTAATAGAATTTCTGGGCTCCCATTGTACACAGTGGTATTTATCCTTGAGTAGACATGCATAGGTTTACACTTTGATGACTATGCTAGAAGTAACCCTGAGTTGCTTTTTTCTCTATTTGATATTGTGTGTTATAAAGTTTTTCTAAGTCTTTTTCACCAAAACAAAATGCCAAGTTGTTGTTGTCATTGTATTGAAAGAATGCCTCTCTTTGACTACTGTTTAAAATCACTGGAAGCCAAAAGTAGTGCATAACTCCCAAAATGGCAGGTCTCAGAATCATGCCCTGAAGAAGTTATATTCTTGATCCAAAGCTTTTTCTGCTAATCTCAGATGTGAAACAGCTGGCTGAAGTTACTTAGGGCAGAACTACACATTATTCAAAACCATGTGTAATAAAAAACCAATGGCTACTTTTCTAATGGAGGGTGGAAACAAGAGTAGATGCTTAACTCTGTCTTTGCCAGCTGCTTTTCCCTCCCTCCCCAATCAGAACCTCAACTTCTTTTTCTGCCCAAAGCTTGCACTGTGAGAGTAAAGATGTGTCTGGATCTCTGCAGTAAGAGAGATGCAGTTTGGGACAGTTGCTATTTGGAGTGGAGAAGTAGTGGGCATCCTCCTTTCCCTTTTCCACTCAAAGGGTTCCACTCAAAGCCATCAGGCTTGTGTGATATGGTCCTGTGGCCCTGCTTCTGTCATTAATTCAGTGCACATGGTACATACAATGGGGGACTCTTGATTAATATTACTTCACTTGCACTGCTGTCTTTAACCAACAGATGTTCGGGCTGAGGCTAAGCCCCTGTTCAAATTAAATGCTGAGTTGATGATAGGCATAAATAATCAGACACATCTTTTGGCACGAAGGTGTGTTCAGTGAAATAGTCTAATGATTTGTATTCTGATATTTATTTTTAAAATCCATTAATGGCCCGGGGAAGACTGTGAAAAGTAAAATGGCAAAATTTGATGAAAGTACTAAAGTAGGCTATGAAGAATTACAAAAGAATCTCAGAGCCCAAGCAGAATGGAAAACTATATGGCAGCTGAATATCCCTTAACTGAAGAAACACACCTTGGAAATATAACCCAGTTCTACATAAATATGGTTAGATACTGAATACACTATTACTGCCAAGTAAGGAAGTTTGGGAGTCACTGTGCATACTTCCTGGAAATGTCAATTCAGGCCACTGAAGTCTTGAAAAAGCAAAAAATGTTAGTGATTATTATTCAAGGTGACATAAAATAATATGCTAATTCTCTATATAAGTGAATGGTACAGTCTCTTGCAAAAAAGTGATAGCATGTGAATTGTCAAAATTGTCAGTGGTATGTTAAGTTTTTCATGTAAAGAGAGTCTAAATGAATATGATTTTTCAGTTTTAAGGGCGGGAAATCCAATAGCCACAGCACGCACAACTGTGCATAAGGCAACAAAATGTGGTGGGTGAGCAATACCACACAGGAGTGCACATAGGAGGTACCATTTCTGTATGATCTTCCATGTGAAAGTGTCCAAAAAGAAAGACATCAAGGAGAAAAATTCTAGCTAAGCACAATTCCTACAGTCTTGCAGGGAAGGTTAGGTTGGGGGGGAAACCCAGAGGGAGCATTCCACAGTGTAATCTCCCACCAGCAGGATGAATGGGTACCACTTTGGCATTGTACATCCCTCATTCTGTTATGAGGGTAGACTCAGTCTAAGTTGTTGAGACAATCATCTGCAGTTTCGTAAAAAGAGACCAGGGTTTGACCTATATTGGATACAATGGATTCTTATGGTATAGCTTTAAAATTCCTACTTTTTTTTTGCATTTTGTATATAGTTAACGGGTGGAATTTAAGAGTGCAAACGTGGTAAAAGAACTGGACTCAATAATTGACTAGATGTAAAAGAATATTACCAGAAGGCACACAGTTCTTTTTGATAGTGGCAGTGTGCACATTTGCCAATGAATCAACAAGCACCATGAATAGACTAGTAACTAGTGGGGCACTACAGGTAGGGGAAAAGGCTACCAGCCAACAACAGAAACCCTCTTGTGGGAGCAATGGATGATATTTTGCCACTGTGAGAATAGTGGACAGAATACTGGGGTAGATGGGCCATTGGCCTGATCCAGTAGGCTCTTCTTATGTTCTTAACGAGTTACAGAAAAGCTTGTATGAGTTGGTCCTAATCCAATATTAATACATTTTGGAACATAAAAATTCCCATAATGGGCATCATGGGGAAATGTGCTTCAAATCTCATCCTGTGTGTAGCTGCTTAAATCAGGCAGCTTTTGAGTCTTATCTGGGGCATCTGATCATTTAATCCCTTACTAAGCCAAAAGAAATTGCACTTTGTCATCAAGGTAATGCATCCTGCCACCCAAACATGAACTTAGAACTGCAGAACTATAGAAGTGGAAGGCACCTCAAGAGTCATCTAGTCCAACCCCCTGCAATGCAGGAATCTCTACACAGGGTCACCCATCCAATCTGAAACTATGCTGGACCCTGCTTAGCTTTGTGGATCATGTAGTGGATTAATAGTGTCATCGCTTTTGTCTTACTCACCAAACCTAATAACGTGAATGTACTGTAATCTCCCAAGGTACATGCTACCTCTCTGTCATGCTGACTTCATATGTTGCAACAATAGGGAGAAGTTGCTTCCCGGGTTCCCCTTTTCTTGTGAAGTTATCGTTGCTTAATTATTTAACTTAGACAGTGACACATAGCAAGTGGCCTCACTGTTATAATATGTTCCCATTTTAAAAATAAAGCAGTCATTACTTTAAGCACTCTGGATTAAAAAAACACCCCAAAACAAATCATAAGCAAAGGTAACCAATCCTGTTAGGACATAAGAAGAAGAAAAAACCTTCAAAATCCACAATTTGGAAATACGTTTTCTCGGGGCCAACTAAAAATGTCACAAAAGTGTGGTAAGTTTTCAAGATCTTCTAAACTCTTCCTTGGGCAAGATGTTACAAAGAGGAAGGAGTGAAGGGGACAAGGAAGAATTTAAAGTACAAAAATTCAGCTAGATGTTATAGCCGTGAGGTCAGTTTGTGGATTCAGTTCCAAAATGGAGATTGTAAGCAGAATTAGTTCCACCCAGGTGCTGCAGATAAGAGCTTCCGCACCAGGATTCTGGGATAAAGAAAAAATGGCTTCTCCCCATTTCAGAGAGATTTAAGACTGGTACCAGCTATAGCAAATTTTAGATGAACCCAAGTTTCTGTTAGAATAAATGATTCCCCCCCCCCCCTTTGCCTATTTGTTTGGTTGCTACCTACAATGACGTACTTGCAGGGCTCAAAACCACTAGGATTTTTTTAAAAAATGATGTTGCTCTGTTATGTGAAAGCTAGTAATTATAGCCTTGACATACATGTTTGTCCCTTGAATTCTGAAAAACAAAGTGATTTTCAATCTGACAGCAGTTGCCCAGAGAATGGCAGAGAGGAGTGATCACTTTTTCCAGGTGACAGGAATTGTATGTCTTCTGCCAAAATTGCCTTCATTTCAGACAGCCTTGCTTTCTTTTGAGTTACTATATATGTTTAGCAAGCTCTTTCTCTTACTCCCACCACCACCACCTACGCATGGCTTTACTAAAACCATAGCATGTGACATCTCAGCTAAAACATCTGTTCTCGCTGCCTATATCCTTCGGGGACAGGTTCAAGGTTCATGCATTGATATACAAAAGCCTGAACAACATGGGTGCAGGATACTTATATCCCATTATCACAGCTTGATCACTGAGATCATCTGCTTGAGCACTGTTAGTTGTCCCCATGTTACAGAGGCCCAGCTGACCTCAACTAGAAGTTGGCTATTTAGTGTTGCTGGTCCCATGTTGTATGTAGAATGCTCCTCTAGCAGAGATTCAGCAAATATTCTCCCTTTTGACTTTCGGCTATCTCTTGGTGACTTTTTTATGCCAACATGCCTATGCAGATGTTTAAAATGCCCCTTGATTAGCCAGATATTTTAATCACCTCTTTGTATCGCTTTAATTTTTTTTATATACTGTCATGCACCACCCTGATGCTTTGTGAGAGGGGGTATATGCATATATTTTTATAGAATTAAATAAACAAAATAACACCTTCTTCCAAGTTCTGTTTGGTCCCCATTCTGTTTTGCTGCAGGTACAATGCCAAGTCTCTTATTAAATTTAATTTTAGCACATCCACATTTCCCAGAAGAATTTGGAATTTGTGACGACTTGGTGGAACTGGTTCTGCTTAAGTACAGCAGATGATGAACTAAACAGTGTGATATCTTTTGGCTTTGATATACTGCTTCCTTAAGGGGACATATTTTATTTGACAAATGCATATGTGGGTAATGTTTCTTTATACTTACCATCTTCTCTCTCTCTTCTGCTCTAAAGAATGATGAAGGAAGAGATGATTCCTGTTCTAATCGAAACAGTGACCCTGATGGAGGGTCAGGCACTGAGAAGGCCTCCCTAAAGGCCAGCGACTCCATGGACAGCCTCTATAGTCTTAATAGTGGCCAGAGCTCATCAAGTAAGTGCCAGTTAATGATATGCTGCAGAATATATATATTTGAATGGCTAGAAACAATCTTAAGAACATAAGAGCATCAGTAGGCTTAAGTTCACCTAAGTCTGAATTGAAGCCAACGGCAATTCTTAACTTGCTTTCACGTGCATTGAATAGGGCTTTCCTGCCTTCCCTTTCTATTGGCAGCCAATCAAAATTTTCTCCTTGCGTTGGGTTGCCCTGGGAATGGTATAGGATTTGGTGCAGGTGGGTACAGATAAGAGCAAGAGCTGGTGAAAATCACCCCTGCTTCCATTAGCAAATAGAATTCAATGTGGTTGAGTTGCATCTAGTGATGGCTTGGCTTTAGTGCAACCACTTCTGCTCATAGCATCAGAGGCGCTTGGTTTTGATCCTGACCCATACTTCTTGATAAGGCAAAGGTACCATCAGATACCACCCACTGTCTTTTCCCAAACTATTTACATTTTATAATTTAACATACTAGGGTATTTACATTGTAATACCAGATTTTAGTGTTTGTATATTGCTGCAGAGTATGCAAATATCTTCACATATGTTATTTCAGTTTTTACAACAGTCCTATAAAATAGGTCACTTTTCTTATTCCCATATTACAGTTCACTAGTATTGGTTTGGCCAAAATGACTCAATGAGTTCAAATCCTAGGAAGATTTTTGCTGGGGATTTAATGACTCACAACCAACTCTTTGGGGGATGTACCCAGTGTTAGTTATACTGTTCAAATTAATGTACACAACTAACTTAGGCTCATTAATTTTGGTGGGCCTACTTTGATTAGAATTTAGTTAGATAAGTAGTCATTAAGCTACATCAGTATCCATGTTATTTAATACCAATGCATTTAAGTGAAATATTGTGAACGAAATACATTATTTATCATTGCTGACTTTGTCTTTGGTGAAAATTAATTTAGAGAGAGTCTAATTTTCCAGAAGAAATATTTGTATTACCTTTGTTTATTTATGTATTTTTTAAAAATAGACCACATTCATAAAGTCCTCTGTTCTTGCTATTGCAAGGGATAGCTAACATGCTGCATAGAACATGAAACTAAAAAGAGGCCAAATTTTCCTTTTTTAACAAAAAGTAGGAAAAGTTAACGGCACAAGCTTATAGAAGTTTACTCAAATGTAATTCCCATTCAGTGGGGATTAGTCCTTAGAAAGTGAGTTTAAGATCACACCCTGAATCTTATGTATGTCAGTAAAAAGTGTGTCCTAGGATGTGTTGCATCTGATCAACAGTACACATAAAAATTATGGATGAGGCTTGTATCTGGTGAGCAACGGTGTTTGAATGGCAAGCACTGATAGGGATTTTGTTATCATATGCTTTCACAGAGAACCTATGTAAGGTTTTATATTGTCATTCTGTCTAATAGAATTGATTAATGACACTAAATGATCCTATTTTAGTCTTTTGAGCTAAAACACCACTCCACTGTAAAACAGAATTGTTCACTGACATATCAATTCAATTTTCATTTCCTAGGTCTAGGTTAACCATATTTCCAAAGCGACATGGCTTTTGTTCATTTAAGTGCTTAAATGCAGGGTAATATTCTGCAGGTGCTACTTCTAACTCTTAACTGCAATGGTGAGTTTATACAGATAACATATCTTACCCAAACCTGATCTCTCCTACGCAGGATAGTCAGGCTGTCTCAGGTTTTTTTATTATTTAAAGATTTGTATGCCCACCAAACACAAGCCTATGGAGCAGCTAACAACATTGTGTAAAAGAACTGCAAAGCCAATATAAAATGGATAGCTACTCAAATTACACATGTAAATAACACATCCCATACACAACCTGCAGCCGCAAAACTAAAAAGTTGCCCATCAGATTTTAGATACTTATGTTAATACCAGCTCATATGAACAAAGTCCACTGGAATAAGATGGTCTAGAGAAGGGCTTCCCCAAGTTGGGTCTCCAGCTGTTTTGGACTACAATTCCCATCATCCCTGACCACTGGTCCTGCTAGCTAGGGATGATGGGAGTTGTAGTCCAAAAACAGCTGGAGACCCACCTTTGGGGAAACCTGGTCTATAGATAAAAACTGAGCTTGCATGGTGGGCCTTTTGAGGGAGGAAGTTTAAAATGAAGATGCCACTGCAGCAAAGCCCATTACAAAGATGGACATTTAGATGCCTATATATGTATTGTGGGGCTCGTATGGACAAAGTTCTCTTCTAAGTGAAGATGGCCCAATCATTTTAGTTTCTTCATCTCTCCTGTAGGGGCATACCACATGGTAAGTAGCATTTTACCAGATATCAAATGCTAAGATGTGGTATAGTCGGATGGGAAAAACTGTACTGGTGGAACTTTTGTTTCCCTCAGAGATCTTCAAAGTACAGAAGCTATGTCCCTCTAGGAATGTGGTCACTATGTTTAGGCCTCAACTCTAGTTTTCCTATGTCAACGTGATACGGAAAATGGTATGTTGCATTCCAAGCCATCTATGCAAGAACAAACTCTCTAACAATTTTTGCATGTGAGAGAGACCGAAAATGGAATATAAGTTGCCTCTTGGGTTTCTTTTACAGTGGTACCTCGGGTTAAGAACTTAATTCATTCTGGAGGTCCGTTCTTAACCTGAAACTGTTCTTAACCTGAGGTACCACTTTAGCTAATGGGGGCTCCCGCTGCCGCAACGCTGCCGCCGTGCAATTTCTGTTCTCATCCTGGGGCAAAGTTCTTAACCCGAGGTACTATTTCTGAGTTAGTGGAGTCTGTAACCTGAAGTGTTTGTAACCCGAGCTACCACTGTACACTCATGTTGCAAAGAAGAATGAAGGCATATCTACCGGAACATAGGAAACCACTTTATACTGAGTCAGACCACTGCCCCATCTAGTTCAGTATTGTCGGACTGTCAGACAATACTGTCAGACTCGCTAGAATTTCAGGCAGAGTTCTCTCCTAGCCCAAACTGGAGATGCCAGGGATTGAACCTGGAACCTTCTGGTGCAAAGCAGATGCTCCACCACAGAGCTACAGTTCTATTTCTCCCCTGTTTCCAGTGGCCACCCTCAACTCCTGCCAGCTGTCAGAAAGAATCAGAAGTCCTGCTTGCTTCAGCAGGAGGAGCATAGGGTGAGCGAAGACTAAAGATGGCGTTCAATTAAGTTTTACTCAGAGCAGTTCTATTGACAGTAATGGACATAAATTAGTCATGTTCATTAATTTAAATGCATCTACTCTGAGTAAAATGTAGGTGAATACCACCCAATGACTGCATAACATTTTGAGGGTGCGGTGCTGCTTTTAAATTATCATGACCTAGCAACCGTATTTATTCCTCCCCCATGTATAGCTAAGCAAGCACATCAAGTGAACCAATTTTTGTGTTCCATTATCTGTTTTGTCGTGGGAGAATTCAAGATGCTGCTGTTATCTAAAGCATATTTGAATGGAATATTTCTGTGCTTTCTCAAATGTGCTGATGCAGGTTTCTTCAGATGACAAAATGACAGAAATCTTGAGAGTAAAACTTTTTTCTCTCCAGTGTGCAATTCTTTTGAAGTTCTGTACTTTGCGTATTCTAAGACATCACCTGTAAAATGTTATCCCTGTTTGTCTGAATAAAGAGGTAACAGTCAGCAGATGATTATTCTACATCGTATATGAAAAACACACAGTATTAGTTTTGGGCCATTTTATTTCAGTGAGCCCTGAGTAAAATCTAGGCTCTAGACTTCACTCTATTGATGGAGATTTTGACCATTTTAATTGCATTTCCATTGTTTCAGAATTTTGAGAACCAAATAGTCTATCTCTTAGCACTTTGTCACAATTAAGTATTACCCTGCAGCATATGTTAATTAATTGCATGGGGCATGATCCACATTTGCACATCCACAGACACAGAATAGAGCAAGAGTCTCTTAACCTCAGGGTTGTGGGATTTGAGCCCCACACTAGGCAAAAGATTCCTGCATTGCAGGGGATTGGAGTAGATGACCTCCAGCGTCCCTTCCAACTCTACAGTTCTATTATTCTATTAAATCCACTGCTAAATCCTGTGGACTGAATTCAGTAGAACTGTACATAGCTTATTTTTGGCTGGAATGCATCTACTCCATAGAAAGTTGACAGTAGAGATTAATAGGAATGAAGAGTGGATTTAAATGAAGCCAAGCATAAGCAGAGTGCCTTGGAGGAATTGGGTCTTCTCAGAAGTCAAGCAGGATCTCTGTGAGATGGCACAGGTGAAGTGGGAACCTCTAAATCACCATGGTACCATAGTACCATGGTAATCCATACATTTTTAAAAAATCCTAGAGACATGCATCTACTACAAGCAGAAACAGTGTCTCTCAGCTTGCCATATGAGGAATATAACCAAAATTGGGTGATGAGGGAAGAGGGAGGAAGTACCAGGGTGGGGAGAGGATGGATGGAGAGCCTTGTTATGGTGGACTGCTCAAGCTAGTAATCAGAAGGAATTATTTTTACTTTGAATGTGAATCTATTTTAGTTCTTCCCACCCACAAAGTCAAACTTATTTGTCTGCAGTGTAGCAGGTTTCTTACTCATGAACATCTCTCTTATGTGTTCTTTTTTTGTCCACCTGCAAACTGCAACAGCTATCCTTGTGGGTAAGCCACGGCAGCTATCCTTCTGAAATTTGGCATAATTTATACCCTCTAAAAGGGTAAAGATAAACACATATCCTTTTCAGTTGGACAAACTTTAAAGGTGCCCAGCACAACAGTCAGTGCCCTATTTCACTGTAATTTAGCAAGCTTTGATTCTATCAAAGTTAAATTGTATTTTAATTATCTTTTTTCTATATTTTAGTGGTTCTTGTTTTATCTGTAAGTCACCTTGAGTCCTGTCAGGGGAAAGGGTAGGGTATAAACAAAATAATAATAACAACAACAAACTCCTTCTTAGCAGTAAGTATGCCTTCAAATTTCATCCACTTCTGTAAAAAGGGGGGGGGGAGTTATAGTCTTTTTTAAAAAAAAGAAAAGAAAAGAATACTCCCTCAAATAGTGAATTGAGGTGGGATGAAGTGGTCTCAGGTGAAGCCCAATCCTATTCAAACAGCCTACCAAGTGTCTCAGATTGAGGTGGGCTGTTTTCCAAAGTGTTGAATTGGGAGTCCAAACCAAATCTTGTGGGTCATGCACACCTCTTGTGATTTTTCTGTTTTATAACTTTCAAATGATTTCATCTTCAAACTCTTTTGGCTTCATGTTGTATCCATCTTAAATGCTGTGAAAGGTTGACCATTCTTATTGCTTGCAGGTGGGGTTACTAGTTGCTCAGATGGGACAAGCAACAGGGACAGCCTAAAGCTTGATGATGAAGTTCCTTACACTGGACCTTTCTGTGGCAGAGCTAAAGTACACACAGACTTCACACCTAGTCCTTATGACACAGACTCTCTCAAAATCAAGGTGAGTTAACTATTTGTTACATTTGCTTTATTCCTGAAGTCACTTTCCACCTGTGAGGCTCTCCCAGTTCAGGCAGCATTATATAGAAATCACTTTTTTTATAGAAGAACAAGTCTTGCCAATGAAGAACTAGCTTGGTTTCCACAAAGCTAGCTTGTGTCTAACTAATCTTTCCACTGAGTGTCTCAATGAGCATGTAGATTGGGTGTGCTTTCAAAAAACTTTTGACATAATCCCCCACTAAAAATTCCTGAGTAACCTTTGCAGTCATGAGATAAAGGGACACATTCTCTTAAACTGCTTAAAGAGTGGAAAGTGGATAATAGGAATAAGTGGACAGTTCTCACAATAGAGGGATGTTAGAAATAGAGTCGCCCAGGTAACTAGACTGGAGTTTGTGGTTTTAATTTGGTCATAAAATATCTGGAATTAAGAGTGTGCAGTGAAGTGACCAACTTTGCTGATAATATCAAATTGATCAGGATGGTAAGAAACAAGATGAAGAATGGAAATTGGGGGATCACAAAAAGAGTGTCTCAAAACTGGGTGAATAGGCATTTAAATAGCAAATGTGATTTAATATAAGAAAGTGTAAAGTGATGCACATTTGAGAAAAACAAACCAACCTAATTTCACATATATGCTAACAGGGTCTGAACTGGCAGAGACTGAGCAAGGTTACAATCTTGGAATTGTGGCGGGTAGCTCAACGTAAATGTCAATTCAGTGTGAAGCAATTGTGAAAAAGGTGGCCTCCATGTTAGAGATCATTAGCAAAGGGATTGAAAATAAGCCTGCTGACATCATAACATACAACATACAAATCTATGGTGAGATCACACTTGGAATTCTGACTACAGTTCTGGTCCCCTCGCCCTCCAAAAGCATATTGTAACTGAAATAACTGAGGGGCTGGAGCAACTCTCCTTTGAGGAAAGGTTACAACATTTGGGACTTTTGTTTTAGAAAGGGGGGAGAATATATATAGAGAGAGAAGTATATACATGGTGTGGAGAAAGTGCAAAGGGAGACATTTGCTGGATCCTGGAGAAGACGAATCTTTGGTCTGCTCTGGGGGGTCTCTTGATACATTCTTATCAAACTTGTACCTTAAGCTTTTGTGTCACAAAGAAAAAGACGTAACTAATAATAATCTTCAGGTGTCTTTTCTAGCCTTACTTCACATTGTGCTGCCTAACACTCTGCTGTAGTTCTAGTTGAGTTATGGCTGTGGAGTGTGACGTGTGGGGAGGGAGCTGTTTCACTTTTCCATATTAACAGAGACAAGATGATGTCTCATGACCATGTTCCCAGCAATGTGGGGTATGATTAAGTGCTGATTTGCTACTAGGGGAACTCTGAAGTAATAATTTGAGTCCCAGGAGAAAGGAGGGACTGCCCAGGTTGTCAGTATTTACTAGAGCATAACGGTGATATGCTCTCTTTAAAGTGGCTGAAAGCAAAAACCAATGGCTGCTCCAAAACTACAATAACATAATGCAGATGTTTCAGAAACAGAACACAGTACTTGCCTAACAGACATGTTTGGATCAGGTCATATTTGGTAAGCTGCATATTGTGTTAACTAAAGTGCTTTGGCTTAAATTCTGCCTTGCCAGAGCAGAAAATCATTTCCACTTGCACATGGAGGTGGACATCCCTTTTACATCTGCAGCAGCCCCACATCCATTCTGTTTCTGAGGGTCCCCCAACCCTGAAGAGCAGATTGGGGGGGGCACAGGTAGCTGCAGCAGGAAAGAACTTAAAATTGTGATATAGAAGCTGGTGAAATGTGTTGCACAACTGCTTGTCCTTTTTCTTGGCACCTGTCTGGAAAGATTACCTCCTGTGTTTCTGGATATTTTGATGCTGCTCTTTCATTTTTTCTATTTACCTGACATACATGTTTGGATTAACATGTTTTGAGTTTGAACAAAACACATAGTTTTCATTTTTTTAAAAAAATCCTGCTTTAATTTTTATAATAATGCTTCATATACGAGGGAAGTGCAAAAGTGTAAATGACACATTAGTAGTGCACAGACCAAATGCTAGAGTTACATTTTAAGTAAGTATGTGAGGGGGAGTGCAGGGTCAATGATACTGTCATTGGAAATAATGAATTGTATTTAGCTAAGTCTTCCTCACTGAAATTAATGAATCTGTTAATTAATTAATGAACCATTAACTTCAATAGACATGTTATGACAGGACACCATGACAAGTGTCAGAGCGCAACAGAAACAGAGTTTACCTCCCCACCACAGTGGTACCTATTTATCTACTTGCACTGGTGTGCTTTCAAACTGCTAGGTTGGCAGTACTAATAATTATATTATCAACCTAATAATTATAGCAATTGGTCTGTTACTTCTCTTCTGATCTTCCTGAAATGGTGTGGGAAACAGCTGTGTTACTGCAGTTTCCACTTGTCAATATGGAATTAAATCTATGGATTGGGCCATTTTTGTCTATCCTATTTTCTATTTCAGTTAGGTGTTCTTGTTTATAACTCCTCATCCATACTGTTGTTTAATGTGGATATTAAGCTTCCTGTACCTTCATTAATTCTCTGTTGTCCATATGATATTTTCCTCTGTCACAGCCTTCCCCCACTTTTCCCTCTCTCAGTCTGGATTTTCTCACACTAGGGATACTCTGAAATGCAGAGGGTATGAGAAAATCTGGAGGGAGGGAGGGAAAGGTAGTGATTTAGAGAAGAACATCATATGGACAACAGGACGCTTACTCTCCACATTAAATGACAGTGTGGATAAATAAGCTCTCCTTTCTTTTTAGATAATGTGCATCACTATTTGAGCCAACTCTGATTTCCCATTGGTCTGCTTTTGATCAACTGAGGCAGACTAGTCTTGTGTATCACAAATAATATGTACAGTACTAGTTTCAGAGTTACATTTTGTTTTTTTGTTTTTCTTCCAGAAAGGGGATATCATTGATATCATCTGTAAAACCCCAATGGGTATGTGGACGGGACTGCTAAACAACAAGGTGGGGAATTTCAAATTCATTTACGTAGATCTTATTACAGAAGAGGAATCTGTACCTAGAAAAATAAAGCCACATAAGAGGAGTAAAAGGGCCAAGCCTAATTCGCTTCAAGAACTCTTGGACCGACTCCATCTCCAGGTTGGTAAAACTCAAAAATTTTATTTGGTAAAGCTTCTTTTTGCATTTCATGATCATTCTCAAGCTCAAAACTTGCAGCTTCAGGCCATACCCTGGGGGCCACAAGCAAGATTTGTTGTGTACTTTGGCTAAAATGGATAATTCCTTTGACCTCTAGAGTCAAATTGCTCCATTTATTAGGCAGCTATCAAATTATCACCCAGGTTGGTTACATGTGTGTGGCCAGATATAATTAGCCAATAATCAGATAAGTGCCAATCAGGTATTGAAGGGGAGACTAAATAAATCCTCTGCTCCCCCTCCCAAAGGGTTGCTTGATGCTGTCACTGATTATCTGACTAGGGTTATGCATGTACAACTGACTCCTTGTGCAGACTAGAGTCACAGGCAGTGGCGTAGCGTGGGTTGTCAGCACCCAGGACAAGGCAAGTAATTTGCACCCCCTAACCCGTGGATTTTAGTAGGGGCAGAGAGCTGCGAGTGCAAGCGCGCGCCCCCAGATGTTGCGCCCGGTGCGGCCGGCCTCCCCTGCACCCCCCACGCTACGCCACTGGTCATAGGTGGCACATTTGCAGAATAGGAAAGTTTCTCAGATTTATATTGATGTTTGGTAACATCAATATACAGTAATATGTCTCTGACAATGTAGTTTGGGAGTTACTCTGTGAAATTAGATCCAAGCTCCCAGGTGACCCAGATCTGATGACATGCATAAAATCAATAATATATAATCTTACCACTTGTATTTTCTCAGCATTCAAAGCGTTTCACGTACATCTATTAAAATAGCTGCTTTGGTTGTCCTCAGAGGAAAAGGTAGGGTATATATTGTCTAAAATGAATGATCAGGTTATAAAATTGTTGGGGTAATCTACGGTTCTCCGGTTGTTACTGGACTAAATTCCCACCACCTCCAACCATTGGCTATGCTGACTGAGGTTGATGGGATTTGAACAACAACTGGAGGACCATAGAGTATCCTCCCTCATTTTACAACAGTCCTATATGGAGGGATGTATTATTTCTTTGACTGTAATACAGAGAAAATAACAATAACCTGAACAAAGGGTTGTAAGGGTTGCTAAAATAATACGTGATACAAGCTTCCAGTGCTTAAGAAAGCTTCTGTATAAAAAAAAAATCAAATTGATATTTATATAATTAAGATTATTATTCATCAGATCTGAGACAACAAGTAGACATCAGGAACCAAATCTGAGCCATAGGCAAGGATATAAACCTATCTTGAAGCGGCAATTCTTTCGAAGAACCTGTCAATTGTATACTTAATATTTCATTAATAAAAATCCTTCACTCCACTTTCTTTATCACTAGAGAATGGTTTGTCGCTGATTTCAATGTAGTTCCTAAGGTATATGAAACTTCCACACATAGTATTGGTCTATTTAACTAGGCATGTCCAAAGTCCGTTTTGGGGTCTAATCCGGCCCGCCGGTTGGTTTAATCCGGCCCCTGTGACAGTTTATTTCCTGGGATAAAATCCTTAAAAAACCTCAACAACTTCAATCCTAAAAAAAAGGTCAACAACCTTGGTTGGCCCTTTGGTTGGCCCCCATGGCCCTTCACTTTATCAAATCTGGCCCTCTTTGGAAAAAGTTTGGACACCACTTTTTAAACCATAGAAAAATATTACAGCATTGATGTAATGCAATATAATCAGCATTTTTATTAATGCTTCAGAATCACAATGTCATTTTCTGTTGTTAATTAGTCCTCTTAACTTTGCACAGTAAGATACACAAATGCTTTTTTTTCACATGGACAGTCTTCAGAAATGTATGCCTATAAATACATAGCGCGCCACAAAATAAAAGACATGCCTGTGCTACTGCAGTCCTGCTTGAAAACTGCAGTCCTGCTTGAAATGGCATACTTATAAATTATACTGGTGACATAATGATTTCCTCCTGCAAACTAGATATAAATTTTTCTTTATATAATATTCAGCAATGATTTGTTTGAAAACTGCATTAAAGAGGAATGTAAATCAATTGTAAAGTAGGAGAAAAGGTCTTCAAAGGGTTAGGTTTGCCCCAGCTTGCTTGTTGAAACCTTTCACTGAAACTGTAGGTGTATAAATAAAGAAAAACATATAAAGTTCTGAGTGCATTTCTAAAAAACTTGGGAATAATCTTGCCAAAGTGAAGCAGTTGTAAGGAAAGGTGCATAAAATCTTCAGATGAATCCTGAGTAGAACTGAGGCTTGGGAGCTTCAGAAAGATTCTGGACTTATCCAAGCTGAAGCAGGATCTCTCTGGAGTGCTCCGAACCAAACTGGGAGCCACTGAAGCATATACGGAAAACACCAGAGTGGGAAGAGGGAGAGTTCTTTGTGACTGACAAGTTTAATCAGGGAACAAGTTTAGCTTCTGGAGGGATTACTATGCCTGCAAATGTCATTCAATTTTGTCAAAAGGAATAAAATGCCCCATTACTGAATGTAGCAGTGGGAAACCAAGTGCCCTACCAGAACAAGGCAGCCTGTTTTCTGAAATGCCAACTCAGGGCCAAATCAGGGTTCACACCCCTGAAACACACACACACACACACACACACACACACACACAATTGCTTTTCTCTTCAGCAATGCAATCAAAAGAGAAAAAACTTTCAATGGAGAAAATAACAGAAGTATGTTGTTTTTTACAGGACTACTCATCAACCCTCTTACTAAATGGCTATGAGACTCTGGAAGATTTGAAAGATCTAAAAGAGAGCCATTTAATTGAACTTAATATTGAAAACCCAGAAGACAGAACAAGATTACTCTCGGCTATTGAGAATCTGCAGGACTATGAAAGTATGTCTGAGGTTTCCATTTGGTATTATATATCGCCACTTTTATGTGTAAACCTCCATGTCCCCTACCCGGGGGGGGGGGGGACTGTGATGGTGATGGTGGGATCTAATACAGTAGTAGCCAACATGGTTGAATTTCAGCTCTTATCAACCCCAGCCAGTATGGCCAATAGTCAGGGCTAATTGGAGTTTTTTCTGGCAACATCTGAAAGGTATCCCCTTGTCTACCCCTGGTCTAATGCGCTACCATAGGTGTGCCTTTAAAATATACTTCCAGTCTGCCAACACTCAGCTTCATGGGATGACCCTGAGTTCTAGCTGTATAAGGAGGGAGTAGAAAAACTCCCAGCTAATAGGGCTGAACTGTCAGTAATTGATCAAGCTAGATAGTGTGCAGTCAAACTGACCCCAAACCACCTGAGCACCTTTTTGGTTATACAGAGGTAGGAGCTCCATAGGGCCAGGACCATGTATGTCTTCATGATGTCAGACGGAGGAATCTCTGAAGTAACTCCCTCTACCCCTAGAGAGGGCGATCTAATGCTTCCAAAAGGCCCTTTGATGCTCTTGCAGAAGCCATAGGACTGCAGGGCCCACTATCTGACTCATAGTTATAAAGAAGCTCTTAGCAAGACATTCTGCACTTAGCTTAATGCATGTATAAGGAACACTTTAATAAAGAAACTTGAAGCGGGTCTCAATGGCAAATTGATCTTTCCTATAGAACAGTAGCGTTTTCCCCCAGTGTAGATTGGTAATGCGGAAGATAAGAAAAACCTTCAAAAGTATGCAATGGGATATATTAGGTCATCCAGTCAAGTAATTATAATGAAAGAACGGCAGCCAACATGATCCTGGGGTTAACTCTTAGCAGAGTAACTAATTCTGCATGACCTTGGCAATACCATTGTGTTTAAGTCAACCCGAGTGGAAAATTGGGTTGAAAAAGCTGGACATCGTTGTTGTAACTAAATATTGCATCTGAAATCAACTTTCCAAGGTCAATATTTTTTTCTTAAATAGGCATGACTGTCTACTATAAATGATTTCCTAATTAAAATTGATTATCTGTACTGCTTAGAAGTGAGATGCATAATTACCCAATTGTACAAGAGAATCTAGATTCTGACCACAGAAATTACACTAAAGTGACAAAAATATAAGCATCACCTACAAATAGAAATGATCTTTTGTTGAGACTATATGGGAAAATTCCACTTAAAATAAAAAGCTTGTCTTCCTTTAACAAAGATCCATAGCACTAGGGCTCCTCTTTTGAAGGTTTAGATGGCTGACTCACATATGGGCCAAATATGACATGTGAGTTTTTTCAGTTTCCCAAAATTCAGACAATTGGCCTTCCATTAGTTTGACTCTACAGGAAATAAATTACATCAACAATAACTTTATTTTTCCTAAAATAAATTCCAAAGAAGACTGACCCTGATCTTGTGAACAGGATTTGTACTGCTAAAAATCCATTGTGAATCCCTTCCATGTGAAGCCATGGCAAATTCAATCGAGCTCCCCACCCACAACTGATGACTTCACACCACCCAAGCAAATCTGCAGCTGTTATTATAGCTAAAAGATGTCTACTTTATTGTTATGAGTTTTATTACCAATCAAGGGGATTGAATTGTATGATGAAATGAACTTCCAGCCCTCAGACCACTTTCTCGAGAACTGAACTGACCCCAAGAATACAGCGACTAGAACATCATCCAGTGTCTTTAAAACAATTGTGTTTTGGGTAATAAGAGCCCTTTACATTGTAAACCCATCACCTGCACAGTTTTCACAGTGAGGAATCAAAATGATTGTTGTGACTCACCAGTGAAATAATTGCAGGGCACAACTCTTGGGATTCTAAGAGCGCAGGTGGCCCATGGACTACATGCCTGGATTTTCTGCACATAGAAAACTAGCATATCACTATGCTAGAATCCATCTCCCTTATGTGCTAGATTATGTGTCTAGGAGTCTTTATACTTGAGGAAAAAACTAAGCATGCAATCACTCATCTACAGAGTGTGCGTTGTATCCCAGCAGAACTAGCACATATCTCTATTTGGATCTGACGATCAGTTCTAAATGGACCTGCAGTTCAACTGAAGGACATATCTAGAGCTTCACCAGGGGATGTCAAACTCATGCATACAGCAATTATTCTCCAAACAAAGATCCTTTCAACGGCAATTTTCTTTATGAAGCAAGCCATATTGTCACAACTTCCATTGCAGTGATCTAGACACCTGTACATTTGCAAAGGCAGGTTCCAAGGGCAAAACAAGGGCAAAAATGGAGATAATGAATATTTATAGCATAGCTCTTGTCAGTGTGTATGCATCAGCCTTATATTTCTTCAATATCCATAGCCTAATCCTACAGACTAAAGTAGTATCAGACTATACATGTCAAAATGATGCATATCATAGACTGTGCTAACCCTATCTTAGACAACTCTGACTGAAAGCCATTTATCTTTTATGAAACTGCTATGCTTTAGGAAAATTACATGACTTCTAGTAGCTGATAAGATAGCATGTTCTGCTGATTCTGCAACATTTAATAGTAGCCCTTTAAAAAAAATTCTATCCTGGGCCTTTAACTAATATTTAACAGATTAAAACCAGCATCTGCCTTAAGTGGTACAATGCTTCAAATCAAAACTTGTGCATTGAGTCACGAAGCAAGCTTGCTACTTTTGAAATTAGAAGATTGAAGATTGGCATTTGCTTTAATTTTCTGGTCTTTGGAGTTGTAGTCCTTTGGTATAGCAAGGTCTCAGTTTAGTTAGGGTCCCAGGTGTGGCCTGAAGGGACAGCTGATGCACTCCTGCTGGGACTGGGAGGAGTCTCCTCCACATTTGGCCAACAACCCCTTGATAGAACAGCTTGCATGGAGCAGAGGCAGCTCACTTACACCTCTTCCTAATGGGCTTTTCTGGCCCATAGGTGCTACAGTGCTGGCATTTCCTCCTTCCAAATAGGGCAAAGGATGAATTTAGCTGCTCCATAGGTTGATCCAAAGCTGATCTTTTGGAGTAAGGTGTTTGGGTTCTAGTGGTTCTACCATTGGTAAACTGAAGGACGGACTATTGCAATGCATTATCTGTTGAGCTACCCATGAGGCTCATTCAGAAGCTGCAACCTGCTTACAATTCTGCAGCCCTGTTGTTCTCAGGCATAGGCTACGGATACCTATATAAACACCTGTGTTGAAGGAGTTGCACTGGCTGCCAGTATACTACTGAATTATCTTCAAGGTCTTACTATTAGTATTGTTGTTGTTGTTTAGTCGTTTAGTCATGTCCAACTCTTCATGACCCCATGGACCAGAGCACGCCAGGCACTCCTGTCTTCCACTGCTTCCCGCATTTTGGTCAAACTCATGTTGGTAGCTTCGAGAACACTATCCAACCATCTTGCCCTCTGTCGTCTCCTTCTCCTAGTGCCCTCAATCTTTCCAAACATCAGGGTCTTTTCCATGGAGTCTTCTCTTCCCATGAGGTGGCCGAAGTATTGGAGCCTCAGCTTCAGGATCTGTCCTTCCAGTGAGCACTCAGGGCTGATTTCCTTAAGAATGGATAGGTTTGATCGTCCATGGGGCTCTCAAGAGTCTCCTCCAGCACCATAATTCAAAAGCATCAATTATTCAGCAATCAGCCTTTATGATCCAGCTCTCACTTCCATACATCATTACTAGGAAAACCATAGCTTAAACTATACAGACCTTTGTCGGCAAGGTGGTGTTTCTGCCTTTTAAGATGCTGTCTAGGTTAGTCATTGCTATTATACTATTAGTATATAAAGCCCCAAAAGAAATGTGGCCAGTGTTCTTAAAAGATCACTTTACTCCTTATACCTCTGCCTGCTCTTTGCATTCTGACATTGAGGCACGTCTGACAGGGCTTGGCAGTGTTCGACTGCCCTCAACAAGGAATTGGGAATTTAGTGTAGTGGCACTGGTGGTGTAGAACTCTTTCCATAATGAAATTTAAGTTTGAAATCAAACTGGTTGCCATCTGTAATGAGGTGTTTTTTTAGGCAAAAACTTATAAATTGATTATTTATTGTGAAAATTATCTACTTTTTATAACTTCCTTGTAGGACGAGTCATTCTGCACTTCTGTTTCCTTCCATTTTGTATTTTGATTTGATTCTATTTGTCATGTTGTTTTGGTTTTGAGATTCATACACTCCATTTTTGAATAGGTCTATGACATAGAAATGAATAAATAAATTTGGTGGAAGAAATCAGCCCTCCGTTTCTCTTTCCCCAACGGTAGATTGTGCCCCCTGCTGTTCCTGGAGCAGTGGTTTTTTTCACCTTTTGGGGAAGCACGTGCAACACTGGTTTTCACATATGATTCTTCCTACAGGGTTAGGATGCTACGAAAACATGCCATTTTTGGTTATGATTTATTTTCGACATTTTAAATTCCGCCTTCCTTCCCCAGAGTTCAGGGTTATGAGCAGAGTTCAACTCATGTTGTCCTTGCATCAATCCTGCAAGGTGTTTTAGGTGAAAGATCATGACAGGAGCCAAGGTCACCCAGTGAACTCTATGGTTGAATTGGGATTTGCATCCAGGCCTCCCCAATTCTAACTGCTACCCTACACTGGCTTTCTGTGATATAAATAGAAATTGGCTTGTAAGTTGTCTGGTGCCCTTCCTACAGGTCGAACCAAAGCAGCCACATAACTATCAATCTTTTACTCAAAGGGATTTTTATAGCATATTGTTTCAATTTTACAGATGAACAAGACCAAGAAGCAGAGCAAGTGCCACAGACCTTAAGCCCTGACCTCAGCTTTAACAAGTCACAGTTAAATGACTGTCCAAGAGACTCTGGTTGCTACATCTCACCAGAAAATTCAGATAACAGCAAAGAAGACCTGGATACAGAGAACCTGCCTGACATGGTACGGGCAATCACCATCACTGAATCAAACTGAAAACGGCTCGCATTTCCAGCATAGTGACTCACAATGAATTTGCCACTTCAGCAAATGCATGGAACTGATCTGTTAGTCTGGGCATGCAATAATTGACAGTACCATGCATTATCAATGAACGTTAAGACTGGACAAGCCATTTGATTTCCATCTTTTAAAAAACTGCAAGAACAAATATGTCTGTTGAATCTTCTATATGTTTGAGCAATTGCATATGTTTGAACACTTGCATTTTTATACATTATTTGTACAGTAAACTGCTTTTCTATCATGTGAGAGTAACTAGATAATGGTTTATAGTTCCAAGATTGTTCATTTCCAAAAAAAATCTAAATATTGTAAATAGTGTATGTAATTGCTATTTTGCAAGTTATCTTATCCTTTGTATCTAATTATACTTCCTCCACCACCACCACCAAAACGCCACTGTGATTAAAATGTAGCCAGGCAAATATTTAAATATGAATTTTTCTTGCCCTAATTTCAACAATGCAATGCAGAGTTAACTCTAATCATCACTTAAAACGATTTATATTGTCATAAAGTAAAGGAATGTTAATATACATAGAAATTAGCCTATAATCGCACTGGGTAGTGTCTTCCAAATACTTTATGCATGTGCTCCTTTTTTATAAAGGGTTTACTTATTCCTTTTGTTGTTTTCTTTGTAAACAAGTGAAAGGAGAGTTATTAGAAGCAAGTGATTTTCTTTTTCTTAATTCTCTATTTCAAACCCTTCTTCAATGTGCTTAATATAAACATAGACATTCAGAAATTTCTATTTATTAGTGAACAGTCAATTACAGGTTGAAAAATGAGTATATAACATTGTCTATCCCTCAGAGAACTATCATGTCTGCATGTATCTTGCAATGAAGATTTTTCCATTCTCTTCTTAAAAGCACTCTCCTTGAAAAATAAACCAATATCACTGAGTCCATTTAATTGTTAATGTTTACATTTCTACCCCTATTATTTATACTAAATATTTTTCAGAACATTTTATTCTGTATTATAACAACATAGACAACATATAACAACATATTCCATATTATAACAACATATCAACATAGAAGCTCACATGTCACAATATAACCCCCATTTTTAAAATACATAGTTTTAGTTACAAATTGGAATTTATTTAATTTGTAAGGTGCAAAGCAAAACCTACTAAAGATGGGTGAAAAATATGGTATTCTGATCTAAAAATGGTTCAGTGAACCTATATTGTTCATCAGTCTGTAGAAGATCAACTCCCCACTGCAACTTCCGGAATCCATTCTGGACTCCAGAGGCCCACTAGTGGACTCCGCTAATGAACTTGCCAGAAGCTGGCAGGTTCTGACTTTATCAGGTGCTTCTATGTTGGCATGGAATATGTTCTTTTCTGTGGTTCTCTTATATTTGGAAGCCTGGAACCAATTTGTGGTAGAAGTATGCAGATGCCTTTCACACAACTGTTGTCTTTGCAACAAATTCCGTTTGGAAGAACTAGTGTGAATTGCCCCATGTACATGATTGCAAGTTTCCAAATATTAAAGCAATAACCAAGGGTGATATGCAACTAATTTTGTACTCGGAGTAGAACCACTGAATTTAATGAACATGTCCACATTAAGTCCATTGAGCTCAATGGGTCTAATTTGAGTAAAATGTAGTTGACTGCCACCCGTAATAAAGAATTAATACCTGGTTAGTATTACCTGAAAGAAGTAGAACCTGGTTAACAAGGTGCTAACTTCCAAGCTAAGACCCCCAAAAGTGAATTCTGTATTAGAGCAGGATGTGAGATATGGGACTGCACAAGTTACAATATTTTCAGGTGCACACCAGGCAAGGAACAGAGGCTGTGATCCAGGCATAGGCAAACTCGACCCTCCAGGTGTTTTATGACTACAACTCCCACCATCCTTGACCACTGGTCCGGTTAGCTAAGGGTGATGGGAGTTGTAGTCCCAAAACATCTGGAGGGCCGAATTTGCCTACGCCTGCTGTGATCGAAGGGTACACAGTTGTCACATCCCCTCACCGCCCTCCCCAAGTGGCCTCGCAAGGCTCAGATCTGGGGAGGGTGGCGCGAGAAGGGAACAACTGCCATTCCACTTGGGGCTGGTGTCGCTCTAGTGGCAGCGAGGGCTGAGTATGAGCGATGGGCTCCGTTTGTTCTCCACCCTGCCCCTGGCATGCGTGCGCACGCATGTGTGGGCACACACAGCTGCCCCAGGCAGCATGGAAACACACTCCACCATTGGAACTAGTGGTTAGCAAAATCCACTTTTCCCCAATACCCCAATGCCCTGGTCACTCACCATCCCCTGCTGTACACTGTCTATTCCAGCTACTTGCAATATTTTGGTGGAGCCAGTATTGGAAAACAGACCTAAAGGATGTGGGTAGAAAGCCATTGTCAGACTAGGACTGGGAGAACATGATTCAAATCTCCGCTCGGCCATGAAGGTCACTAACCTACTTCACAGGGTTGTGGTGGTGATTAAATAAGGAAGGTGAGAGCCATGTTTGCCACCTTGAGCTCCTTACGAGAAAAAAGGTGGGATATAAATGCAATAAATAAAATAAATAAAAACTTTGAAATAATTATAGTCTAAACCAGGAGAACTTAGCTTGTGCAAATAGCACCAGCACCCGAAGCATTAAAATGAACAGGGGAAGAAAAGTGCTTTATTGTTGTGGAAGTGACAAAGAGTTTTGATATTAAAAGCCAGCAGTTCTCAAAAGTTATGTTCAGCATTTAAAATTCTACATGAATTGATTAGCTCCACACTGTACAGTACCTTATAATTTCAAACAAAAGCCTAGGTACTACTCATCCAATTAAAACCTACTCAACTGAAAATCCTATTTATCAGAAACAAATGTTTGTCCTATCTATACCGTCAACAAACTATTCACATGAGCAGCTAGCAATAAACAACAGAAAGCTGCACAATGAATGTCAATTAATGCAATTTGCTTTTCAAATAAACTTGCTCTCTATGTGCACAGCGTAAGTACTGTCCTGTGTAACCATTATATAAAGGTCAATTAACTTCAATTCTAGTTAACGTGCTTATACTAAAATAAACCCAGCAGAGAACCTTTTTTTTTTCCATTCTGTGCCGCTTGGTACACAAAGAAGTTGAAAACACTTTTCTCCCAGAATACCCCATGTTTCATGTTATAGATCATTCTGAAACACACACAGTCTTTGGCATCTACTGGGTGCACTTTTCTGTAACTTTAACATAAGATTTCATTATCTGGCACATCATATAACCATGTCAGGAAAGCAGAGGTCCGTAGTCTGTTGGCATACAAAGACTTTAAGACATGCACATTAATCCAAGACAATGCCAACACCTCTCTTGAAGTTGAAATCTTTCCTAAAGATAGCCCCAATGCTTTCAAGATTGTAAATGGGTTTTATCTTTGGCCTCAGAATGTCAGCATTTATAGCAAAAGTCAATCAAGTGCTTCCTTTGCTTAATCAGGAGGAATATTTGCCATGTAATGGGCAGCTTTGGAAGCCCTTGTGTGGAATTATGCAAGCAGCACTAATTGAAAGGCCCATCAGTGGTTTAGAAATAATTGAAGCAAAAGCAATTGGTTGAAGTCAGGAGTATTGGTCTGGGAAGGTACAGAACCCTATCCTCGCCAAAAAAGAAAAGGGAAAAGGGGAAAAAAGGGAAACTGTAAAGGCAGGTAATTTGAAAGAGCATTTGGTCTGACTGCTGTGTCATCATTAGCTTTTCTGCTGAATCTTTGTGTCTTTAGATCAGCAGTTTCGAAATGTTTTTTCCCCTACAGTGAACCACAGAATTTTATTTTATATTGTTCAAGAAACACATGACTTCTTTCAGCATCTGGTGTGCCCTTGCCACGGCCAAAGTAATGGTGACCTGGCAACCCACTTCCAATCTTCCTTTGGTGGGTACAAAATTTATTATCTGGGATAGTATTAGAGCCAGTTCATACAGCCATTTTTATATTCAGTGAAGTCAACCCAAGTCATCTTTTCCAATACTTGGCACGCTAGCCTACCCTTGAAAATGTTCTAACATAACTCAAGACCTCTTCGCTCATTTTCTGAATGAAGGGTCAATGTGGATACAAAGCGGGTCTGTGGGATGTACATTTACCTCCCCACCCCAGAAGTCACAAGGTTCCTCTGGCCCCTCCCAGGTGGAGGAAAAACTTCTGAAGTGAAGTGCCTTTTCTATCAATGTAGCCTCCCTGAACTGTTTGGTACAGTGCATATTTAAACTAAACTATGGAATTCACTGGACGCAGGTGGCACTGTGGGTTAAACCACAGAGCCTAGGACTTGCCGATCAGAAGGTCGGCGGTTTGAATTCCCGTGACGGGGTGAGCTCCCGTTGCTCGGTCCCAGCTCCTGCCAACCTAGCAGTTCGAAAGCATGTCAAAGTGCAAGTAGATAAATAGGTACCGCTCCGGCGGGAAGGTAAACGGTGTTTCCGTGCGCTGCTCTGGTTCGCCAGAAGCGGCTTAGTCATGCTGGCCACATGACCCGGAAGCTGTACGCCGGCTCCCTCGGCCAGTAAAGCGAGATGAGCGCCGCAACCCCAGAGTCGGCCATGACGGGACCTAATGGTCAGGGGTCCCTTTACCTTTATGGAATTCACTATGACAAGATGCAGTGGCAGCTACCAACTTGGATGGCTCTAAAGGGGGACAGACAACTTGATCAAGAATGGGTCTATTGGTCATGATGGATATGTTCTACTTCCACTGTTGGAGAAAGTATTGCTGCAAATCACAAGTGAGAAAAGTGCTTCTGTGATCATGTCCCATTTACAGGTTTCTCATGGGCATCTGGTTGGCCCGTGTGAGAACAAGATGCTGGACTAGATGAGTCTTTGATCTTATCTTGCAGGGCTCTTTTTCTGTTATTAAAATGACTAGGGAGTTACATTTTTATATGTGTTAGAAGATCACCAAATGTTTATGATTAAGTTTTCGTATCTTAAACTTACATAACACATCATGTACCCGAAAGAAGTCCCAAAGTGATTTACAAAACAATAAAATACAGAAATACAATTGAAAATCCATTAAAACTGTGCAATACAAAACTGGTTTACTACAGAGAAAGCCTCTGTAAAAGAATATCCAGATGGGTTGACTTAGCTATGTAAAAATAAGCATGAGAGCAAGACTTCAAAATCAGCATGTTTTTACAAACACCTGCAGTGTCTTATATAAACCCTGACACAGAATCCTTTTCAAAGAAATCAGTGAAACTGATTCAGGTCAGTGCTTGGTTTCTTTTGTTTGTTTTAAAAGTATTTTAGTTGCTGATCTAATATGTCTGAAAACAAATATAATTCAATGTGACAGTTGGCATCTTTTTTTTAATAAATCACATATTCCGGATTACAAGGAGTTAGGAATCCCAAAAGCCTCAATATAATTTTGAAGTACTTCCAAGTGGCCAGCAAAGGACAGATGAGGGCACAGACCTTATGAATTCCTACAAATACGTAACTGGAGTTTTAAAAATATAAACTATTGAGGGTTATTCCAAGACAAATCAGCAAGCTCTGGGGAACTCTGGAGTTAAGGGAAAGTTCAGCTAAATCAATGCACTGCAAGACCCATTCAGACAAATTGGACCAATATAATTTCAGAGTTCAAACCTCGCAGCCTGACATTGCTCTCCATTCTTCTTGACAGGGCAAAGCACTATAGCCCTTCATTTTTATTAATCACTATGTATTTGTGTTTTAAATACTATTTGCTGTGCCTAACTATTTAAACCGAGGACTATCCCCCCAAAAGCAATGGCTGGGTTGACTGCATTCTTTTTAACAATGTGGTCCTTGTTTTATCAAACCACCAATATTCAGACTTTTGCCAGTTTACCTCTCAAGAAATTCAACAGAGGAATGTACCGTATTTTTCATTCCATAGGACGCTCCGTCCCATAGGACGCACCTACTTTTTTGGGGGGGAAATAAAGGAAAAAAAATTTTCCTTTATTTCCCCCCCCAAAACCAGGTCGGGGAACAGTGGGATGGCGGCGCTGCGCCTCCCCGTTGTCCCCCGAGCTTGTGGGGCTGGCCGATGTCTGCCCGGCGTTAGGGGCGCTCTGCTTCAGGGCGCCCTACGCGCCGGGCGGCAGGCTGCAGACACCTGCGCGAAGCACGAGGCGTCCTCCGGAGGGCACCCCATGCTCCGCGCTGCCGGCTGCCGCCCGCAAGCCGTGCACGCTCAGGGGGAGTTCCCCCAGGCACCCAAGGCTTGCGGACACCTGCGCGAAGCACGGGGCGTCTTCCGGAGGGCGCCCCGTGCTCCGCGCTGCAGGCTGCCACCCGCAAGCCGTGCGCGCCCGGGGGAACTCCCCCCGCGTGCGTAACGCTTGCAGATAGCTTCCTGGAGCCTGGAGATCGAGATGTGTCGGTGCGCACCGACGCCTCTCGCTCTCCAGGCTTCAGCGAAAGCCTGCATTCACCCCATAGGACGCACACACATTTCCCCTTCATTTTTGGAGGGGAAAAAGTGCGTCCTATAGGGCGAAAAATACGGTAATCATAAGTCAGCTGGTCATCTCATCTACTGAAACCTCAAGTGATTTTTCAAAGTCTGTGGGTTTTAAACAATATTGTATCATGGACATTTTGTTTATTTTCTGTAAACCCACACACAGCTTTGTTGCGGTCCACAGACCCAAAATATACATACAACAATAATAAATATCAACAGTTATTAAGGTGTAAAATCGGCCATGCTAGCCAACAGAGGAGCTTTCACCTGTACATTCGAATTTCTGATTTTCACAGCCTTTGAGAGGAATTTTGCTACAGTCAGTGTAATAGTATCGAATTCTAGATTTATTTTTTGATTAAGTGATCTAAACAACTTGCTAAATAAATAAGCAAATAATATGGCTGAACAAGATAGGCAATTATTTTCTAAATTCATCTGTAGTAGAATCATGGAATCATAGAAGTGTAGAGTTGGCATGGAACATAAGGGTCATCTAGTCTACCTCTGGCAATGGAGGTATCTTTTTCCCCCAGCATGAGGTATCAACCCATGACCCTGAGATGAAGAGCCTCATGTTCTACTGACTGTGTCTCTGTCAGTCTCCAAGTCAAACCACAATCCTCCAGCTAAATGCGTTTTAATCTAGTGATGTGTATGTGAAAAGAGCCATACCTATATTAAAACAACCTTGGCTAGGGGTGGGGGAAAGGTTGTTCTCTTCTCGGATCAGCTTTTTCTTATTCAGAACTTTCCAAGACGGTCCATCCAAGATGGTCCTGTCTCAAACAGCAATTGTCTAACCTTAAGCTCTCAGAGCCTGGTCAGCAGGTTTGACAAAAACTTCAAATAGTCCTTTGACTCCGTCAACCCTCTCCTGTCCCAACCTCATTAGTCTACAACAATATCAAATGTAGACCCAGATGTGTATTTGCATCAACTTCTGCACACAGAGGTGGTCTGCATGCACTGGTAAGGCAAACCATGACTTCGTGCATATGGACAAGCATGGCAGATTCTGGAGAGAAGATTGTGGCTGCTGGTTTGGTTTCAGTCCTGCTGCTGTGAGGTTCAGCTTAAATACGTTGTCTGAACCCAAGCTCATGGTCTGTCTCCTCCAGACAAACCATGAGCTGTAGAGCCAAGGATGAACCTTGGTTAAAGCTCATGTCAGCTTAAGAGTAACTTTTGCTGAATCAGGGTAACAACGTAAAATGGTTGCAATGGGATTTGCTCAGAACCTTTTCTTGATTTCACAAAGATTACTAGCACTGTATATTTGTAAGTGATAGAGATCCTTATGTGTTAGCTATCTTTTCCTACAAAAAGCATTAAATAAGATTTCTTATTAACTGGCAAAAACAGCAGTGAGACAGCTCAGTGGACCACCTGAGAGCCTTTTCAGAGAAGAAAGTATGATTAATAACTCATGTCTTATATTTTGATAAGGCTTCAAGAAATATGCCATCTGAGGCAGCCAGTTTGGATTCAGGCAATACCTCCTACAAAGCATCTTGAACATCATCAGGGTCTTGTGGAACAACATTTTGATTAGCTAAGTGAAAATGAATCACAAGTGTTGGCATACAGTAATGCTACAGTTTTTATTCAAGGAATGATCAATTGGTTGCAGAGTTGATGAAACATTAAAGCAGGAAGATCAATGGAAGACATTATATCCTTATAAGACTCTGAGATCCTCTGCTCAAGGCCTTAAAGGTTCCACCATCCTCATCAGACACGGATCATAATTACAGAGATATGGTAATTGGGGACATTAAATCAAGCACACAAGCGAGATCTGCTGTCACAGCAGGAACTCCTTCACTGAGAGCTGGCAAATATTTTCTCTCTCTCCCACTATTGGCACAGCAGGATCATCAGCCAGCCACTGGCACAGTGGCTGGCCCCATTTTCAATCTGTTGTAGCTACACCCTGTTGAAGTAATTCAGTTAATTGCAGGCATCAATCTTCAGAGAAATCTTTTGCTCTGCTTGTTGTAAGAGATATAAGGAAGACAATGAAACAATGTAGCAGCACACACAAGACTCTGGAAATTGAGCCAAAGTCCGCACTGGGGAGGAAAAATCTTCCATAATAGTTTAGGAGTTTTAAAAATGCCTTAGAGTTCAATCCTAGGCATGTTGATTGCTTACAAGGGCTTTACCACCAATGCAAAGTTTCTGTGCTGAGGATGAACCTATATAAGCAAGACATCAATTTATGAATATAACAAATGTTCTTTATTTACAGTGCTTTTACATAACATGCAATTCAGTTCCACAAATTCTCTATTATTCCCTCTGTCCTGCAGATTCGTTTAACTTCCTTCCTCATTGCACTTAACAGCTGCAGCTCAGTGTGTGTCTTCCAAGCAGCATAGAAGCAAACAAACAGAAAGCAAGAGCCCTCTGGTTCCAAGCCCTCCTCCAGTTTAAGATTTAAACTCTTAGTGATTAGACAAAGTGATTAGATGTTCCCAAGTGATGAAAACCAAGTCAAAGACTGGCTAACAGGAGATTGGCTCTGGGAATATCAATCTGGAACTAAGGTCTCAATTATGTATGCTAAATGAGATAGCAGTTGGAAGATGTTTAACATCTTGAACTGCTTTAGCATCTACATGGAACCACTAAGTGAGGTCAGCTAGAGGTTTGGACTGAGGTGTCACCAGTATGTGGATGACACACAACTCTATGTTCCATCTACTAATCTCAGGGAGGCAGCTGAAATCCTGAGCTAGTGTCTTGAGGCAGTTCTGGGATAAATGAGGGCAAATAGATTAGACTGGAAAAACCTGCTAATCTGGATTGGTTTCTTTCAAGAGGAATTTAAAGGCATTTAGGTATGTTTCTGTCCTTCTGCTCTTCTTTTTAGTGAGGAGAGTTGAGTTGGGTCTGCCCTTTTATATACATTTTATGGATGAGGATTGGCGGTTCTTCTTTTATTCATGCTTTTATTTGGGATTTTAGTCTTTATTTTTGCATTGTGCATTGCTCTGAGCCACTTCTGTGAATAAAGCAAATGGTGATGATAGCTGTTGTTCTTTTCTTTTTTTAAGATAATACAGGTTTGATATATTGTAGATCCTGCTATTTGGTTTTTAAGAATTGTTTTCAACTTAATTGTTTTTAATTGGTGTTCTGTATTATTATTATTATTATTATTATTATTATTATTATTATTATTTATACCCCGTCCATCTGGCTGAGTTTCCCCAGCCACTCTGGGCGACTGTATGTGTTTTAAGCCACATTGTGAAGGTTCTGTCAAGGTGAACTATAAATATATAAAATAAAATCACCACCGCACAATCATCCTGGTGACAAATAACCTCATATGCACAACCTCATAATACCTAGTAACCCACTGGACATTCCAAGAGCAGATAGAATCAATGGTTAGATGGTTGCTTTTTTCTTAAAGTAAGTTGGAACGATTATATCCACTGATAAAGAGAAAGAATAGATAAAATGAATAAGGGCCAACAGTACAATATGACAGTGGTTTGCCTTAATAGTAATATCACATGTTAAAAACAAACAAACAAGGGAGGTAATTATTCTGCTGTATTTGGCAATGAGCCTGTACAGCTTGGAATGGACTTTGGCTTTTTGTATTTGACTTGGCACCAGCAGGCCTCATTTGGAGAGCTGGATGCCATGTGGGGCACCACATTTTAGAGGAGAGAGAGAAAAGCTGAAGCGAGTTCAGATGAGAGCAACAGAAATGATGATGGAGTCAGTAAATAACAGCTCTGAAGGAAGCTTAAGGGACTGGAGCCTCATCATTCGAAGGGGAAAGAAGACAGAAGGGAGGCATTATCGTCTTCAAATATGCAAAGTGCTGCTACACCAAAGACATGGGCCAATTATTCTCATTAGTGCACAAGCACTAAGCAAGTTGTAATGGCCTTAAGATGCAACAAGGAAAATGTTTAATTTTATTAGGAGAAAAATTTGAGAACTGTCAGAAACAGGAAGTACTGAAGCCGTTCAGCACCCAACTCTCTTCTACTGGAGATACAGAATGAGAAGGCTGTACAGGTCACACCCAAATATGTAGCTTTAGAACAGAGGGTGACTGTTCAATAAAAATGCTAGAAGTTTGATTTCAACTTCAGTTTCCTTCCATGCTGTGATGGGCTCATCTCAGTTTGGAACAGGGTAGTCTTTCCCACTCTTTTTGGCACAAATCTTCAAAGAGAACCCAGAACTCACAATATCTTATCTGTGAGGCTGGGCCAGCACAATTAAGGACCCTCAAAGCATTATGCCTGACAGTTGCTTGACAGTCCTTTTGTTTCCCTCTTTCAAACCCAGGAAATTCATTGTGCCTCTGAGGTTGGCAGATGTAGATGAGGAGCTGTGCTTGATCTGGTAAGTCACAAGAAAGGTCTGCAAAGCTCAGAAAGATCAGTGGCTAAGTTTCAAAATGGGAAGGAGGTAAAATGGCACCCAAGGAGTTGTTTATATAGCTCAGTTGGTAGAACATGAGTCTCTTAATCTCAGGGTTGTGGGTTCGGGTCCCACATAGGACAAGATTCCTGCATTGCAGGAGGTTGAACTAGATAACCTTTGTGGTCCTTCCAGCTCTACAATTCTGATTCTATAAGACGGGGTGGGAAACCTCCACCCCATGGGTCTAATAAAGCCCTCCAGGCATCTCCATCCAACCCTCAGAATTTTTTCCAGGCCACACCCCTCACCAACCCTGCTCTGTTCTTTCCTCAAGCCCTCAGCTGGTGGGGTGAAGTTGCAGCAATAACCTTCTAGCAGTGACATCACTGTCACTTCCTGGAATGGGTAAGGTAAGAGCTGTGCAGGCACACCAGTACAGCTAATATAGCACTCCCATTAGTGCACCCAGTATTCTTTGTGACCTTCCATGGAACCTGATTTACATGCAGCACTCATTTTGCAACCAACAGTTGCCTCAGGTGGTAAAATGTCTTCAGCCAGCCCTAAGCAGAGATGGGATACTTCCAGAATCTGTCACTGGGCCAACCCAACTTGGGACCTATTAAGTTGAAAACAGTCCTCCTATGCCTGACAATCCTTGGTTTTTGTTTCAGACTTTCAGTCAAATGCAGGATGTCAATCAAGCCCTTAGGACTGCTAGATTTATGTACTGTACTAGATTAGCACTGGAATTAATGTGACTTACTAGGTCTCAGCTTGTCTTCTGTATCAGGCCCAGCTGCCTGCTGATGGTGAGGAGTAAGCTGTGCACAGAGGTGGTCTAGGTTGCTAAAGACTGGGAAGGAGGGCTTGCCCTTGTCAAGCAGTGGCCTCCTAACATAGGGTACTAAGCTTGCAAGGCAGGGGGAATGGCTCCATGTTGGGTATTGTTGCTGGCAGGATTATGTACCTGTCCCAGACTTTCTGCCTATAAGATTTTTTTTTTTAATGGAGGTCTTGAGAATTTATTCACAGGTGGAAATGCATACACACTGCATAGAGTGACTTGTCCACAAGGGCGCAAGCAACCTTTTACATATTGGAGTCAATGGTAAATATTCCTTGCTTTGCTGGAAGGTGATTACTCCAAAAAGATAACTGGCATTGACTCTTTCAAAGCACTTTTTACATGAGATGGTAGTAGTTCTAAGATCAATGCATGGGCTCACAAAAGAACCAAGATGCCAGAATTCCTACTTCTCTGAGGTGGGGAGTGTGGAGAGAGAGAGAGAGACCAGCTTCTCTTTGCAAGCACAAGATTATTAAAGCCAGCTTGGCATAAAAAGCAAACCCCAAGGAAAGGTGCCAAAGTTGGAGAGAACTGTGACGTTCTTTCGTAGCTATAGCAATAATTTTGCAAACGACTAATAATACAGAGTCAATAATCAGAAAGATGTTCTCTGAAGTGAACACTACTAAATTACTTCAGGGAGGAAATCAATTATCTCCAAGGTAGCTGCAGCTCCCCAGCTCAATATCCAAATTTATGATAGCCACTGCAGCTACAGAATGCTGAAATTCAAAACCTTTCAGCAAGGAAGTCACCGTGGTTTCTCGGGAAAACTGACAACTCCCCTGCATTACAGAAATATTTTTGACAACACTCTTTACTATAATTTTTTTTTTGTAACCTGCAGCACTATCAACACAAAATTCACGTCCAATGGCTAGACCAGCCATTCTCAACCTTTAATCCAGCATAGCCAATGTGGTTCCCCTCCAGCTGTGGTTGGACTGAAACTCCCATCAGCCCCAGCTAGCATACCTATTAGGTACAGATGATGGGAGCTGGTAGTCCCACAAATATCTGGATGACACCATACTGGCTACCCCTGCAGCATATTCACTGAATGCTCCCTCCTTAAAACCATCAGTTAAAAAATTGAGAACAAAGAGCACTCTAGACAAAACAACTTATATAATTGCTATATATTTGACTACACAGTGTATGTAGCAGTGAGAATGGCTACACACACACACACACACACCACCTTTCTTCCATTATGGAGCCCAAGGCAGTGAACATGTGGTAGCCAGGCAGTCATTAACCAAGCTCAGACCTGCTTGGTAAGGTGGCAAGACCACAACCTGGGAGTCATCTACCATTTTTATAGAAATGATGCTTAAATAAGGTGACATATATTGGAGTTTATACTGGAAATGCATAAGTGCTAATATATATATATATATATATATATATATATATATATATATATATATATATATATGAGTTGCCCATCTCTACTATATTTTATAGACTCTTTCATGTACTAATCTGCTGGATATTGCCTCTTGCTTTCAGGATTACTAAACTATTATTCCAATGAACATTTCACTCCCTGGCTGTCCTCTTTCTTTATAATTGCAGTTAATGTGGAGCGCTTATGTACTATATCAATTTAATATCTGATATGGCCTCTGTCAAGGTATTACATCCTGCACTTACTGGGTGATGGACTCTAGCCTAATAGGGCTTTTCTGTCTCTAACTACCCTGATTCAGTGTCCATTTTGCTATTCAAATGGAACAGTGTCTGCTGAGATGGAAAACTAGAAAGCAATACTTAGATGGAATAATTTAAATTTAACAGCAGTTTAAAAGCATTTGTTTTAAATTGCAATAATAACAGAGGGAAAACACATATGGAAAAGCTGATTCATTTGTGACGAATACATCATCCAGAAAGCCTAATCTTTTGCACAGACAGCATACAAATCAATTGCAATATCTTTGACCATCTTTATGTTGTGGGTGTTTAGACTGGAATGAACCTGCTAGGTATAGCTGTACATGTCACACTGAAAGAGGACTCCATGGCGGTCAAAGAACAGGAAGAAACAGTGAGATCCAAAGTGGACTCATCTCAAAAAGAAATAGGGAAAGGAGTTAAGTACACACTGCATGCAAATACATGTGACTGAACCCCAACACCATTTTTAAGAATGAAAAGCCACTTCAGGAGAGTGGAGAAATGGAAGGGGGCAAAGGGGAAATCAACTTGTTCTCCATCTACAGATACTTTGTCCCAAACCACATCCTAAACCACAGCAGAGTGTGGACGGACAGACAGGTACCTGGGCTGTGTCTGAACAGGGAAATGTGAGGACAGGAAAGATTTCCATTCATCTACCAGCTACATAGCTCAATCTGATTTGGACTCACCACTTGGTGACTGCTTTTATCTTAAAGAAACAGTGTGTGCTAAATTTAAATGGTTTTTTTTTAATTAAGTATTTTATTTAAAAAGATTTTAAAAAATGATACAATAAAATCCATGGATTTATGTCAGCATCACGACCAGTTCTAGTGCATACATTGACATAAAAAGCCCAGTCAGCTTGGGTCCCAAATATCTGAAGGAGCACCTCTTCCCATATAGAAATGCCCAACTGCTGACATCTGCATGGGACGTCCTGTTGACAGTTCTGTTGTCCTCTGTTCATGGGGCAGCAGTGCATGAAAGGGCCTTACCTGTGGTGGCTCCTAGGTTGTGAAATGCCCTCTCCTCTGAGGTGCACCTGGCCATATAATTTTATTTTATACATTTCATTGCCAGATCAAGCGCGGGTGGCACTGTGGGTTAAACCACTGAGCCTCTTGGGCTTGCCGGTCAGAAGGTCTGCAGTTTGAATCCCTGCGATGGGGTGAGTGCCCGTTGCTCGGTCCCTGCTCCTGCCCACCTAGCAGTTCGAAAGCATGAAGTACAAGTAGATAAATAGGTACCGCTCCAGTGGGAAGGTAAATGGCGTTTCCGTGCGCTGCTCTGGTTCGCCAGAAGCGGCTTAGTCATGCTGGCCACATGACCTGGAAGCTGTACGCCGGCTCCCTCGGCCAGTAAAGCGAGATGAGCACCGTGACCCCAGTCGGTCACGACTGGACCTAACGGTCAGGGGTCCCTTTACCTTAGCAGTGGAAGATGAGATGAGACTATCCCTGCCATTTAATATTTATGTAGTACGTGGTTTAATTATATTGAGCTGTGTGTAACCCACAAGGCAAAGGGTGAGCTATAAATGAAGTTGACTGCAGTGGGAGAAAGTAGCTGTTGATGAGGGCAGAAAATGTCTGAGGGTGGGAACAGACCCACTGGGAAAATGCAAACGGAGTGTGGTGTCAAGAAACAGGACAAATGTGACTCATTTAGGGAAACTGTATGCTTTGCTGATAAGCTGTAGCAGTTGGATGGCAACAATCAAAATACAGTCATACCTCATGTTACGTCCGCTTCATGTTACGTTTTTTCAGGTTGCATCCCGCGGTGACCCAGAAGTACCAGAAACGGTTACTTCGGGGTTTTGCTGCTTGCGCATGGACAGTAGCACTAAATCACGCCACGCACATGCGCAGATATGGCACTTCAGGTTGCAGGCTTTTCACGTTGCGAATAGGACTCTGGAACGGATCCTGTTCGCAACCGGAGGTACCACTGTATAGTAGAAATGATAGACTGGCCAAAATTTGGCCAATCACATGTTTGTCCTGGCATTTATTGGGAAGGCAGCTTGAAGAGTAAAAGTCCAGGTGTAAAAGAGCTTCAGAGACAGGAGGACTATAGGACAGGGCAGTAAGGGAGCTTTACATTATAGAACTAGGTTTCCTATCCATGCCTATAGTTAAAGCTTTAGTGTTCCCAATAGTGATGTATGGAAGTGAGAGCTGGACCATAAAGAACGCCGAAGAATTGATGCTTTTGAATTATGGTGCTGGAGGAGACTCTTGAGAGTCCCATGGACTGCAAGAAGATCAAACGCATCCATTCCTAAGGAAATTAGCCCTGAGTGCTCACTGGAAGGACAGATCCTGAAGCTGAGGCTCCAATACTTTGGCCATCTCATGAGAAGAGAAAACTCCCTGGAAAAGACCCTGATGTTGGGAAAGACTGAGGGCACAAGGAGAAGGGGATGACAGAGGACGAGATGGTTGGACAGTGTTCTCGAAGCTACCAGCATGAGTTTGACCAAGCTGCGGGAGGCAGTGGAAGACAGGAGTGCCTGGCGTGCTCTGGTCCATGGGGTCACGAAGAGTCGGACACGACTAAACGACTAAACAACAAATTAGGGAATTGGAATCTGCAGCTGATAAACGTTGTAAAAATTTCAGTAAGTGTAAGTTCCCTTAATGCATAATTATTCAGAGGCATAGCGGAGGATCTCTCTAACACACACAGACATACACTAAATGGCATATACAATAAACCAAGAATTGGTACAGAGAACATAGTAATGGCAAGTTACATAAAGAGCTAAGATGCAACCCAATGGGCCTATAAACTCCAGCCAGGCAGAACAAAGGTAGAGAGCCTTGCTGGATATTTTTATTGTTCTGCGGTTTGTGCAGTAAAGAGTTGCTTCTATTTTTACAGCTAGATCATGTTCAAGAGAGGTGTACAGCCTCTCTGCAAGGAATGCAGGTTTACAGTATCTGCTTTCAACAAACTTTTTCTCCAGGCAAAACAGACACTTGCTACTCACATGACAGCATACGGGGGAGTGATGCTGAGAAAATGAGACAAGTTGTGGGTAACATTTTTGCTTTTCTTGTAAGAATAATCTGACTAATGTCGGAATGATTCCATCAGTATTGTCAGAAATAGCTCTAAGAACCCTCCAGGTATGTTGAAAGTCTTAGCAGAGGCTACAGCTAAAGCAAACTGGATGCCAAATGACTAGAGATTTCTGGAAAGATATAAAGCAATAGCACTAAGGACCTTGACTTATGCTGATGAGTTGGAAGTTTTCACTTTACTAATTACAATGAGGTCTACTGGAGCTGGACTTTCTGCACCTTCACAAATTGTCTTATACAGTGTCTAATAGTTTCTACGTGACCATACCTAGAGAATGATAAAAAATTGATTGGGTTTTAACAATTCCAACGGGGCATTATCCCTTATTAATCATTATCTCACTATGCATTGATTAACTATATCCTACTGTAAAATAATGATGGATGTTCACATACTAATGACACCTCTCACCTCTGCCTGAAAGTCACAGAGGTTGTGATTGTGAGCCACAGGCAAAGAACTTTTCTGTTGCAGCGCCTAGAATAAACATTAAGCAGCAAACAATAAATAAAATGAAGGCTGAACATAATGAAACATGTTGTCTCTAAACTATGCCAAAGGCACAGCTATTCCTGTATATTATGATGTTTGTTAAGAGTAACTGCAACTTCTAATAGACAGGATAGTTTGCTGTTCAATAGTAGCTCTGTCCTAGCATTAAAAATAGCCAAATTCTATTTCCACCAACATTAGGCACAATATTAACCACCTGAAAGCTTATGAACGCAATCCAGAGATGGTTTCACATGCCTAACTTCTCCCCGCCACCCGGTGCGGTGCTAGTTGCCTACTTTAGAGAACAATGACAATCCCACCCCATTAATGCTCACAGGATTTGAACATAAATATGGCTATTTGTAAGTAACCCACTACGTTTATGCCCATAGCCCTTCCGGCTTTGTACCTGTTTTTTGTTAAGTGGGAATACAGCTACAACAACTCTGGTTCCTTGCCTGGAACCTAGTACAATGGTACCTCGGGTTACATACGCTTCAGGTTACAGACTCCGCTAACCCAGAAATAGTGCTTCAGGTTAAGAACTTTGCTTCAGGATGAGAACAGAAATCGTGCTCCGGCGGCGCAGCAGCAGCAGAAGGCCCCATTAGCTAAAGTGGTGCTTCAGGTTAAGAACAGTTTCAGGTTAAGTACAGACCTCCGGAACGAATTAAGTACTTAACCTGAGGTACCACTGTATCTGCCAAGAAGATTCAGTATGAACCAACAAGGGAGGGACATTGACTTGTATAGTATATTATTATTATTATTATTATTATTATTATTATTATTATTATTCCTCCCTTCATCCATAGATCTCAGGGTGATTCACAACCGGTTCACAGGGCAGTTATTTGGGAAATGAAGTGGTACGTAGTTGTCACATGTCAGTAGTGGGTTGGGCAAGAGGTAAAAGTGTATAGAACAATGAACACAACTCTTAACTTTGTATAGCAGTCAAAGTTCCAACCATGCAAAAAGAAGTTTCTACACATCACCATCCACCTCCATCCTCTCAACCAAAGATGCAGTAACAGTTTTTAGGTAAAAGCAGCCAGGTAAAAGCAGTCACAGAGGGCATGGGCACATGGCCTGGGCAGAGTCCCAAGAGAGGGGCCTGGAGGACCATATTTAGTCCCTAGGCCTGAAGTTCCCCACTCAGTTTAAAGAGACATGTGTGCACATAGAGCTATTGCCATGACTGTCAAAGGACTTCTAAGTTGTTGTCTTTTAATGGTATCTTACGCTTATATGAGAGAGAGATGCAGGTGGTGCTGTGGGTTAAACCACAGAGCCTAGGGCTTGCCAATCAGAAGGTCGGCGGTTCGAATCCCCGCGACGGGGTGAGCTCCCGTTGTTCGGTCCCACCTCCTGCCCACCTAGCAGTACTAAAGCACACCAGTGCAAGTAGATAAATAGGTACCACTCTGGCAGGAAGGTAAACGGCATTTCCGTGCGCTGCTCTGGTTCGCCAGAAGTGGCTTAGTCATGCTGGCCACATGACCTGGAAGCTGTACGCCAGCTCCCTCAGCCAATAAAGTGAGATGAGCGCCGTAACCCCAGAGTCGTCCGTGACTGGAACTAATGGTCAGGGGTCCCTTTATCTTTTACTCTTATATAAGCTGCCTTATACCAGTCAGGCCATTGGTCTACCTAGCACTGGCTCATATGATTTTGCTGTTAAACTGGTAATTCTGTGCTTAAGATCTCTATGAAATTCACAGATAATGAATTTCATCACTAATAAATAGTCCTGCTTCTTATTACAATGGAAACATAAAAAGATTTCTTACACAACATCTTCTGATGCAGTAGGCAGGCTGTGGCTATTGTCTGTGTATCTTCAGATGCTCAAGAAAGATTGCATTCCACTCTGCAGCTAGAAGCCATGTCTGGAAGTATCCTAAAATATTCAGCATCTATTAAGTAGGTCAGAGCATCTATCATTTAGAGCTCATCATAAGACACCAATCAACTTCCCATCTCCTTGCTTTTAAGCTGTACATGCCAACACAACTCAAGGTTAATATTAATACACTATAGAGAGAGCAGGGAAACTGGTTGCTACATATGAGCCTTGAAGCTGCCCACTTTACTTTGGGGGGGAGGGGAGGTCGTTGAAGATGGGGAGAGAAACTTAAAGGAAACTAGAGGTGAGCTCTGTAGCTGGTGCCTCTCTTCCTGGACATCATAACAGAAATTCACACCCAGGCAAAAGCACATTGAGGATGGACATCTCTCTACATCCAAAGTACCTACTGTGGGGAAGAGCAGGGAAGGAGGAGGAAGAGAGCAACTGCTGGGTTGCTGGAGGAATAGCTGACCACCACCACTTGTCTCTCCCTTGAGCAGGTTTGGGGAACCTATGGACCTCCAAATTGTTGGACTACAATTCCCATCATTCCTGACAATGATCACACTGGCTAGGAATGATGGAATTTGGGAGTCCACCAACATTTGGAGGACCACAGGTTGCCCATAACTGTCCTTGAAGAACCAGTTGTCACAGTGAAACAGTGCCTATTCCCTGCCTTTGTCTCTCTCATGAGATCTTGACTGCTCTCTGCTTGGGGCCTCTGGCATAACAAGCTGCCACAACCACCTTTCAAATCAGCCATCTGAACCCTGAAGATGCAATTTAGCCTCACCCCAACTCTTTCCAAACAGTGGAGCAGGAAGAAAAATGAGTTTTGAAAGTGGGTAGGGGGGTCTTCCCTTTAAGTGAAAAGGAGAATATTTAACTCCGTCTCTTCCTTAAGAGCAACCCAACCCTCGCCATATGCATGCAACATTCCTGCCAAGTTGAAATACTATTATAACAGTGGTTGCTGAATGCATCAGGATTGTTTAAAAAAAGAAACCTGAAAGCATCCACCATTGCATAAATTGAATTTAGACACAAGATTTGCAACATATGGTTTTGACTGCACTTGTGAAGGACCTACTGTCTTCATGGAATATTCACCCAGAAAATAACCACTGTGGCTAACATGACGTTAACGTCGTGACTGTAAATGTGAAAATGAAAGAATGGATTTCATTGTCAGCTTCCAGAATGATTTCATAGGAAGGTTCAGTGAATTTGTTAGACCTAGAGAATTAAATATAATAGGCAGAAAATGATGAGGCTTCTTTATGATTTATGCATCTGCAAAAATTTGGATAAAGATTACCAAAGGTTAATATGCTCTCTATGAATCTGAAACACTTCAAAACTGTCCTATCAAATCCGCATCTCCAGCAATATTCTGACACCTAGTGGGAAATGAGTATAACTGCTTATACAATACAGCTTTCCTGCCTTATATTTTTTTCTCTGTACTTAATGTATGCCCACCAATGTCACACATCCAAAGAAGTGAATTCTAGTTCACAAAAAATATGTGATACAATAAATATGTAAGTCTTTAAGGAGCCACAAAATTCTTTGTTGCTTCTGGTTCCTAAGACAGTCAGAATAGTATGCCTTTGTCCATTGTTTGACAGCTGATTTTTTTAGTTAAAAGGAAGACAAAAATTTATTGGGCTGGGGTTACCCTCTCCAAAAAGGTGAGGGAAAGGTTGTGTGGCTGAAAATGCAAGATGGCTACTCCCAGAGAGTAATTTTCATCACAATTTCTCCTATGGAAGGTCCCGGAGGGTGGTTTTGTATCTAAAAAGATGTGCTTGTCAATATGTTTTCGTCAACATAAAGCATTTCATTGACATGTAAAGACTGCTGTGATGTAAAACTCAATTTAATACTTATATTAATGCTTATATTATATTAATACTTTAATATATTTCGTCTGGGCAGCCTTAAAAACAGTGATTATTAGAACATCGGGCTAGAATTTGGGAGACCAGGATTTGAATCCCCACTCAGTCTGAAACTCATGGCTAAAGAGTGGCACCTTTAGCAACTTGGATATAAAGGTGGTATATAAATGCAATAAATAAACAAAAACACAGAGCTAGGCTTTTCAACGTGTCTGGGAATCCTGGGGCGACCAAGGCTCCAAATCACATGGAAGAAGCTACCTACTCACAGGAACAGGCTGTAGCATTGAGCTGCTTCCAAGCACTTCCACTCTCGCCCTCTACTGGCTCAGCCCACAGCTCTGAAAATGGCATTCCCTGTAAATGCTTCTAAGCATCCTCTGGAAAATCCAAAATGCCTTTAGGCGGGAAGGAAGGGGGACCCCGTGGCATATGGTGGGCTTTGAGTCCTTAACTATTACAAAGGGGGACGGGGGAGTGGAGACTGGCTGATACAACTTACCAGAAGCAAACTAAACAAAAACTTTAATGATAAGCATCAGGAAAACTACGCAGCAGCTAAGACAACAAACTACCATTCCCGACAGGCAAAGCGCAGGAAGGGCCGTCATAACAGACCCTTCTTCCTTCTTCCTCTGCACGTCACCAGAAAGTTCCTCCCACGTCCCATCAGCCCCTTCGCACGGATTGGGTGACGTGTATTGAGGGGAGGGGTCAGCGCGGCACGTAAGAGTGCGCGCCGGCGAGATGCTTGGCTGGCGGGCATTGTAGTTTCTCTGCCTACGACTGCGCTGGGGTTTTATGACGAGAGGAACTACATTTCCCAGCATGCGCCGCGCCGCGCCGCGCGAGGTTTTTTTTTTCTTTTTTCCCCCTCCAAGCGGCGAAGGTACAGTCATCACACGGGTAAACGGCCCAGGAAGCCGGCGAGTGTCACGCATAACAACAGGCGAGAAGTTTCGAAAATGGCCGGGGAGATGACGGTGCTGGGTGAGTGAGAGGGGCCGGCTGAAAGCGGGTCGGTGGTTGTGTCAGCCTCTGCGCCTCGTTAAGATCCCCCCTAAATTCTCGCCTGCCTGTCTGCCTCCCGCTGCTTTTTTTGGGGGGGGGGGACGGGACCGCGGCCTAGATCCGCCGCTGAAACCCAGGGCTCTACGCCGGAATACTCGAAGCTAAAATGAAAGCTTTTGAGTACACGCAGGGCATTGGAGGTGTCTGAAGGGAGCCTCCAGTTCCAGAGGCAGTCTACCTGTGCGTTTGAATGCCAGCCGCGGGGAGGGACGTCGCCTTCATGCGCTGCTTATAGGGTGGCTTGAGGCAAAAGAGGACAGAACTCCCCTCCCCCACTAATTCGCTGTGTAGGAAAGGGAATGCTGCACAACTACTGAAAGTGCAGGAGACCTGTGTTCTTCTGTCTCTGCTTACACGTGTCGGGTTGGACTAGATGACCCTCGAGTCCCTCCCAACTCTACAATTCTATGAATCCTGGAGGCATCTGGTGGGACCCTTTGGGCTCAAGACGCTGGACCAGATGAGTTTTTGGTCTGACCCAGTAGGACAGTTCTACTGATTTTTAGGCTTTTGTATTGTGGTATATACTGGCCCGGACACTGAGGTCCAGTTCCGAGGGCCTTCTGGCGGTTCCCTCGCTGCAAGAAGTGAGGTTACAGGGAACCAGGCAGAGGGCCTTCTTGGTAGTGGCGCCTGACCTGTGGAATGCCCTCCCACCAGATGTCAAGGCAATAAACAACTATTTTACTTTTAAAAGACAACTGAAGGCAGCCCTGTTTAGGGAAGTTTTTAATGTCTGACGCTGTATTGTTTTTAATATTCGGTTGGAAGCCACCCAGAGTGGCTGGGGAAACCCAGCCAGATGGGTGGGGTATAAATAATAAATTATGATGATGATGAGGGGGAGGGGTGGAGCTGCTGCCAACCAGGAAAAAAAGTGATCACCTCAGGCGTCTGATCTTTGGTATCATGAAAAGTTACAAATGGTTTTGCATGTATATAGTATCTTCACTGCCCAGGAGGGGGAGAGGCACTTGTGGGATTTTCTGCTTCCGGTACCAAAATAATTTGACCAGCGTCACTGCTATTCATTTGCTGCTTTGCCTCAGGATGTTCCTGGACTTAGGGGATGAGAGTGTTAAAGCACTTCCTTTGCAGACTTCAGTATCTGTAATTTTGCTTCTGGGAAACTGATCAGTGATTGGTAGAGTCACAGGAAGAGGGGTGTTTAGTGAAGCAGTTGAAGAAGGAGAGGATGAAAGTTATTGGTTTTCTCTAGGAGGGTGCCTTTCATTGTCTTTCTAGTTTGGAGTTTGTTACACAGGCAATGTGTTTGCCATCTGCCAATACTGGAAAAAGGCTTGATGGACCTGTTTCAAAGAACTGGCAGTGCCCATGACTCATCAGAAAGATTTTATTTGAGTGGATAGCACAGTGAAAATGCCAACAGTGTGAGGCAGCTGTGAAAAAGACACTATGTGCTAGGATTATTAGAAAAGGAATTAAAAATAAAACTGTCAGTATCAAAATGTTCTGATACAAATCCATAATGCACCCCTTTTGGAATATTACGTACAGTTCAAAAATGATATTATAGAGCTAGAGTAGACGCAGCTAAAATGACCATGGAGTGTATTAAAATCTAAATGGTTTGGGGATCTTTAGCTTTTTAAAAAACTATGATTTATAAGTGACACAATAGCTGTTCTAAAAATTGTACCTGCTGTGTATGATCTAGTTGAGATTCCTGCATTGCAGGGGGTTGGACTGGTTGACCCTTGGGTCCCTTTCAACTCTATAATTCTATGGAAAAAAATGGATAGTCTTGTTAACTTCTTCTGGGATTAATTTTCTGACTTTTAATTTTTCTTTCTTTCCTTTCAGGTTCTGCTATTTTGACACTTTTATTAGCTGGATACCTGGCCCAACAGTATTTACCTATGCCCACACCAAAAGTAATAGGGGTTGACCTTGGCACCACATATTGTTCAGTTGGCGTTTTCCTTCCTGGCACAGGGCAGGTGAAAGTGATTCCTGATGAAAGTGGGCACAACAGCATTCCAAGCATAGTGTCATTCACGGAGGGAGATATTTATGTGGGATATGATGGGCTAGAGCTGGCAGATTCAAACCCACAGAACACTGTGTATGACGCTAAGCGATTTATAGGGAAGCTCTTCACGCCAAAAGAATTGATAAGTGAGAGCCGCAGATACCCATTTAAGGTGAGCTTAATGTTTTGTTTGCCAGCTAACTGCCAATGAGTGTTTGATACCCACAATTCTCACTGCTGTGTAATAAGTTAGAAGACCTGAGATGATTCATTTGTTCTAGGAATAGGTGAAGCTGAGGCCTTGTGGTTAGAAGTGCTTCGTACAAATGAGGAGTATGTTTTATATTTTGTGCTGCTGGGAACTGCTTAAATTTACACCACTCTTAAATATTAACTAAATCATGTGATTTCAGGTAATGTCTAGTTCAGACAAATCCTTTTAAATGAAAAATAAAGCCTCTATGATGAATTCTGGCATGTTTCTGTGGTTCCTATACATATGGAGGTTTAATTTTGTTTTAGAGTATACTTTTTTTGCTGTGTGAGCCACCCAAAGAACTGTCATGAGGTGGCTATATAAATATAATGAATAAATAAGGAATTTTACTTCTTAACAGCACACTCCTATGCATGTTCACTCAGAATTAAGTGAGTAATTCTGTGTACAGGCGGGTCCACTCACTCATATGTACGTGATAGCAGCTTAAAGATTCTGCTTTTCTCTTGTTTTTCAGATTATTAATAACAAGGGAGCTGCCGAATTTTCCATTGCAACCAATGAGACTTATAATGTGACACCAGAATATATTGGTTCTCAACTCCTTTTGAAATTGAAGAGGATGTCGGAGGACTACCTTGGAATGCCTGTTTCCAGAGCAGTTATTTCAGTGCCAGCAGAGTTTGATGAAAGACAACGAAACTACACTATTAAAGCAGCAAGACTTGCAGGTGATTCACATTTCCCCTTGTAGTCTTGCTAAACTCAGTTTATTTTCATAATGCCATACTTGGAGCATATATAATAGTAGGTCAACACTGACTTGTCTTTTGCTTTGACTTGTGCAGCGTTAGAAATTGTGAATGAAATTGCTCCAGAATGACAAGCAGGGTTGGAAACAAAATCACTTACAAATACACAACCATTTGTTGTCTGAAGGAGAGTTAGGCACAAGTCTACAAGCTTTAATCATTTTATACTTAAATTTCCACTCAGTCGTCATATTTGGTTTAGAATCATTATTTTACTAGATGGAATAGGAGGCAAAAATATAAATATTGATAACTTATTTTATCTTTTGAAGGACTGGAAATCTTGCGGGTAATTAATGAACCCACTGCAGCAGCCATGGCATATGGTCTCCACAAAGTTGATGTTTCTAACGTTCTGGTCGTAGACTTGGGTGGAGGAACGTTGGATGTTTCTCTGCTGAACAAGCAAGGAGGGATGTTTCTGACCCGAGCCATGGCAGGTAAAGAAGAGTCTTTAATGCTAGGGTTTGAGTCACTAAAATAATTTTACTTGGCAGGTCTAATACGGCAAGCTGTAGGTTGGTTCTACATCTTTCCTCCCTGCTTGTATACCATTGGATACACTCATGCTTCTCACTGGTAGCTGAATATGTGAACTGACTTCATTGAAAAAATGCTGTAGTTAAGATTACATGGAAAGATGTAGAAGTCCTGTCCGAGGTGCTGCATTTGTGATGGCCTGCCCATGCATGCAAATTAACACTTGATGTTGCAGTAAACGGGTCATGAATGAATGCCTTGGGTCCTGTACTGGAAGAAAGGCGGGATATAAAGAAAATAAATAAATCTGTGAGTCTTCCCTATGATGAGGTGGACATAGAGGTCAGAGAGGCGAGTTATTGGCCTTAAATTTTGTGTGTCCCATTTATTCCTAATATATTTTCTGGACAGTGAGCACCAATGATTTTTTTTGTGTGTGGAACTTGCTTCCAAATAAACCTATACTTGTGACTAGCTTAAGCCAGGTTATGATGCACCAAGCTCAGTACAGCCAGCCAGCTGTCTGTGGCAGCTTCTCAAGGGCTCAGTGAAACCACCTGTTTTATGAGATAGCTCATTCAGTGGAGCAAGAGACTCTTAATTTTGGAGTCATGGGGTCATGTAGGGAGTTGGACTAGATGACCCTCATGGTCTCTTCCAACTCCTCAGTTCTATGCTTCTAAGCTATACATATCATTGTCTTCAATTGCTGTGAGTTGTCTGTATGTCGGCTTTGTATTTTAGGTAACAACAAACTTGGAGGGCAGGACTTCAATCAGCGACTGATGCAATACCTATATGATGAGATGCATCACACATATGGCTCTCTGCCTTCTAAAAAGGAAGAGATACATAGACTCAGACAGGCTGTAGAAGCTGTCAAATTGAACTTGACAGTTCACAACTCTTCCACAATCAGAATTTCTCTTACTATGCCACAGCGGAAGGACCAACATGAACCCTTGAAGGAAGAGAACCAGGTATACAGCAAACATGAAAATGTCCCTTCAGAAATCGAAACAGGGATGAATGAGGACCTGAAGGGCGGTCTTAACGTCCCTTGGAAAAAAGTTCTCTTTGAAACTGAAATTTCCCGGAAACTCTTTGAGACATTAAATGAAGACCTTTTTGAGAAGATTCTTGTTCCCATTAAGCAGGTATTGAAAGAAGGACATCTACACAAGACTGAAGTAGATGAGATTGTATTAGTTGGAGGCTCCACCCGAATTCCAAGAATACGTAAAGTTATTACAGAATTCTTTGGGAAGAAACCCAACACTTCTGTTGACCCAGATCTAGCTGTGGTAATAGGGGTGGCCATTCAGGCTGGAATTGTGGGGGGATCTTGGCCCCTCCAAGTTAGTGCTGTAGAAATTCCAAACAGGCATTTACGAAAGACAAATTTCATCTAAGCTTCAGTGTTCTTATCCCATTTTATTTTCTTCAGTTCCATAACTAAGCAGGGCTCTATATGTCCTAACCTAAATCCATTAGCATGTTGGACTGTTCAGTGTACATTAGTTCCTTCCCTGTGTCCCTTGTAAGGGATTAGATATATAAAGAAGAAAATCTATTGTTAATACTTGAGCTACAGGAAAACATGAGCTCATTTGTGAAGGAAAGCCAATGATCAGAAACATTGTTTCTGAAGCATGATTTTATTTTATTTTATTAATTTAATAATCAACAGAACCTCAAGACTTCTTTACTTGAAAATGGAATTAAACCATTCTTAAGTAATGAGGGAGATAGTGTTGGCATTGTTTCCTGGCACTTCCCAGGAATATGTATTGACTGTGAACTGGCCTGGCAGTAGCAGTATTAATGCAGATAGCACAGCTGAAGTTCATCTTAAATGGCATTTAAAAGCACTTTTCTTAATGTTGCATTGAAGCTTGAATGTGCTTTAGATAGTAGCACTTTACCAAGAGCTGTTCTGCAGATCCTACCAAAAATCTAATGCATTCCTTAACATTAGCCATGGGGAATCATCACTATTGGACACCTCTTAGTATTTCTAGTATAAGGTAGTAAGAGGCAAACATTATGGTTTCTACTCATGTGCTGAAGGAAGTTTGCAATTGTATGTGTTATCACTGGAAACTCCATGATCGTATGGTATGTTGTCTTTGTTCAAGCATAATTCTAAAACTATGGTTTAGTTTAGTGCTATGTGAATGAGGCTCTGGTTTGTGTGCTCCCACTTTCCTTGTCCTCAGGCAGTTGTGAATAGGTTAGCAGCTTTCTTCCTTTTTTGGTTAACTGCAGTTTAGCTTTACATCCAGAACCTAAACTGTGGCTAGTCTTAACTATGGTTTACTGAAAGAAGCCAGCTTCATAAGCCACTATTTTGAAGTTGGCTTGTTGCAAGAATCCAAAATTAAGACTAGCCTGTTCAAATTTTACTTGAGGGAGTGCTTGCACCTGAGACTTATTCATGTAACACTAAACTATAGTCTAATGTTGTGCCCCAAGCAAGGCTAGTGTAAAACTTGGATTTTTTTGGTTTTGATCAGTTATTACTACTGAAAAATTCCATAATGCAGATAACTCTACCTTTGCTTTAGTTACAGTTTGTGCAATTCAGAGAACAGTCTTTTTAACCATTCCATAAAAAAAGTTGAAGTAGCAATTTCAGTCTATGCTTTTGTAGAAACTATTGAAACTAAATATTCCAGGACTCTTGAAAACACTCCATTCTTGTTAATAAGAAAACTGGTATTTTCTGGCTGCTGATGTTAGTCAGCAGCATTGAAGTAAACATCTCATTGTTTACTTATTTTAGATTTAGATTTGCTTCTAAATTTGCAATTAATGACATAGGGAGTAATGTTTAATCCTAATGTGTCAAAACGCACACAGTGTTGCAATGTTAATGCAAACAATACTGAGTGTTTTTTGGGGTCTCACCCTCAAATATGTGCAAACCTGAGATACAATGGTCAGAAATTTTCCTAATTATGGTGGTTAAAAATGTGCCATTGTTGAGGAGGTAGTTAACAAACATTATATCTCATTGCCCAGGTTACTCTGCGTTTGTCCACATAGGCACTTTGTCAAAGATCGTCATAATCATGTGTGTAGAGCGAAATGTACTGTACAATGTGGCTCAAAGAACATTGCTGAAACCTAGGTCTGAGTGGTTGTTTTTTGTGGTGGTGGACAAAGGGCACGGAGAATGTTTTCAAGGAGCAGAACCAATTGTGTAAAGAGCAGGATGCTGTGTGTGAACTGCCCTGTAGTCTTTGTGTAGATACTGAAGATTATATTGCTATTGGTAGGACCACCAACTACTTGATCAGGATTCAAAGAGCTGGACATCTAGTTCTAGGAACCTAAGGATCTTCTGACTCCTAACCCATCCTGCAAAGCAAATTGCTTTTAAAATCTGGATTTTGAAAGTAGATTGTCATAAGTCATAGGTGTTCTGAATTCATGGTTATCAGCTGCTGAAAGAAGCAAATACAAAGAAATCCACTTGTGGGCCTCAGTAGCTCATGGGAACTCGGACCCATTGTTTCTTACTTCGGATATAAAGAAGCAGACCAGTCTTTACTTTTAAAGAGACTTGAATTTTTTAGGTGTACAGCAACAAGAGGTGAACCAAATAAATTGAGAATGTGAATCAGAGATTGTTGATGGAATTGAAAAAAAGTCACACTTATTCTCAGGCTGTCCTTACAGTATCGGTAGATAGAATACAGCATTTTATCAGCAGATGGCTATGTGAGAAATGAACTTCCTCTTGCACTATGGGAATTCTCCTTCCCCCTCTCCTCATAACGGCCCTGGCGTACTCCCTCAATCTCCTCTGGGGGGTTGGGGAGGTACAGACCATTTGTAGCAGATTTTGGGGGAGAGGAAGGTGAAGTCCTGTTATGCGAGAGGAAATCCACTTGCACAATGTTGGAATGCAACGATAAATTGCATTTTTCTCGTAATGAGAGGAACGTACATCTCACATTTTTTTCTAAACTTTCCAACACAAGGCCAACTCCTGTTGCCTTTAAAAATTGGTTATAGCCCTTCCATATATTAAAGGGGTTACCCTTCTTGCTTGGCTTGGCAAGAAGAGAAAGCTTTGCCTCACAGCTTTCTGTAATCCATTTTTATTGAAGTTTTATGTTGCCAAATGATGATTTTACATGGCAAGGCAAAGTTACAAGTGAAAACCATACAAGTTTGGGTCAAATATAGATAAAATTAAGCTTCATGGAAGTCAAACTGTTACAGACTTCCAGACGCTGATAAGTTGGGTATCTCATCGATCAGGATAGCTTCTAGAAGTTTCTAAAGAGCAGAAAGGCAGCCATCTCTGGTGGACCTAGCTCTAAAGAACTGTTTTAAAAGCAGCTTACTCAGGTGCTGTTAAGGCATGCCTCTGTTTATGGCAAATGAAGCAGACTTGATTTTCTTCCTCACCCATACTGATTTGATTATGCTGGAGCCAGCTTACTGGCATCCTTAACTGTGCCCCCTATGAGTTGCTGTGCTGGTGCAGTAGCTTGCAGAACCCAATTAGTTTTAAGGTTTACTTGAAGATTTAGAGTTCTTTTGCAAAGAAGTAAATGTATTTTGGACTTTAACTTATTATGGCAAACTTGTAAACCATAACATGGCCCCTATTTTTAGACAAATAAAATATTTTTCTTACTGAAGCCATTGGCTTTAAAACACACACACTCAAATTGTTCTCACAGGTTTCTATAAAAAAATAGACATATGGGAAAAATAAGACTTGGACAGGCGTATTTCATCAGTTGGAATCCTGATGGGTTAGCTAAGTAACATTTGTATCAGCATTTCTTGCTGGAACTACAGTTCCTTTCACACTGGCACATAAAACAATCAAGCTGGGTTGCAGGCTACTGTGAAGCGGATTTTCTGTGTGGAAAAAGGATAATTTTGTTTGGAGACTGCATTTACAAAATTGTCTTTTTGTATTATCAAAATAAAAGACCTTTTATACTGTCTGTTGTGCTTATTTTGAGACTGCCCTATTGAATGTAAATGAGGTCATGGCCATTAAACTAGGGTGTTTATAAGATGGAGGGGATTCTCGCTGCCACATAGCAGTTTAATAATGCTATTGCATAAGTATGTCAAGGCTTGGAAGGATTTCCATAATCAATGCATGCACACAGTTTTCTGAAATATTAAGAGTATTTGCTCTGCAGCTTGAGGATTTTCTAGAGAGCATCCAGCCCACTTCAGACAACGGCAAGCCATGGTTTGTTCTGAGGCTGACAGTGTCTCTTCTCCTTGCCTTCTCAGAGTGAGAGAAAGAGAGAAGCTTATATTCACAGTTCAGAACAAATTGCAATTTCCCAGTTTCATCCCGACAGAATGGAAAACAGCAGCTTATTGCAAACGCTGGAACAGAAGCTTCGCATTTCTTAAGGCTAACTGTACCTTGGGGCAGTAACAAACCTTGGTTTATCTTTTAATTGAACTGGGCTATGGAAAATGAAGGGCTTGGTGTCACCGGCTAATGAATTTGCTAGATTTTATGGCGGGGAATGCCCAATTGTGCAGTTCTGTCCTACTTCACTTGCATTTTCTGGGACCTCAAAGGTGATATTTTTGTTGGGAGTACTTTGAATTTAGTAGTAGCGAGTTATCTGGCCATTAGGCAATACTGTCTACCCTGAACCATAATGACAAACTGGCAGGAAGAAAGTGAAACAGGGTATGTGTTTAGTAACTGAAATCAAAATATTGCTTCATTTCAGATTTTTATGCCATGCTTTTTCAAAATTGTAACAAGCCCTGCCCCCCCATACTTGGTGATGATCAGGACTGTGTTCGCAGGCCTGCCTTCCCTTTCCCCAGTCAGATGTCCAGACTGCAACTCATCGGTCCCAGCCAATAGCCAAGGCTGATGGGAGTTGCAGTCCGAAATGGACAAATAGCACCGGGTTAGCAAAGGCTGCTCCAGAGCCAGAGGGGCTAAACTGATTCTCATCATGCTCCTTGTAATTAATAAGCTGCTACAAGTTTGCTAACTTCGATAATGTATACAGACACACATACCTTGTATTAAAAACATTTAATATTGGCAACACAGTTCATTTTTAATTTTCTTTTTAAAAAATCCCTATAAAATGAAATAATTATTGCTATAATTCTTGTAGAAGAATTCAGGAAAATAATAAGCACTGTTCATATTAAAGATTGGGTGTCTGCCTCCTGTGGTATTCCAGCTTCTGATACCATTTCATAAAATATGCCTTTCTGTTGTAGCAACCTGGCTGGAGTATCAAATTCAGCAATCCTTCCAGAGTTCAGAACAAGCACCCTGAAAGAGCAAAACAATGTAATGGGGAAAACTTGAATCTAGGAAGAGTTAGAGCTGATCAACTTGCAAAATAAATTTTACATTAAGCAGTTCATTTGTTAATTAAAGATTTCTGGGATGAAGGTTGACTACTTTAAGGCAGGAGAGGGGAACCTGCGGTTCTCCAGCTGTTGCTGGACAGGAGTTGGAGTCTCAACTTCTGGAAGGCAAAAGGTTCCTGACCTCCACAAGGAACAAGGAACAGCTCAGTCTAAGAGCACAAGCTCTGCTTATTGAAGATTGAAGGTTAAATTTCTATTTAAACAGAAGATAGCAAGTGATGTGAAAGACGAAATAACCCAGAGTCAACCGTATTGAGGTAGATGAATAAATCTGACATGATACAAAGTAGCTTCCTATCTTCCAAAGAATTTTCTTAAAAAAAATAAAATGCTGACCTCTAAATTCCTGAATACAATTACCTTTTCATCAAACAAATTTGATTCTACAAATCTGTGGCTCCAAACACACTTTGCCATTGAGCTTTGTGTGTATTACAATGGGCAAATTCTACTGAATCCAGTAGTGCTACCCACCTAGCATTCAATAGGCAGTAGATGGCAGTTCTTTTTTATGAGGAGACAGTCCACGGAAACTGAGGCGGGATGGTGATTTTGTTTGCACCAGGCCCAAGCAGAAACCAGTTTATCCCTTTACTTTCAGGAGCTGCTTAGAGGGGTGGGAAAACCACATGGCACTTACAGCAACATACCTATCAGAATCCAGTATGGAATGCAGCCTGTGGGCAATGGTTAGTACTGTGCAGTTGTGGAATTCTGACCGGATTGTGGATTGCACTTGATTGTCTGTTTCCATGTCAACAGAGGCTGTTGCTTCATCCAAGATTAATACTTTCGTCTTTCGTAGCAAAGCACGAGCCAGGCAGACAAGCTGTCTCTGCCCCATGCTGACAAAAACAGAAATACAGTTTTAGTACGTGCTCTTGAATGGCGCTAGGCCTCAGTTTCTGATTGGGCAGCTGGTGGCTGCTGCACCATCTTGTGAATAGGCATGCAAGTTTTATGTTTGTGTGTGTACACAAAAAGGATGACTACAAAAGGATCGAAGGTGGCAACAGTGCTAGAAAAGGACTGTTTTGGATATCCCATTAGAAAACCACTGCCAGTCTGAGAAAGCAAATATGGGGATATGTGGACAGACTCTGTCTAGGGCAGTTTAATATGTGCAAGAACAACCCCCACCCTGCAAATCTCTGGATAGGTCTAAGGTGAAGAAGAGAAGAAGAAGAAGAGTTTGGATTTGATATCCCGCCTTTCACTCCCCTTCAGGAGTCTCAAAGCGGCTAACATTCTCCTTTCCCTTCCTCCCCCACAACAAACAGTCTATGTGAGGTGAGTGGGGCTGAGAGACTTGAAAGAAGTGTGACTAGCCCAAGGTCACCCAGCAGCTGCATGTGGAGGAGCGGAGACGCGAACCCGGTTCCCCAGATTATGAGACTACCGCTCTTAACCACTACACCACACAGACATCCAAGTAGAGAATGGTAATGTTTCTTCACCCTTTGTCCCTTACTTTGGGCCTGCCAAGTAACACTATCTGTGGGTAGCTTCATCAGTAGAACACCACTTTGGAATACTAGTACTCCTCTGCTAGTGGAGATCATTATTCTTCAGGTTACGTAGCTCACCTCTTAACATAGTTTAAGACATACCTCAGGTTTTCACCACCCTCGGAGATCTCATGGAGAAGTTTCTTTGGGAGTGACTGTACAAAGTTCTTCAAGTCACACAATTCCAGTGCATCCCACAGTTCAAGATCAGAGTATCTTCCAAGTGGATCCAAGTTTGACCGCAGTGTCCCTGAGAATAAGACCGGGTCCTATGGAATAATGTCTAGACAGTATTTCCATGTAGTATAATATTAGCGAGTTTAGGTTTCAGATTGATATTACTTTGGGATGGGGTCAGGAAGGGCTGCTGTTCCTCCGCCTCCCCTCCCCATCATTAAGCTATTAAATCCTGACTGGTTTTAGATATATTTGTAAAGAAGCAATAGATTGGCATCAACCTCCTTGAGTGCAAACAGAATAAATGGCAAATTTATTTGTAAAGATAGCTGAATCTGAAGACCAGGAGGGACAGACCATGGGCTGTTATTCCCTTGTGGCAAATGGACAGCACACTACCTACCAGAGCACAATAAACTTGGCCAAAGCCAAAGGCTGTTGTCATGCCAGTTATCTTAGAGAAAGCTTTCATCAGAAGGGCAGTTGGAAAAAAGGCAGGAGATCAGTGGGCAATGAGAAGCCCATGCAATAGGAAGTGGGAAAAGGGTGGAAAGAACTCTGAAATATGCCACTAACTAGGCATAAATTCTTGAATCCCTGGGCAGGCATTCCTGATACATGTTTCATATGTTATCCCCTATTTTCCCCTCTCCTACAATAGTCAGTAAAGGACTGGTTTCTTCCAAGACAGCAGGCGGTTAAATGCAATGCAAAATCAACAAGTGGACCTAATGGATTACAATATTTTTTGACAAGTTCATTAAAATTATTGTCAAAAGAATAATGACAGAATTCAAAAGACTAAAGCTTATAAAAGAATTGTGTGGATATTAGACAGACACATACGAACACACGCACACAATGCTAACCTGTGGAATAATGTTCAGGTTGCCACGTAGGTCATGCAAACCAATAGTTGATATGTCAATGCCATCAATGATTATTTTGCCTCCAGCTCTTTCTATTATCCTAAACAAACTATTTGTGAGAGTCGATTTGCCAGCTCCTGTTCTTCCTATTATTCCAATCTGTAACAAGAATACTTTTCAAAATATATGTGCATTTTAAAACGGCAGCAGTTTCACTATGTTACTTAACACATGCAAAGAAAACAGTATAGTTCCATATAAAAAAAGCAAAAAAGTCTTGAAAAATAAAAGCCTTCAACAAGAAATCTCTACTAGCAAAGGTTAGTGGCCAACATTAGCAGATAACTGATTGCTTTTTCTGGTTCACACATCAGCCACAGTGCTTGTGCCATGCAGGAATAGCCACAAAGCTCAACAGTGCACCCACCCACACAAATATAGATTGTGTCCTGAGATCACTAACAAAAACCTAAATGCCTTCTTTTTTACACAAACCTTTTCTGAATGATTTTTTAAAATTGATTGTCCGCTGATTACCTTCTGCTGCTATTGCTACTTTAATTGTCATTGGTTTTGGTACACATTTTATGCTTATTTTTTGTTTGCTTTCTGCATACCACTCTGATATTTTATTATGCGAGCAGTTTATACATCTTTCAAAATAAAGTAATAAAGAACTGAGCATGTTTTCAACTGGTCAAGGGCACTGGCTGACAATCCAGTCTAGAAGCAAGTTTGCTCCAAACCAAGGCCCTATGCTTGTTCTGGTGTGCACTTGGAGCTGTGATGCCTGAAAAATGCTACATTTCCAAACTGAAGGGACAGCCTGATAGCACAATTGAATACAGACATGTTACAGCCCTCTATTGATGTTAGACGGGCAGCATTTTAAGATGGAGAAGCTTGATGGGCCCCATCCAACTCCTTTTTGTCCACAGGAAATCACTTAAACCAGGGGCACTCAGTTTCAAGAACAGCAGCCACAAATTACACAACAGACTTTGAAAACATATATTTAAGTAGATATTATATTTTTAAAAGGGAAACAGGTATGACAGAGTACTTAATTTTGGCACGTTACCTTCTCTTCTTTGCAGCTTTGAAAAGTTACATCCTGCAGAGCCAAGTCCAGATCTGGCCTGTACCGAGCTTGGAAATTTACAAACTGTATTATTCCTTCCTTGGGCCATCCCACAGGTGGACGATTGGATAATATCCAGGGGGCCTAAAAGGGATAAACAAACTTTGAAACCGATAAAACAAGCCACAAATTAGTGAGCATCAAAACATGTACTTGAAAGTATTTCACAATATATAAAATTAGCCCCTGACCACTGCAAGCTGAAGCTGCCTGTCCAGGCTTCTATCCAAGGAAGCACTAAGCTACTTTTTCCATGAGCACAAGGATTTGTGCTTGCACAATGGAACTTTGCCCCATCTCCTCCCCTGTGCACCCCCTAAATCTGTTCTGTGTTCCCACCACCCCACACCACCCACAAGCAAATTTGGTGTGGGCAAGGGGAAAGGAGAGGGGAGAAAATTCTGTTGCACAAGCACAAATCCTTGTGCTGCAAAAGTTTGGAGAATCTCTGGCCCATGGCTACCTGCCCATCAGCTGACATAACTGATACCATCAGATACATGGGAACTTCTTGGAAACCCCACTGTATGCTGATCCTTTCAACCTTTGAAAAGGACCATCATATTCCAGAATAAAGGGTCTCCTTGCCTTTGGTTTTCCCCAATTTTTGTCCCCTTCATCGCTGTGTGGCAAAGCAGTCCCTGCCAGAGTTGATGTAACTGGCTCTCACAGAGACTGCTCCATTGAGCAGCAATGAGGTAAAAAGCACAGGGTTCCCTGCTCAGTTCCTGCTCCTCTTTGCTTACACAGGAGAGCAGGGACTAACTGAAAGCAGGTGCTCTTTGCAGCAGTTTATCCCACCCTTTTAAAGGCTGCTTCAGCAGCAATCACAACCTAAACTTGGGAAAGGTTTCAGCCTTCCAGTTCTCTGCCAATTATTTTTTCAAAAAATTCTTCATTACTTAATTTCAAGTTGTATGCTTATCGTCATTTCACAAAAACTGTTTTACCTCTTTGTCTGTCTTTTCATACTCACAAACCCTTTCAATGGCGATTGCATTGGTTTCAATTTCACATGCTTTTCGGACCCAAAAATTCAAACTTTGAGTTATCTGTAATAAATGAATACAGAACTTGTTGCAGTGGGTTTAACCTGTTAAAATCGGTGTGGTTCTAGACAGTCACTGCATAGACTAAATATAAAGGAAATGGTAGTTTTACCCTGTTTTAAGAAATACTTAAAACCAATGTTATGCTGCTAGGCATACTGAATGGCTTAGATCCAAAGGCATCTTGTGTGAGCAGAAAGACACTTCTTAATTTTCCTGTCCCCCTCCATGCCGTTCCAGAGGGTCTCTTGAGATGGGAAAGGGGAATATAAACTGAATGAGCTAGGAGACCTAATATGCAAATTGGACAGCCACTTGCCCTTATCTGGAGCCAACCCAATGTGTTGGCAGCACTTTGAGACTTCTTAGAACTGCTGGATTACCGCAGAGTTTGGCTTACTGTAACATCAATGATTCCACTCCTACCAAATTTGCAATCCATTTTCCAAGTACTGTAACTGCATTAAAAAAAAATGCTTACTTACTTACATTCAGTGCATATGTTATTGATAATCCTACTGTAGCAGAGTCCACCTTGCTCCCAGCAAACACTGCAAGCAATGCAGCAAGGAAGACCATCAAGTTTCCCAGAAATTCAAGTCTGACAGCCAGCCACCTGTCATAAATGCATGCCCAGATTAATTAGGATTCAATTACACAGTTATCAAATTGGTTAGAAATATCTGCATTTTCAGTCCTGTCAATTAAAATAAGAATATAGCTTGGTGCTTTGGGGAAGGGTTGTGGCTCAGTGGTAGTGCACCTGCCTAGCATGGGCTCAAGGTCCCAGCTTCAATCCCTGACCCCGGCCCACCTGAAATCCTTGAGCACCGCTGCCTGTCAGTGCAGCCAGTGCAGGTAACTTACAACTTACAGACATTTAACTTGTGTGCATTCAGCTTTGTGCACTTGGAAAGTAAAAGGGGGCAGAAGTGGGGCGGGCGTCCAGGGAAAAAGCTACTTCTGGAAAAAGAACTTTGGCAATCCCACCCGCCATTGAACCCAATGTGTTTTGAATATACTCAATTTTAGATTTACACGCTATCCCCAGAACATAACCCCCACATAAGTTGAGAGTTGCTTTAAATGAATCAGATGGACTCCGTATAAGGAATCTTCCTATGTTCCTAATCTGTGTATAAATCCTTTCCCATGATATCCTAGGATCATTAATACAGTACCTGTTTGAGATCACGTTGTTGTAGAAGCAAACCATGTTCTCATTGACAACATCTTTGTTCTGATTAAGAAATCTTTCCTGATGTCCGAATGCTCTGATTGTGGATACACCTACAAGCGTTTCACTGAAGTGTGAAATTATTGGTGTTTGCGTAGCTCCAGATAACCGTCGGATTTGTCTGGAACTAGCAATATAGTATCGCTAATGAAAACAGACAAAGGGAGGGACAGGTAAGAAGTGTGTATAGGGCACCAGGGCATTGTTTTGATTTGATTCAATTGTATTGTTTTATATGGTATTGTTGTAAGCCTCTCTGTGGCCTACTGGCAAAGGGCAGCATACAAAACTCTTAAATATATGAATTGCCTTAGACCAGAAAACCTCCTACGTACCCTACATCTTAGAATAAATATAGGCCTTGGATAGCAGAACAGCAACTTTCCCCTGAATTGTGCAATGCAAGTCAACTGCTCAAGAGGAATGCCTTCCTCTTCCCTTTCAGTTAGATAATATAATTAAAATAAAATAAATGGGAGTAAAACAAGGATATGTTTTATTATTATTTTTCTGAATGCTCAGCCTGGCACTTATTCAACTTACTTGCACAGTGAAATATAAGTATCCAAGCGGAATAACCCCCAGTATGAACAGGGGTGATGTATACACAATCACAAGGATCGTTCCAACCACATCTAGTGTACAGTTCAACCAAGTCCGTAGATAATAATGGAAACGTATATCAACTATAAACATATCCTAGGATAATTGGAAAGAGGGGGGAAAGAACAGACATTTTTTTTAAAAAAAATCCTTCTTATATATTTGAAAACACTTGATTGTTTCTCTACTACCATGTTCATAGAACTGCATTTGTAGGTGTTGCCCCTAGGCTGTATACCTTTAAGAAACAGAAGCGGTAGTGAAGTCTACAGGGTCAAAGTGTTATGATATGAGTACTACGCAGCTGCGAATAAGCTCAATGTTTACATCACATGATGGGTCTAAGCGTGGGACAGGAAGTTCCAACCTGTTCTTAGGGTTGTGTTCTCAGTGTAACATGAAACCTTCCTGTTGTTTGTGTCCAGGAGGAGTGAGTCAGTTGTTCGGAGGATTCTGAGAGAGAAGTCATGCTTTTGTACAGTGTACAGTTCGGGAATAAAAGTAGGATCAAATAGACTACTTTTCAGACTGTTTTCTTTCTCCTGCTGCTATGCAATGGGGAGAGGAGTGTGCACGTTTCAGGAGGGAGGTGTTGCTTATCAAAGACCTTCCTGGTCTGTCCGGATGCCAGCCAGGGTAGGTCACCGGCAACAGGCCCCAAGTGACTGGGAAGAGGAGCCAGCCTTTCCCGAGGGGGCCAGTTTCCAACACAAAGCCCAACATTTAAGTAAACCATGACAGTGCACTCATCCCTCACATGCCTTCCAGGAATAGGCTTTATTCACACAATTTTCCTAGAAGCAATTAACATGGAAATGAGCACAAAACTGCCACTAGATCCTGCTAGATTTCCAGAAGCAGCTTTTACATGAAACTGAAATATAATGCGGAAAATAACAGTGAAATGTCAGCAAAACAGACCAGCCATGTGAATGCAGCCTAGATCTCTTTTCAATCTGATTAAATACACCTAATCAGACTCTTTCTAACTTCCAAATAAATGCGCAAATTATTTTAGTGCTACACTGCTATACATAGTTGTGCTTTTGTTGCTATGTTCTTAATTTTTTATAATAAAATATATTCAAGGTCACACTGCAGTTGATACTTGCCCGGGTAGGTCTCATAAGAAATAAGAAATAGGAAATAGCTGTAAAAGCTGGAATAAGTTGACGGGGGTACCACAGAGTGAGAGGTGTTGATTTTGTTGCATTGCCTGAACCTTGGCAAGAATTCTCTTGCACATGAAGGCATTTTACTGTTTCATTTAAAGAAAAAGAGATACAGAAAGGTAATGACAGAGGTAATGATAGGCTGCTACGAGAATCTTTCAAACAGATACTGATTTTAACTGATTGTTTTATTTAAATTGTTGTAAGCTGGCCTGAGCAATGCAAACTGATTAAAAGGGTGGGACATATGTTTACTAAAGAAATGGGATATAAAAAACTTTCCAGAATGCCCTTCTTCTGAGTAAGGACTGACATTTCTAGATGAAAAAACTCATGTGATCTAGCCCTGTATATGCATCCTTCCAACTGGAAATTGTCATCACTGTCAACATGGAAAGGAAAATGGACCAGTGGCTTCTTGCAGTGATGACAGTATGAGATGCATTCACACCGGGGGGGCGGCAGGAAAGGGTGAGTAACTTTCCCATGACCCAAGGATGAGAGGCAGGTTCTGACCACCCTCCCAAAGGTGAAACACAAAACAGACAGAGAGTATTTGCTCCTTACCTTTGTGAACCTGTTGATGATTTGACCTACGGGGTTAGTTTCAAAATACTGGAGTGGAAGGTGGAGCACACTGTCTAGCAACTGATGATGCAAAGACCGAGATGCAGAGAGAGATCCTCTAGTGAGCACATACGCACCACAGCAAACCAAAAGACCTTGGATGAACAGTATTAAAGGCAACATTAAGAATTTCATCTAACTTAGTTTCAAAGAGTTCACCACAGCAGCTTCTCCATTCAAGATAGCTTTGTGTGAACCTTAATCCATCCTCTCTGCTGGTCTCCAAAGTATGGAGAGAGATGATGAAGTAAAGAGTTTAACTCAGTGGGCCCTTCAAACTTCCAGGAAACCCCAAGCAGCGACTCAACGCTGCACGGAAGCCTGAGGTACCAGAGCATGCAAAATCACAGTAAGCAGTTCCCTGCCCTTGTTCAGATTGTATTATGCATGCAGCAAAGAGGTTCCCTGAACTGTTTGTTTCCTACAAAGCATGCCTTTGGCATACCACCTCCACAGATCTCCCTAGCGTGTGTTAAGTGGCATCACACTAAAGCAGTGTTTGTAATATTGATGAACAATTAAATGCCTCCTTTGCCATCTGCAGGTAAGCAGAAAGAAGGGGCCAACCTTGCAGAATGACCGCAAGAATTAACCACGGTTTACATGAATCTTAGTGTAGGAATGCCAAGGAAGCTAAACTTGGAAAAGCAAAGAAAATAGTCAGATGCCTCATATGCGCAGGCTTACCCTGTAGGAATCCCAAGAGCCCATAGATACTAAGTTTGTAGTTTCTTAAGTGTTTCCATTCTGTGTAGTCTTTGATTTCTTTTGCTTCTGTTGTCCATGTGCTGAGCCACAGATTTTGCCCTATGGCTACAACATTTTGGCCTATGTAAGCTGCTACGGTTAGCCATACCCATGACCAGCCAAACGCTTGTAGGTACTTCAAAACAATTGACATTCTCATCTAAATATAAAAGATGTTCATGAGAGTTATTACAATATGCAGACAGGATAGTCTTGGTAAATTAAGTAGGTAGAATAAGTGATTTATACTTCTTCAAACCCAATATAAAATTATAAAACTCAATTTCGCATAATGAGTCTTCAAAAATACATTCTCCCCTTCAAGCAACTGATTTCACATTTGCATCTACAATTTATTTTAACTGCTTGTTGCATTTTAGAAACATGTAAATAACATTAAAAAAAATACTTACAGAACCAGTGGCAACTTTTTCTTTCTTCATTAAGAATGCATTCCTTTGATCAAAAGAAGAATTGCAACAAAAGTTGTTTTATATTAAAATAAAAAACAAAACATAGAACCCATCTAAAAACAAGTTGTGAGTATTAAAACCTTCAGGTCCTCTACAGAATAGGCAGAAACTGTACCTTCTCTGATGGACAGGAGTACAGGTGTGCCCCAGCCTCAGGCCACTTACATCAAGGGCGGGTTGAAGAAGACAAACCCACAATTCTGTGTAAGTGCGCAATAAGGAATTGGAGCACAAACAAAGGAGATTGCCACTTGCATTTCCTTCACCAATTCCTCCTTCCTGTTCCTGCTCCCCATATCACATTCCACACCATTGTGGGTGGGGGGGTCTCATGAGAAAAGGTTTTCCATTGGCATAGTGTGCTCCAGTGGGAAATAGGCAAAGAGCCCAATTCCACTCATGGGCATTAGGATCTTGCCCTGTGGTTCTATAATATGCCCACAAGAGGGCTGCACCACAAATCTAAATGAAAAGCAAATGATTCAAGGGGGTGGAGGATGCACTATTGCATTGTTTTTACTACTTTGTTGTTTGCTGCCTTTGGAAGGAAGGGCAAGACAGAAATTTAGCAAACACTCACTCATGGCACTGAACTCTTTGGATGCCTCCACTCTAGGAGTGAAAGCTATTAAGAGTGGTTTTCATATAGTACTGAACTGAAAAATCCATTTTAGAACTCCCCATCTCCCAGACTGGGGCTGCAGAAAAGGAGAAAGACATCTGGGTATTTGCAGGGCGGATGGTTAGTTACAGCTACACTATCCTGGTCTCTGCTTCAAGATGATTCTGTCCATCTGTAAAGCCGGCTACCTACTCTGCAAGAACCCTCCAATTTCGTAACTACCGCATATCCTATTATCTTGGTTTGAGTAAGGCTAGAGTTTCTTTGTGTATGCCTTCAGCTTTGGGGGCACCAGCCACCACTGGATCCACAAGATCCAAATGACAGCCAATGTATATAGTAAGAGAACTGCTGGTCCCCCTCTGAATGCATTTGCAGCTCTACTTTTCTCTGTTTTGAGCTATCATGTATACTTTATTTTATAAAATTCATACACCACTTGCACTGTAAAAACAACAACTTCAAAGCAGCTTACGAAAGATAAAACAAATAAATAAAAAATTACAACTCTACTTTAAAACAAACAACAGTTTAAAATTACCTCATGGAAAGTGGCTCTAGCAGCTATTTCTGAGTACTCACCTGTCTTTTTCCCCCAGCTGTCTTTTCTTTGGTACAATGTGGTCTCTTGTTTTGATTTTACCTTAAGAATAAGGTTAAACAGGATTTATAATAAATAATAATAATTACCTACTGAAATACCTGCGATATATTGGGTTGAATCCAGAGACACCAGAAATTCTGGCAATGGTGCTGTGAGCTGAACAGCACCATGAGCTGTTGTGCAAGATCTAGCAGAAGGCACTTTGTGCAACATCAAACAACAGCTTATGCAATGACTTGTACAAACAGCAGAACATCTCTGAATTCTCCTCTCTGCTCAGGCAAGGAGCTTGTGCGAAGTCATAAAAAGAGAACTTGTGTTTTTGTGCAAACACGTTTTTGGATTCAACACAATAAAGTGTAGTCAAATGAACATTCATCAGAATAGAAACAGATCATTTAACTGCTGATACAAAACATATACAGATGATGTGAACTTAATTTCTATGTTCATTCATTAGTCGGTCAGTGATCCCCACCCTCCCGCTGCCCCAACAAAATGAATGCAGCCATCCATTCTACTGGGCACAAAAGAAGTACTGAAATATTATAATATGATATTCCAGCATCTAAAGCTAGCTGAATTTAAGCAAAAGGATTAATTTGACTGTTACAAATGACTTGTTTATACAAGTGGTTATCTGTTCACTTTTTTCTTTCCTTTTCCATCAAAAGGCCCATCAGAACCAACAACCTCTGACAAGATCAGGGTTGGGGCCCACCTCTCCTTCACCGCATGGGAGGGACTCACAAAGAATAATTGGACTGTTATTTCTAGAGAGTGAATCCCATAGACAAATACAGCCAGTTATGAATGATCTAGGCTAGTCAGAAAGAAGTTCTGGCTAAAATAAACTGGATTATTTTGTTTTTCCATGCATCAGATTTTAGCAGATCTTGAAATCTTATAGGTTCAAGAAGCCCAAAGTGGCAGAAGATGGAATTATTAAACACACACACACACAGCAGAAATGCACTGAACATTCAGTGCATGATGGGGCAGCAAGATCACACTTGAGTACCATCCCATTGCACTTTACATGCTATTTGCTATAATATCTAAATGGTGAGTTTCATGACAGGGTATGGTGTCATGGGTAAAGTACTGGACTTAGAATGAAGAGATCTGGGTTCAAATTCCCACAACTCACCCATGAAGGAATCTGGTGTCCCTGGCCTAAGCACTCCCATTCAGTTTAACCTACTTTATAAGTTTATAGCCAACCCACAGGGAGACACTATATTCTGCCTGAGCTCCTTGGGAGGAGGAGAGACAAAAAGTAATTGATTCCTACATGCACATATATAGCAGATAAGGTGTCATCGCTACTGTTCAAAACTAGGGAAGTCCTACATGTCATGGAGGCAATAAGCCAAATCTATGGAAACCAGGGTTATAACAGGTATGTCTGAAAGGAGGTAGGCACAATACACATGCATTGGCTTTTATCATTTTGAGCACAGGGTTCAAATGTCACAAAACAAAAGAACGCAAGTTGGCTTGTACAAATCTGTTTTGTTGCCTACTTGACACTGAGGGCCTCTCTTCATCTTCCTTTCCTCCGCCAAAGGTTTGAATAAGCTCAGCAAAGTTTGCTCTTCGAGAGAGTAGGTCTTTGTAACTTCCCATTTCAGTAATTCTACCATCTTCCATCATGACAACTATATCGGTCTGAGAGAGGATTGCAAGGTTGTGTGTCACTAAAATACGAGTCTTGGGAGAAAGAAAACACAACCATGTTTATATTTTACACTGTTAAATAGAAGAAACATGTTAAAAGTATTAATTCCAAAGACTGAAAAGAAGCATCATTACGTACCTTGTTTTTCAATAAGCCTGAGGGCCCAATCACCTTCTCAAAAAGATGCTTCCCAACATGGACATCTACTGCAGATAAGGGATCATCTAATAAATAGAGATCAGCACTGCTGTAGACAGCTCTAGCTAGGCTGACTCTCTGTTTCTGGCCACCACTTATATTCACTCCCTAGGAAAAAATAAGGCCAATACTATTTAAAACTTTTTTAAAAAACCAATAATGTACTTCCCACCCCAGTCCCAAAATCCTTAATAATACACATTAATATTGATAATATTAAAAAAGAAATACTCTTATCAGTAGAGTATAAAAACAAGAAATAAAAAGTGGTTAGAAAATGACCTGTGCTTTGGCCAAGTTTCACTCTTTTACCTGCTGGTGTGTTTAATATTGGGTGGAGAACATGGGACCCTCCAGATGCTGTTGAACCACAACTTCTATTAACCCAGCCAGCATGGCCAATGGCCAGGGAAGATGAGTTGTAGTCCGACAATATCTGGAAGGCCACAGATCCCCTGAATAATATTCACACTGCAGTCCCAAAGGATTTCTGTCAATAGATGTGTTATTGTAAACATACAGTCATACCTCAGGTTGAAATAGCTTTAGTTTAAGCATTTTCGGGTTGAGCTCCGCGGCGACCCAGAAGTAATGGAGCACGTTACTTCCAGGTTTTGCCACTCGCACATGCGCAGACGCTCAAAATGACGTCACACGCATGTGCGGAAGCGGCGAATCGCGACCTGCGCACGCGGGTTGCGTTCGCTTCAGGATGCAAACGGGGCTCCCGAATGGATCCCGTTCGCATCCAGAGGTACACCTGTATAGAACTCCTGCAGGAAGACCTTTTACAGAGTTCTGTAAACGTTAAGTGACAGTTCTTCATGTAAGAACTGCACAGGGACATGTATGTCAATGTGAACTTGAACATCTTGCTACATGCCAGTCACTCCACATGGAGTAATAGTGTCACTAAGTCAGTGCAAAGTCTATTTTCTGTGTTATGTTAAGTACACAATATTACCCCAAACACTCTTAGTCTGCTTTTCCGATTTTATTAAGGGCGCAGGTTCATCTCAGCAATGAACTATCACCACAACCAAAAGAGTACAATTTGAAAACGGCTCAGACAGATCCCTAATGAAACCCAACTGTCTTTCTTAGTACTTTTAAATTTAATCCCTACCCTGAATAAACTTTCCACGCACATGGGCATTTTCACTTACCCTTTCTCCAATTTCTGTTTCATCCCCAGCTGGTAATTGCTCCAAGTCTGGCAACAAAGCACAGGCTTCCAAAACCTTTTCATAGTAGAGCTTGTTCAGTTCCAGGCCAAAAAGAATATTTTCCCGTAAAGTGGTATTCTGAATCCAGGCTTGCTGGGACACATAAGCAACTGAACCCTGAAAGAAAGAAGAAAACACACTGAAGTGTGCAGTGCTCTGAGAAGGGCTGAACTCCATGAATGAATATTCATCTTCCTGCAGACACTATAATTCTGGCTCTATTCAGGCTATACTACTAGAATAAGCCTACAGTAGGACTGGCTCAAACCCTTTTCAATGTAGAGAAACAATGAATTTTTGAGAGTTCAAGAAGAGCCACAGGAGTTTTTTCCCTTTTTTAAAAAAAAAACCCTGTTAAAAGGTAATATGAAAAAAATACTGCAATTTTTCAAAGACTCAAATACACAGAAAAAAATACACTTTCAAACAATAAACATTTTCAAAATGAAAATAATCTGAAGGCAAAACAGTCTCATTTTACCTTTCTCTGAGCAGTTCCTCCTGTTTTTTCCATTTCTCCCAGAACTGCAGAAAGGAGAGATGATTTTCCAGCTCCTACTTGACCCACAACAGCAACCAGTGAACCTTCTGGGATCTCTAGGTTCAATCTAGAAATATTGAAGGAAAGAAGTAGAATTTATTTAATGGTTGTTCTGAAGAATAAGACTCCTCACTCAATAGCAAGCTATATCCTGCCCTCCTTGTACTTTTGGGTCACCTGGGTTGCAAAGCTTCCTGCAGAGCTTCCTAGTGTTTCAGTCACCACTGCATGCTGTCACAATAAGGGTTGTCTCTGCTCCAGGGCCTTCCACAGGCTTTGCACACATCATAGCTAGAAGCCGCCATCCATTCCTCTCAGATTACACTCTCAGCCATCAACATTTTACCATTCCCATCCTCATCTAGTTAAAGTTTGTTTCATATGGCCCCTTTTATTAGCTCATGTGTGAAACATGGGGCAGGGGGGTATCCATGGAGAGTGAGTAACCACATCTTCAAATGCTTTTGGCACATCTACAGAGTGCCCAAATTCATTTTGTAGCAGCAAGTCTCTGGTGAACCTGGCAAATGTTTTACTGTTTACCGGTGGACCCAAGTTAATGTTTTAACATGCCATCCGTACAGATCGTGGCAGTTCCTTTGTTTTGTTGTGGATGTACAACAGACACACACCTATTATATATACACACACATAACTACTGTTGGTGATGTGGGAAAACTTAAGGGTGAGGGATCATGGCTGTATATCAATTACTAAAAGGGCTATCACATAGATGATGGAGTAAATTTCTTGGGACTCAAATGAATAGGTTTGAATTACAAGAAAAAGAATTTCAAGTAAATATTTAAGAACCTCCTGACAGTATGAGCTGTTTGATAGTGGAGCAGACTGCCTCAAATGGTGGTGAACTCTTCTTCTTCAGTAGAGGTATATAAACAGAGGTTAGATGAGAGATACTTTACTAGTGAGTTGTCTGAATCAACTGGGGTTTGAATTAGATGACCTTATACAGGAACTGAGCTTTCACCTTGTTTAATAACCAGCAGACTCCAAATTAAGGCACAGCTCTTATATCCTGGATATCCTGTTTGTGCAACACATGATTATTTGCTTTAGGCAGAAGAGGATGCCAGGACCATTCTCATAGCTGCTGTCAGATGTAGTGCATATGAAAAATGCAGAGCTACCTGTACTAATGTTGCCTGCAAATCTGATCTTCCAACTATTTGCCCTTTCAGAGATTCTTTCCCTTCCCAATAAGGTTTTTCCCCTCAGTTCCCCCTCACTATAGGATGTATGAGTTCTCCTTTTCATTTGATCACTCAACCCCAGAATTCAGGACATTGACCTTAGCACATGATTACAGATTTTTGCATTGGACTGTAAATATAGTTTGTTTCTTACTTATTTAAGGTTGGAGCTCCAATCTTCTCCCAGCGGAAAGAGGCGTTAACAAATCTAAATGCATGATCTTGAAGTTCAGAAACAAAACAACTCAAGTTAACAGACACAGACTCTTCAGCCCAAGTTCTCAAGCATCAGTCATATACTGGAAACAGATGAAAAGCTTACCCCCACTGTAATCTGTGTGGATGTTTTGAGGGTTGAGGTCTTCAGAAGACAGAAAATCATCTAAACGAACTAAAGAAACCTTTGTCTGCAAAAACAGGTGCACGCTTAGTCAATTTAGATTTTACAAAATGGACATTACAAACCCATGCAGAGATTTTTTGCTATTTCCAAAAGCAAAATAACACTGCACTGCTTACAGTTAGCCTGAGGCTGAAAACACACTGTTTCTTTGCAAAAGTGTCCCATATGCTTTTCTTTAGCCACGTGGGGTGCTAGTTTTCTATAGGGTCTAGTAAACAGAGTACACTCTACTTCCTTACAATAAGACAGCAATCCTATAGTGCCTTCTGGGTGGACTAGATGGGGCTGAGAGGAGTTCTAGCCCAAAGCGCCTAGGGAACACCAGACTAAGGAAGGCTGCATTAAGTATTCATCTGTTTTCGCTCTGATTTTGATTTAGTAATTCATTGCTGAATGTAGCTTGCAGCACTGCTGGCAATGAAAGGTAAAGCATCATGATCACAGAAGGTACCTCATTTGCAACATCCTTTATACATCACCTTTGGGCTCTCAAAGTGACTTACAACAGTTAAATGATAAAAAGAGCATTAAAACAACGCAATAAAACAAATTCAGAAACAGGTAGGAATCAAAAGATGTCAAAACGTTAGAAAGCCTTTACTGCTCAGATAAAAATCATTACTGAAGGGGGCCAGCCTAATTTGGGTTGCCATATTTTGACAAGCAAAAAGGAGGACACATTTGCCAAATTCTATTTTTAAGTATGGATTGCAATGACGACTCTACCCATGAAAAAGAGGGCATGTCCTGGAAAAGGAGTACATATGGCAACCCTATGAGTCAGGGTGTCACACTCGTTATCACTGGACTCTCATGCTTAAGCCCTTACAAGATAGTTGGCTGGTAATGGCTAGTTTTCAGGAAATTGAGATCTTAAAGCCAAAATTATTCTAATAGTGGAAGTCATTTGTTTAAAATTCAAACCTACCCCCAACTATTTAAAAAGTACAGTGGTACCTCGGGTTACATATGCTTCAGGTTACATTCGCTTCAGGTTACAGACTCCACTAACCCAGAAATAGTACCTTGGGTTAAGAACTTTGCTTCAGGATGAGAACAGAAATCGTGCTCCGGCGGCACGGCAGCAGCAGCAGGAGGCCCCATTAGCTAAAGTGGTGCTTCAGGTTAAGAACAGATCTCTGGAACGAATTAAGTTCTTAACCTGAGGTACCACTGTATGTTTGTACAATATTTAGAGCAAAAAGAGAAACAAGAGGGGGAAGGGCATTCTTGGCCCTTCCGCTTGTGATTCAGTTTTTAGGCAATCTATACCTCCGCCCCACCCTTGATGCTTATTTCCTCTGGCAACTGAACAGAGGGCAGATGCACTTGTATAGGGAGAATAGCAACAGGGAAGTAAGTGGTAGATGCCATATGAGTTTGGCTTTCCACACTCATACATCAAATTTTCTCTAAAATCCAGGGTTGTTCCCTTCCTGCTCTATATGCAATTGTTAAAACAAACAGGTCTGGCCCCAACTTTCAGGATGTGCTAAGAGATTCATCAAACTCCCTCCCCCCCCCCAAGATAAAGGGAATAGTATGTGTTTTAAAGTATGCACATCACTTTAGCAAAGTCCCTTATAATTTTATCTAGCAGCATGAACCAACACATTTTAAATGTTAACTAAAAGATGAAAAATGTGCACATTATTAAATGTTATTTAAGTACCACAAATATCATTTATAACATATGCTCAAACAGTATATTTACCTGAGCTATTCCAGAAATCGCTGTAGGCAAATCGAACAAAGGCAGTCGTAAAATATTAAACAAAGAGATAGAAGTAAACACTTTAGCAGCGGTTAAAACATTTTCTTCATCCAACAGAAAATAGACTCCAAATGTAGTCAAAGAGACCTTTAAGAGAAAGAAGTAATGGGGTTCCCCCCATAGGTTAAGAGCTCAATTTTCAGTAGTACTAACTGAACAGTGCTTTAGTTTGTTGTTTATAAACAGCATGACTGACAGGAAACAACTCAATTCAACATGTTTCCTTGGCAGAAACCACTAGCAAAAACCAAGCTTTCTTAAGTGCCATTTCACTTAGTTTACCTTACTTCCAACTGAAAGTTGAAGACTTTCATATTCATAGAGAAAGCAAGTATATAAGTAATGCACACTTTGGACTATTTGCTATGCAGATAGTATCGATTTGTCCTATAGCTAAAGCCAAAACAGCATTAGGCTGCAATGCTAAAATGGAACTTATACATTCAAAATGAACTGCAAAGTTATAGCAGAATAAATGCACTATAAGTCTTACCTAACAACTAGCATTATATTCCAAACTAAGCTTAAACTAGACCCATTGGGTTGGGTCCTAAATTGTTCTTCCATTCATATAATTTCCCAGACTTTCCTTAAAATTTTATTTTGCTTCCACCATGTTTTCTTCAGAATTTCCCCACTCAAACTCCTTACTTTCTTGTTACATCAAATTAAAATCTGAGCATGAAAACAAAACCCTACTTTGTAATCAGGAAATTTATTTTAAATAAATTGCTCCATTTGTTGCACAAATGCAGAAAAATTACTTCATACACTTGTGGTTTTTGCACCAGCTTGTGATAAAACTTGGATATGTACCACACATTCTTAATGGTGGCAAAATGGTTCTTTATCAGCAGGGTTGTCTTGCACCCAGCAAGATGTAGGATATATAATTACCCAACTGTATAAATGAGTGCTATTTCATTAAAACACACCAGGAAAGGGATACAAGTCAACGTCAACATGGAGAACGTTGTCAGGTAACCAGAGGATTTCAAAACATCGATTTCACGTTCCCGAATGTCCACAATCTTTTTCTGATATGATGGCTCCCATGTGTATAGCTTGAGAATCTAAACAGAGATGTACATTTTGAAACACTGGCACCTGTTAGCAATATTGTGAAATACAAATTTATGCTCAAACGTGTGTTATTATAGTACATTTAAAGTGCAAAACATGCACACACACCCCTCATATTGATGTGAAAAGTAGGCTGTGTAGCAGTTCCTCATAAAACCCATGCAGAGGCAACGTTTCCATTCTATATCGGAGAACACCATCACAGTTTGACATTTACCTCAAACAGAGACTCTTTCCTAAGAGACACAAAGTGATCAGGTAGTCCATTCTTTTTCAGGCAGGGACATTCTACTGTATATGGTGAATGGAAGGACCTCTGCTTGATGCAATTAGTTTTTTCTCTAGTGCCATCAGTGTGCTATGACACTTTATGGCATACAAGAGGACAAGTTGCTGCCCTGAGGCACTTGCAATCTAAGATGTAACACAAGAGAAAAAGCAGAGGAAAGGAAGGGGAAGGGAGGCAGGTCTAAAGAGGGCTAAACAGGTAATATGTGGCTGTTTCAGTTGCATGCACTTAGGCTTAGTTTTATCAATTAGGGCATTGAAATTTCCTGGCTGTGATGCAGCACACTATATGGGAGAAGCTTGCCCAGTCCAGACTCTGAATGAATGATGTGACAGTCATCTTCCTGAAAAATTTCACATTTTTGATAGTGAAAAAAGGAATGAATCATAATAACAATAATTGTTCAGAAAAGGCAAAGTGCATAATCTATTATCAAATTAGCTCAAAATAATCTACATGTGGTTATGAATTGAGACATATATATTGTCCTCCATAATCAGACTAAACAAGTATACAGATTCATTATCTGTCTTACCTTTATTCCATGCAAGATTTCACTTAGGAGTTTAATTTGCTGATCCTTACTCTTCATTTGACTTTTCTGAAAAACAATAAAGTTTATTAAGAAAGGTTATAGGATTAAAGGTTCCTTTTTTATGCTGCATAGCACATATATGTTTAATATCCCACAACTAATACAGCCGATGAGAATGCAAATCAATAATGTTTCAGGCAGAATAACTGTAGTATTTACTTACACTGGTAGATGACTGAACTTCTTTGTTTATTTTATTTTTTAAAAATAAGCATTATAAAGATAGAAGATTCAATAAATCTCATTTAGCAATTGGGACATTGACCTGTGTGACAGACACCCTCACTTAAGATGGGTGCTGGGTAATGCGCTAGATGTATTATGAGATAAATCTTTCCCTTTATTCCCATAATAAAGGTCTTCAATTAAGTGTTTGTGGTAGGGTTTATGCTTAACAGCAGTAAGTTATTATAATTAGATGAAGGGGAACCCAGAGGATCTAAGTAAGGATAAGGCACCTTTGGAGCACAACTAGAACATTATGTGTTTGCACTCAAAGATAGCTTAGTTGCTACACTGCACTTTGTTTCAAACAGACACTCCTTACTGAGATATTTAAGATCTTTTTCAACTTCACACTTCAAACCTGTCACTGGACAGATAAATTATTTCTAGGATGACTACTGTCTTACGCTACACATAAAACACCCCAACCTCTCTTAGAAACCCAACCTTTCCTCAGGTAGCTTCACACTTAGCTTTGACATGTAATGTGCCAGACCTGTTGCATTTGGGAGACCTCCTGCTCACTGTCGAGTGCCATCATGCCCTGAAGTTAATGCTGCTCTTGGGTGGGCATGAAGGGACAACAATGGGATCAAGGGCTGGGAAAGCCTCAGTGTTTCTACTTACTTACCTAACTCAGGATGCAACCCATTCAAATTAAAATGATCATCTCCCTATAATGCAACAACTTTCTACGGTACGTCCAACTGAAATTCCTTACCTGCAGCTGCTTGACTTTGGCAGCAAAAAAAGCATTGGCTGGTAACACCAAAAGCAGCACACTAACACCTGCTAGCACCGAGGGGCCCAGCTCTTGCCAAAGGAAGGTAATGGCCAGGAGGATCTGAAAGGGGGCTGACCATAAGAGGTTGAGGTTGACTGCCAGTTCCGTGAGTTGCTGGATATCTGATGTCATCAAGTTGACAGTTTCCCCGGTTGTATACTTCTTTCTTGAAGAGCTAGATAAATTTAAACCCTGCAGCCAAGGAAAGACAGATGGTATAATGAATATTCTGGAAACACATTTTGTAATAGTCCTACCATTGTGATACAAAACCATAAAAGATGGCCACTTTAAATTATCTGGATGGATTTATGGGAATGCTTTTAAAACTTAAGTATGCCTCCATCAATCCAGTCCAGCAGAACTTTGCATTCACTATTAAAATGAATGAGGAAACTTATATACAAGGAAATTCCATATGCACATTGGAACAAGACTAGAACCTTTGAAATATTTGCTAGAATTTCTTGTTTCCACTAGCAGTTCAGGGGTGACAAAACCTTTTTGACCAGGGGGCAGATCTTTATCTCCCCTCAACTCCCATGGGCCAGCTCTGACAGGTGGGTGGGACCACCCATTTCTCAATCACTTGACATCATAATGATGACAAATGATTGACATATGCATAGTCCCACCCACTTGTCAAAGCTGACCCATAGGAGTGAAGGGAGATAGTGACAAAGCAGAACTGAACTCCCCACACATCAGCTAATGTGTGGGAAGTTCAAGCTTACTTTCTACAGGGTATGGGTATATCAGCCGCTTCCCTTTGGGAAGTGGCCAGCACACCCTAACCAAGCAGGATGGAATTCCCCATGCATCAATGGATGGGTCAGCGCTCAGTTTTGTTTTCTGCTGGGATCAGCTTCATCTGGGGAACTAGTGTGTGCAGCTGAACCAAACAGGACTGAACCCCCACCCACTGGTTAACATCACCTGATTGACAAGTGGACATGGTTTTAGAATAACAGCCTGGAAGGCCAAACTGGAAGCCCTGGCAGATCAAGACTGCCCCATGCACCAAAGGTTCCCCATCTCTGATTTATGTTATCCACTTTGCAAGAATTTACTTGATGTCAGTATCTGAACTTTCTATAAATCAGTGGAACAGCTCAAAAAGCCTGTTCACCTTCCAGTCCTCATTGTCTCCTACCCATTCCCAAAAGCTGAAAATACCAGATTGAACACTTTTTGAAAATGTGTGGACTTGGGTTTTTAACCAGAGCATCTGCCACTCAGTTCTGAAAGAACTGATGGAGGAGACATAAGCAAAAGAAATTCCTCACCTTCTGTTCCCCAAGGCAGATCTAAGTGCCCCCTTGGAAAGGTCTGTCCTGAGGACCCTGGAACCTGAACGGAAGACCTCAAATGAAAGGCAGGGGGAATTGGGAAGGCAGCTTGAACAAGCTGGATTCACTTGTGCAGGCTGCCTCTGTCCAATTTTCCCGATAACGGCCTACTACTACGAACCCCTGCCCACATCCCAAGGATTGGGAGGAATGAAATGTGGAAGGGGCAGTGGGGAGTTCCCTTCTGCAGGCATCATTGCCCCCACCCCCAATATGGACAGACAGCAGAGATTACCTTTTTGTATACAAGGCCAGTGACGGCAGTTCGAATTTTCCCAACAGTAAGCAAGTTAAGGCGCTGGTAGGCCTGTTGGATTAGCGTCTGCATAACAACCACAAGCAGAAGAGCCACTGCATACCCATAGCCATTCCAGAGTGGAGCAGAGGAATGCTCACACAACAGAATCATTTCCCTGCAATGCAAAACAGCAAAGTTCATTTTATTTTATTCTTAAAGCAAATTATGATCCTATTCCTATTCATATAACACAGTGAATCAGCTTCCAACTTTCATTAGATCCACTTAGTTGAAAAACCAGGAACACCTGGGTGATGTTTATCTTGTTCCTAGAATGTGGAGGACACTGAACAAAGATGCCAATTTTCACCCAGGTCCTGACCAGCTGGATGTCATGCCTAGGTGGGCTTCACTGTGCCAGGCCATCCCCATGACTGGGAGCAGATGAAGGCAATGGGTAAGCTGGCTGAAGGGTGGCCACCATCCTCTCAGCCAATATCTTCTCAGCTCCTGGGACACAATCCATATGATCTGCAGCATCCCACCCTGAACACAGAACCCCTTCAAAGGCTGCATCCTAAGTGTAGGAAATGCTATGTGCTCCAAGAATGCTTAGCATATACAGCGGATGAGTGTGGCCTTTGCATATGGAGGCAGAGGGAACCATCATGTCGAAAGCATAGAAATATGCCTCTCACTGCAACTATCTGGCAGCAGATTCCAGAAACTACTCTGATGCATTTGCACAGGTTGCCCAGTCTCCATATGTCACTGACAGGGGCAGGATAATTCCTAAACTGAGCAGCACTAATAGCAGAGTTAACTGTGATAAGAGGACTGCAAAGTTTAATTAACTGAAAGCCTTTAATTGATAAATAGGTGTCAACAATGAACTGGGCAGCATATTTTTTTTAATACATGTCCTTTTAAAAATTGAAAATGGCAGCCACCATCCTAAAAAAGGTATTCCTCCTTTAACTGCAGAAGGAAGCAGATTTTCCTAAGCTGATGGCAGTTACACTACATGTAGTAATCTAAAAAATGAATTATTATTTATGTGCCAGAAATATTGTTATCCATATGCAAATTTAACCAAGTTCCATAATCAGTGACAATTTTTTAAAAAATCAGGTTGCAACTATAGTAGTAGTAGGGCATATGGCTCTTACCTGTACTTCTGCTTTCACAAGGAAAGATACCTGATGTCACCAACCCTCCCTATCTACTGAGCTGCTCTTGATTACCAAAGGATGCTCTGGAACATTATCAGATATGATAGAGAAAGATGCAGTAGGCGAGGGAAATAAGTGAGAGCCAGGTGCTCCACCTTGCATAAACAGAAGAACCTCATTGCTAGCACAAACTAACCACTGGATACAGCCCACAGTTAATCATAAGCTGCTAACAATTAACCCACAAACATTATCTGACAGACATATGCATGTGATGGCAGCGGTACCCAAAGTGATAACATCAGGTTAATCCAATGTCTTAAACGCAGACTACATATCTCTGACTTCAACGAACTATGCAAATTCTGCCTGCATTTCATTCAAGTTGAAAATGTATCAACATGCAAGAAGCACAATTGGTAAACCATCTCCTTCAAGCCAAATAATACTTGAGATTTTAAAAAGCATATTATTTAAAAGTAAACAAAGCGGTATGACAAATGTATGTAATTAAACAGCTGGAGGAGGTCAGATTTTACTGTCAATGGTCCAGATTTTCCAGGCCAATTACTAGGAAGAGTAGTCCTCCTTCAAGCTATTAGCTGGTTTCCAGCTAATTAATATTACATATAATTTGTATTAATTTATCTCTCAACATACAGATACATTTGTGAGATTTTTGCAAGAAAATTCAACCAAGCAACAGGAAGATCTGGAAAAGCCCAAGGCACCTGGATCTGCCAGCTTGATATTAAGGCATATTTGCAAACTTACTTCATAATCTGTGGGCTCAGGAAAGCTAAAAAATCAGTTGCAACTTTCAGAATAGCCACCTTGATCAATAAAAATTTAAATGTTTGCCATAGAGGTGAAAGGAGAGATGGCTTTTGGGAAATTGGCTTTTTTGTCACATCTTCGTAAGCAGGAGCCTGTGGATTAAACAGATATGAGATCTGAAAATATGGAAATGCTGTTTGCCTACAACAAAAGAAAACCCTTCTAAAACAAATAAATGTACAGTAACATTTTAAAAGTGGCTCCACATACATGTTTGCTGCGACACAATTTGTATGTGTGGTGGCGAGCATCAAGCTTCCAAAGGAACATCAATGTTCACTCCTAGCAACACGCTTAAATTGGTTGTTACCAGATTTCCAGTAGTTGCCTAGGCAACATGGATAAACTCTAAAAGGCATCATTCTGCTTCAGATGGTCAGTTCTCACTGTACATGGAGGGTATAAATTGTGTGATTCACCTAAGGGATTACTCATCTAAGGCATTAAATCATGTATCTATTGAGGAGATCAGGTGTTCATTCCAGGGAAACATTTTGAGCAAGCATCACACAGGTATTGCAATCTACAGAGACAGACTGGGTGGAGAAAACAGGTGAAAGGAGAAGCAACAGCAGCTTATGCATGTGTCACACAGGAGTTCTTTATGAGATGAAAAGTCATTCCTGTTCTTCAAGGTCAGGTTATAAATCTTGCCTCTGGAAGCCCATGGCTTCTTTCAGGGACATCTTTTTTATTGTCATCAGAATTACCTTTACGTCCTTGGATTTTTTAAATACTTCCTTTCTCCAATGCTTTTCAAACTCTGGACACACAATGTAGGATGAAACACTTTCAATGAGCTCAGACAAGTCTTCCCTTTCCAGTGGTTTCTTATAGCCTAAAGTTATAAATCTGTTAAAAGACAAGTTAATCACAAAACAGTTCAAAGATAAGTAACAACCAACAAGATAGTAAAACATAAAGGAGTGAAAAGAGAATTGAGAAAGTGCTTATTTCTATAGTTAAAATCTAGTTCCCTGTTCCATGCAACATCTCCTATAAAACACTGTCAAATCAACAAAGTGACCACAGGGGAAATGTTCCGTGTGATTTGCTTCCATAATAATAAAAGGAAATAGTGTTGGTTACTCACTCCCCTGTGAGTCCTGTGAACACTTATGAAACCTCCATGGCATGCTTTAGAAGTATGCAGGAAAATAGGAACAGGGGTCAAACTTGCTCACACAATCCAAAAAAAGTCAGAGGTTCTACACTATGGGTAATTACAACTGCATTTTACATTTTAGCTTATGAAAATAAAGCCAAAGGAGCATTCAAATGTGAGGGAAGCACAGCACGCAAGACAGAACTTACTGTCTTATCATGGTTTACTATGAACCAACAGTGTGCTGCTTTACGCAGCCCCAATTGCTCCCCCTTTGCTACTTTCCTGGCACAAGCAGAAGAAATAAGACCATAATTTGTTGTTGGCTGATGAATCCTGACTTGTTTGGGAGCAACTAACCAGGATCCCTGGTTGGTTTATCACGAGGAGCCAGCCTAGATTGCAGCTCCACGATTGGTTTCTCCCGCAGATGCCAAGGGAGAGGCAAAATGGGAGAGTTCAGGCTACATGTAGCAGCATGCTGCTCATTCACTGTAAACCAGTGACAAGAAAATGACCATTCTGACAACAGCAGGGAGACAGGTGACAAGATGGCTCCAGAACAGAACACATCAAGAAGTGCGGCCTGAGGAAAATTCCTCAGAGGCAACATCCTTAAAGAATATGTCAAAGGTTCAATACTGTAGACAACATTACTATGCGTCTCCCAACAGAGAAAATTGCCAGTATCAGGAAGAACAGGAAGTTTGAAAGAGGCAGAGCTGGGGGAAAGCAGCACTGTGGCCTATATAAAGAAGTATCTTAAACAGGAGTGACAGCCTGCTGATCATTAAATCATTGTCTGGTCAGCTGATGGCCATCCCAAGTCTTGTACAATGGCCTGCAGTCCTATGCATGCATATACATGTACGAGACACAAGCACACGCAGCTACACAGAGAGTTGCAGCTTATATTAATATCTCATTTGCCGCCAGTATTTAAAAGATGTAAAGATTTAAAAGATGTAAAGAGTGCAAAACCACCACGGGTAATTAACATAATACTTAGTGATGACTGACTCATCTAGCAACATTAGATGTTTCAACTTCTCCAAGAGGAGTTAAAAATTTTTTTTTAAAAAAAATCTTAGTATGAGTTCTGTTGACTTTGGGAAGTGAGTATGCAAGAAGCCTGTGCACAACAGCACTCTGCACACCTGTTGTTCCTTGCAACTTAGGTATTCAGAGGCATAAGGCCTCTGTGAAAGGGTGATAAGTCAATGTGGGACATGTTTCTCCAGTTTATTATTACCAAAGCTCCAGACCTACATGGAAGCATGTATTTGTTCTGAGGTGTGTGTGGCTTCAAACAAATAAATGAACCTTTAATAATTTATAAGGCAAGGCTTTAAAAGCTTTCCTATCTTTCCAGTTTCTGGTTAAGCACAAGGACCTCTATGGTAAATTTAAAACAACATATATAACGTTTGTACCTGCTATACCAGGAATATGTTATCTTGCTTAAAAAGGAAGCACTTTCTTCAGGACTGCATTTCTGTAAAAAAGCAAACAAGAAAAAACTAGGCTAAAGCCTTCTCTCTGTGTCTAGCCTATATATAAAAAAGTGAAATTCAGAAGAAGTCTACAACTTTGCTATCAGATTTATATGAAATAAGAATTACACACACCATTCTAATCTGCATATTATTATTTCTGTAATGTCATCAAACTGTGGGGCACTCCAGGGAAGATACATTTCTAGATCTTTTATTTTTCGTATGCATGCCAAAACACATACATATAGACATACTTAAACAATAGGGACTGAAGGAACTATGACTGAATCAAGTATTGTAGTTCCAACCAAAATCACAATGGCTGGTTCTGTAAAGAGGTTTAGGGCAGGCAAAAGTTATAGGGCTTAGGGGAAATCCAGTCTGTCTACGACATACATATTTTTTGCCAAAAAATGTTCTCAATTCTTCCTTTTTTCCAAACTCTCTGCTTCTGCTTCTATTTGGAAACCTGCCTCCTTTGCACACTCTTTCCTTAAATCTCAGCTTCTCAGAGCCCCATTACTTGAATCAGCAGAGTTAGTAACAGTTTGGGATGTGTGTACAGATGTGTGCGATTTTGATCAGGACAATGGAATGGGGCAAAAGGATTAATCAAGCATCCCCAGCAGCAGAAGCAGCACCTCAACCGCAATTCAGTTCCAACCCTACCTCCTTTCAGGTGCCTTTCCAGATAGGGAATCTGATCACAACTAATCTGCTTCAATTCTATTTCAGCCCTTTGTGTCAAGAGCCAAAGTGACTAACAACTCATTTAAGGGCATTCAGAGTATGTTATCCTTTCCATCCAGTACTCTCACCGCCCAGATAGCAAACATGAGAGAACAGGAGGTCTTCCATATCTGAGGGTGCGTGCAACTTCCAGGTACAGTGGTACCTCGGGTTAAGAACTTAATTCATTCTGGAGGTCCGTTCTTAAGCTGAAACTGTTCTTTAGCTAATGGGACCACTTTAGCTAATGGGGCCTCCTGCTGCTGCCACACGATTTCTGTTCTCATCCTGAAGCAAAGTTCTTAACTCAAGGTACTATTTCTTAGTTAGCGGAGTCTGTAACCTGAAGCATCTGTAACCTGAGGGACCACTGTACTTGTGAGATCACAAATAAGAAGTTATCTGTTTATAAACTCTTCTGGGTCTTTATGCTTACAAGCTGTCAGCAGAAAAACAAAACTTTCAGAATGCAAAGGGCTCACCCGATCAAGCTAGGAAGCTGCTTGAGACCTTGATTCATACAGGTGTAAGCTTCTGCCTCCAGGCCCAGCCAGTGCAGAGAGGAGCAGCTCATTTTCTTCGGCTGCCTTTGACCCCCCCCCCTTTATGCTTTGCCCAGACGCAGCCTGTATCCTAACCTGTCCCCTTGAGCCTCTTAGCATTTTAACCACAGCACCCTAGGGGTCCTTCCCAGCACCTATCTGAACACAAAGCATACTCAGAATAACTAGCTGGAGGACACAGGATGTCTTTCTGGAGAAAAACCACATCCACCTTTTTTTTTTTTATTCTCGGGGTCTCTTAGGATTTCCCAGCCCAACCTTCCGCGTGCGTGTGTGTTGGAGCCTGGAGAGTGCTTTTGGAAGCTAAAGGGCAATGATTTCCTGAAACAGCCCCACCGCCTGGAATCACCTAGTTTTACGCGTGCGCGCTCCCCCCGAACACCATGCAAAACCCATCTATGGGCGTTGCAATTACCTTTTGGTTGAAGGGCCGGAGGCGCTCGTAGGAGCCCCGCTTGTTGGCCCACGAGTCCCCCGGCATATCTCCGGCTGATCCCGGAGGCTCAGCGCCCGTCGTCCCTAGCGCAGCTTCAGCAACAGATGTTTTCCGCTTAGCAGCAGCAGCCCCCCCGGACGACGACTGCATCGACAGGCTCGGCTCCTCCGATCGGAAGCGAAAGGAACCAATCCAGCCGCCGGCGGCAAATCGGGGGCGGAGCTCCCGAACTCAGCCGCCCGGAGACAGCGGTGAATAGAAAGGTGAATGGGGAGATGCGCGATTTATCTCCAAAGGAAAAGTCCTGAGGTCCACGCCCGCGCGCGTCAGTAGTGACTTGCTTCTGATGGCGGGGGAGAAGCACACGCCTTTTCCCTTGCTTCCGACGCGTTAGGACACAGCCGTGAAGTAAGGGCGAGAGATGATGAGAGTTCGAGTTGACCAAACACCAGGAGGTCCACGGGTTCCTCACCCCGGACTAGACTAAGATCTGCTTTTGCCACCTGGGGTTATTCATCCCCCAGCGCTTTCAGAGTTTAGTAATTATTTGTGATTGGGCCCAGGACTCAAAAATTATACTACCTTGCTTAAGACTGGGCTGATTTTCCTAAAGAGCATCCACAATCCAACTTTTAATATGGAAATCAAATAGAATCATCATAGGAGCCTATGCATGCCGGAACACCTTGCCCTGTTTCCCACAGAACTGGACATGTTAGAACCTATGCTTCCAAAAGATAGCCAGCAAGCTTCTGGATCCTTCCCTTCAGGCTAGCTTACTGCAATAAGTAAGTTCATCTAGCTTTTCTTTTTCATAGTTTCCCAGGCAGATGCCAAGAAACCAGCACAACCTGTTTATGAATAGTGGTTGCACATCACCATCATTGGTCAGTGGAATAGTCCCTCCCAATGCAAAGAGCAAGGAGGAAGATGAGATTTTAATTCTGATTGTGGGAGGGTTAAACTCCCCCTACACCCACCACAGTTCCAATCCTGCTTGGCCTTAATGGTACTTATCACCATTTAAAAAACTGAATATGTGCATATTAAATGCAGCAACATTTTTAACGTTTCTATGAATTGGTGTGTAGGAACTTCAGAATTCTTCCTATCAAGAATATTATTGATGAGTAGAAATGCACTGATCAGCCAGGAGGCAGGTAAGGATTGTTCCCCAGCCTCCCCTCACAAGTAATACTTAAACATGCACATAGGGATAAAGTGGGAGGGGTTGCTCTCCCAAAGTTGTAGTGTTTCTGACCATCGTCTGTAATGAAGCCCTGTGGAATATATGTATATGGCACTTGGAAGGTCAGGACTTCCAATATACAGTATGTCAGTTCTACAAGAGAAGGCATTTCCTTGTAACAGTGCAATTGATTACAACCTGTGATGTGATTCACAGAAAGCTGCATGTACTGTACACAACTTGATTTCTACACATAACTGCATGGAACCAGCAGATGTATGAACTGACGTCATAGAAAAACACTGTATGCAATGTGATAGAAGTATGAATGTAAATGGGTGACTGACTCCAGATTGTAACTGAAATATTAAAAATAACTGAGAATAACTGAGTTTCTGTCAGTAATAGAAAAGTAACCAATTGTTCTCTCTTGTCAGTTTTACAGGAATAAGACATATCTGCATAGGTCATGAAATAGAAATATCTTGCCAAGTATCAAAAGCAGGTTTTAGCAATAAGCTTTATTGTTTACCTGCATCACATTGTGACATCGTATGAATATTCAAGCCTTTCAACATTTGCATGAGGGAAAGAACTTAACCAATAATGTGTGCCTATATATACTCTGCAATCCAGAATTGCGAGGCTAGTCCCTTGAATTCACAAACAACTTTGCAAGCAAGGCATATCTTAAGAGAAAATTTACTTCATTCTCATGTCTCCTTCAATAGCAGCCAGTAATATTCTTACAGTATTTGTGTCCCTTGTATATATGGATTTGGCATTCTTTTTATAAATATATTTACTCAGAATGAAATCCTTCTGGTTCCAATACAGTTCTTGGATTTCCAAGTGAGACTGCAATCATATTGCACTTATTTGGGAGTAAATCCCACAGAATTTACTCCCAATTTACTTAGATCCTCAAGCTGAATCAAACTGCAGCCTTAAAACCAACTCAAACATGCAGAAATAACAAGTGATATGACCCTTTTGAACCAGTAAGTGAGCAGTTACATATATGCATGTTTCTCCACATTAATAACAAACAAACAACTTCCACAAGGAAAGCTAGCATAGTTGAGAGAAGTGCTTAATTTAAGCCTAAGCCTAACATGTTAGATTTCCATGTACACAAGTATTTTGTTTCATTTACATGTTTGAATGCCCCACTCTCCACCATAATGTGGGAAAGCTGAAAAGGGTAACTCCACATGCTATTTATGCATTTCCAGTTGGCTGAACTCCTGCAGCCATGTAAGGAATCACGAGGACCAAAAACTATATGAACAGTTTTGAATAACTGCAAGCTAGGCTAAAGACAGCCACTCTTTACTGTGGACAAAGTTACTAGATGAGATTAAAATGCTTTGTATATTCTTTTCTGTAAAGGAGTAAGGTGATTTTAAAAAAATCAAAAAAATGCTATTTCTCCCTTTTAATCAGAGTGTAACTTCTATAATACTTTACCTTAAACCGTTATAAATAATCTTATATACCACAATAGCCATGTCATATTTCTTAGTAGGGTGCAAATAGGCACTATGTAGTCAACCCCATTGTACACATATTTATCTTCTTATAGTTTTGTTGACTTTCTTTTTGTTTTTTTCCTATCATTTCCCACACTACTATCACTGTCACTAGTTTCCTGAGACCTTTTCCTTTTAGATGAACCTTCCTTAACCAGATACTGTGTGTGGTTCTTTGGCTCTGGGTACACACATTCAAAAGAGGTTAGTCCTGGATTCAGATAGGCTGGAACAGGAAAACTTGGAAACGACGGTGGTGATGCCATCTGATAGCAAGGAAATTGCTGTCCCATTGGATTATAAGGGGTATATTGGTGTGCTAAGAAACACGTCATCTAGAAAATAGAAGGTAAATTAATATTTTAAAGTTTGGAAGAACATTGCTTCATTAGTTCTAGAGAATGAAAGGTACTGGACATGTTTCTGTCAGTATGTAAGCTTTGATTTACACTAGTCCTTTATTAGGTAGCCTGTAAAAATCAAGTAATTTTTACACACACACACGTTGGTTATAGATATGAAGTTTGGCATGACTGTGGTCTGCTCCTAAAACCATTTCCAGTTGGAGCACGACACACTAATGTATAAGGTTTTTAAAGGGGGTCTAAACATGAAATAGACACAAAAATTATGTGAGGCAGACATGCCAATGTAAGCAATGAAAGAATGCCTCCATCCCATTTCTATCATTGATGTTCACAACTATAGGCTGATAGATTGTTGGAATTTGTCACAGTGCTGTCCTAGCCAAGAATGCTTCATATTGGAAGTGCAGAGGACATAAATGTGTGGGGGGTGTTTTGTTTGTTTGTTTTGAAGAAAGGCAAATTTTGCTGTAGCTCTGCATGACCTGCAAAGTGATTACAAACTCATTGGCCTGGATCTACCGGCCATGGCTAGGCAATACTAAAGACAGCCTAGCACAATGAGTTTTGTTGCAGAGTCCAGTCAATTTCTGTTTCTGGAAGGATGTTGGCACAGCTGGCACAGAGGGGCAGATTGCCAGCTATAATCTTGGCTTCACTAAGCGGCTGCTCAGGTATGGGTACAGGTTCATAACTAAAGCCATAGCATGGGAAAGGGGGAAAGAGTTTCCACAAGTTGTGTGTTTGGCAGTTCCCCCTTCCATTACACATCCTATGAAGTGTCTCTATTGTTGTGATAGATTTGTGATCATTATTTCAATCTTACCATGTTCTGAAAGGCAGAATAATCCTGTGGTGGGCTATTATTCACCTGAAAAGGACTTAGAGGTAATGGAGTACTACCATAGGGCTCTAAATTCCTATAAAAAGAGCAAGTAGGGAGATATGGTGAGTGAATGCTAATAGATTTACTCATTTTTCAATACATACATATATAGATGTGATTTGGGCTCTTTACAACACAGTCCTTTGCATGTTCAGCAGGATTTACTCCCAGATAAATTTGTACAGATTTGAAGTGTAGCAGAGCAACCCAGCCCTGCCCAGCTCTGCCAGTCTCCACTGTCAGGGAGGAGTGGTCAGATGCACCTGCCCAAATGACAACTGCTACAATGGGGGCAGGGCCAGCACAGAATTTGCTGGGTCCTGTGTGGACCCCACTGCCATAATGGGATATGGACCTCTTCACTGTGACAGCCTGGGAATATTTTGTCTTGCCCATACCCTCCCACTCTTTCTTGCCCCTCCCAGCTTAAATTTTGTGGCTGAACATAATCATAATTTAGGAACTAATTCAGAATGCAAATGTGATTGGATTATTGCTTTAGGGAGCTAAAATTGATATGGCACTAGAAGGGGGTGGGAAACTGAACATTTTGGAAGCTTAGTCTATACTTTGACTGCACACATACCACATAATATTGGGCATCAGATCAGAGTTTGTGTCTAAACTAAACTCCATGATATTTTTATACTGGAAAAAAGCCATTACCTGTGTGTTGATGACTGTATATCATGTTCCACATTCTGGCAATGATTGATTAACTCTACACAGTGGGAACTCCCTATGAATGGAATAATAATAATTTAAAAAATGATTAAAATTGGTCTAGTCAAGAGAGTTGATTTCATTTTTTTTCTGAACACTTAACATACTTTACAATATAGAAAAGAAGTCCAATATAGAAACAAAATTCAGCAATCATACTACTATAATTAGTTTATTGTAAACACCTATTAAAGTTAAAACCAAGTGCATAACCTATCCAATACAATTTCCACCCATCTCCAAAAACCCAGTCAATCCTGCCAAACTTCTCCTGGAGTCTTCCATTCACAAAGTCAAATCTACTTTTATGCAAACTTTTTAAATGGAAAATGATTTCATTTAGGGGCACATTATTCAGCAGTTAATATGGGAAACATTTTTATCATAGCAAGCCCCAATGGTAAGTTCTTTATTGGTCTCCAAGAATCGGGGTAATATTCAGGCTATACTCAAGAGCAGATCCACTGAATACAGTGGTACCTCAGGTTAAGAATTCATTCTGGAGGTCTGTTCTTAACCTGAAACTGTTCTTAAACTGAGGTACCACTTTAGCTAATGGGGCCTCCCGCTGCTGCTACTGCACCACCACCGCACAATTTCTGTTCTTATCCTGAAGCAAAGTTCTTAACCCAAGGTACTATTTTTGGGTTAGCAGAGTCTGTAACCTGAAGCGTCTGTAACCTGAAGCGTCTGTAACCCGAGGTACCACTGTACCTGTCTATTGCTTCCAGTGGTTCTCTGATTATGACTGAGACTGCAAACCCAATTCCACTTACTGGGGAATAAGCCCCACTGAATTTGATGTGACTTTTTTTTAGTCATGGACTAAATTAGGACTGCAGCTTTAGTTGGATCCCCATGAATTAATAATAATAATAATTTATTTTCTATACCCTGCCCATCCGGCTAGGTTTCCCCAGCCACTCTGGGAAGCTCCCAACAGATTAAAAACAGAATAAAACATCAAATATTAAAAACTTCCCTGAACAATTAAAAAAATGGGTTCTAGACTAGTTTTTTTCTCAAACGGCAGTCTTTAATAGCATATGGCAGACTGCTATTGAAATGACTGAAAGGTTCAAAAACAGTTAATGATTTATCATGTTGGCCAGATACGTTCAAAGAACAAATATTACAAGTTTTCCCAGGCTAAAGCACAAGGTCCTTGTGTGAAACCAAGACGTTATATGGATCCTGGCCAAGGTAAGTTTCTGAATAACTGTGATTTATTGATATATTTCAACTTGCAAGTGGTCATGGAGATTCACTAGAGATTAGCAGTGATAAAAAAGGATTTGCAGATTATAACATAACAGGCTGACAACTCTTCAAGGAAAAACTAGATTACTAATTTATAATATTGGTAGCCACTACATATTTCAAGTTTTCTATTGAAAAAAATGGAAAAATTACACCATAGTTTTGATAGAAAGATTACAGAACAATGCTGCATCCAACCTGCTACATGGACATAATAGAGGGAGGGGGGAGTTTTGTATAAAGACATTTTGAAAGTCTAAACTAAAGGAATTTGAAAAAGACCAGCAGTTTCAAGTGTACACATTACAATGTTGCACTCTGCTAGGAGGGTAACAAAGTACAGACTGTAAAATAATAATATAAGATTGTATACATTATATAAGATATAATATAAGATTGTAAGATTCAGCTCTCATTTATTATTGATTCCCAAAAGAATATATCTATTACCTGATCACATTTTTACTGTGATATCAGGATTTTTTTTTCTACCTTCTTGCGAAAGTGGGATGTCTTAAAGGGTAAAAATGCAATATACCAATTAGTTTGAGAATTTTTATACTCTCAGAATTGTTTTTTTTAAATGCATTAAATATGGATCCACTAACATAGTAACAATCACTTTTCACATCATGATTGTGCATTATATGCCCAGGTTTTGTAAAAAAAATTTTTTGGCAGGTAGCTAAACCTACCAAACCGATATTGCACTTTAATTGGTCTTCCGTATAAACGAATCCCATTCAGCAAAGCTATGGCATAAGGCACTGACTCTGTGTGTTTAAAGCAGACAAATCCAAAAGTCTTGGGTTTTCCATCTTTGTCCTTGCATATGGTCACTTTGGTTACCGGTCCAGCCTGCAAGAAACTTAAGCATTACTTTCTCATAAATCCCAGGAAGGAAATAGCTGTTTGTTTGCTGATTCTAAGGCTTACTGGACCAGAAGGGGAAAAAAGGTATATAATATTGGGTACCAGCTATTTCAGCATTGCAACAAACACATGCCATTATGCTGTAATTTTACTTTAATATACAAAGATTTTCATGACATATTCAAAGTCTGCATATCTCACATTTTATTCATACATTTTATTCTGTTTAGCTTATCAATCCAATTTACATGGACTGTGGCAACTAGCAAAGCACTTAAGGATTTTTTGGGGATATATGTAGGCAGTCCAAAATATAATAAATTGTTGTTATTTCTTACCCACCTTTCACCATAAGGTCTCTGAGCCCTACAGCAATTTTAAAATACAGTATTAACACTGTTGTAAACCTGTTACCACAGATGCGGGTGGCACTGTGGTCTAAACCACTGAGCCTAGGGTTTGCCGATTGGAAGGTCAGCGGTTCGAATCCTCGCAATGGGGTGAGCTTCCATTGCTCGGTCCCAGCGCCTGCCAACCTAGCAGTTCGAAAGCACGTCAAAGTGCAAGTAGAAGCGGATTAGTCATGCTGGCCACATGACCCAGAAGCTGTCTGTGGACAAACGCTGGCTCCCTTGGCCAGTAAAGCGAGATGAGCACCGCAACCCCAGAGTCGTCAGCAAGTGGACTTTTAATAGTCAGGGGTCCCTTTACCTTTACCTTTAAACCTGTTACAGTCAAGAGAATAAGGTGGGTCCTCTATATATAAATCTCAGGTGTCAAAGACCAGGGTCAAGAGGTGTGTCTTCAGCATAATTACATAATGAAGGTGCCTTTCCTTTGGGGGGGAGGGGGGATTCCCACAGCATAGGGACTGCCACAAAGACTGCCCTGTTCAAGGCTGCCATTCCGTGAACTTCTGAGGCTGGTGAAAATACCAAGAGGGCTCCCTCTGCTGATCTTAATACCCAAGAAGACCTGTAGAGAAAGGAGCAGTCTTTCAAATATTTGGGGATTAAATCATTCAGGGATTTAAACACTAATGTGAGCACAGTGAACCGGGCCCAGAAATGAACCTGAAACCAGTACATGTGGTTTAGAACAGGAGTTACTTGAACTCTACACATCTGGCTGTTTATTTTGGAGCAGTTGAAATTTGATTGCTGTACATGAGTTATACGGTACAAACAACAAGGAAGTGTAAAACTGCAGAAGGATCTACAAGTAAATATAAGAGCTATCCAAGAAGAGATTGAACCAATTGTTGGTTAATAGACCGTATCTTGATCTTCTTTTTCTGTGCTAGATTAGCAAGGGAAATAAGAGGAAGAAATTCTGACACTCTTCAAATGAGCAGAAGCTCTTGTCAGGCAGAGATGAGTCTATAGCCCAAAGAGCAGAATGATTAATCAGGCTTTTTGTGTGTGTGTAATCCTGTTGGGATGCGGGTGGCGCTGTGGGTAAAACCTCAGCGCCTAGGGCTTGCCGATCGCATGGTTGGCGGTTCGAATCCCCGCGGCGGGGTGAGCTCCCGTCATTCGGTCCCAGCTCCTGCCCACCTAGCAGTTCGAAAGCACTCTTAAGTTCAAGTAGATAAATAGGTACCGCTTTATAGCGGGAAGGTAAATGGCGTTTCCGTGTGCTGCGCTGGTGCTGGCTCGCCAGAGCAGCTTCGTCACGCTGGCCACGTGACCCAGAAGTGTCTCCGGACAGCGCTGGCCCCCGGCCTCTTAAATGAGATGGGCGCACAACCCTAGAGTCGGACACGACTGGCCCGTACGGGCAGGGGTACCTTTACCTTTACCTTTAATCCTGTTCACATTTACTCCTCAGGCTTTATATGAAATCCAGCAGAATGCCCATGTGAAAACAGGTTTCCCACAAGCATCTGGTTGGTCACTGTGAGAACAGGATGTTTGACTCCATTGGCCGTTGGTGTGATACAGCTGACTGTTCTTATGTTCTTACTATAAACATACAGTGTTCCTTCTTTTAACTGCTGTGTATACTGGTGAAATATGATTGAGGGATCGGTATATATTAAAAACTAGTAAAAATGAAATTATATGGATCTTCAGCATCTCTTCATTATAACAGATTCAGGGAGTAACTTGTGAAAACAGAGATTTGCTGAATTAATCAATAAAACCCACTTCTGTCTTGATGAAGAAACTGAAAGGGGACATGTGATAAGAATGTGTGACAACTCACAGAAAACAAGCTAGATGTCTTTGTATTTTGCCAGTATTCAATAGTGTCAAATATCAGTTGCTGCTCAACATAATGGCTCTATACATTTTCCAATGTTTTAAAAGTAAACATCACATCTGACAGAGTCATAACTTCAGCTTTTCCAAGGAGAATCAATGTTTGTTTTATCCCACTGCCCCACCCCAGAAAAGACAAGTTTCCCTGAAGCAACATTTTTCCAGTCTGGTGTTCAAGGTTGCCTACTGCAGATGATGGAGTTCTTCAAGGAGTGGAAGTAGCAAATCAAGTATTCTGGTGCTTGTTCTTTTTAACATGTAGATCTCCCTGTTCATAAATAAATAAAAATACCTGCTCAAGCAAGCTACAGGCACAGCTAGATTTTTAAAGCTTTAAAACATCTAATTTACCATTATTTTTGTTTTACCAGCTCTATGGTACAAAGAATGGGTGAATCATATGCATGTAACAAAGTTATCAGAAAGCTATTAGGTGCCAATTTAGTGAAGGTGGGAACAAGCAGAACTTTCCCGTCATTGATTATTTGTGCTGTGCTACTGGAGATGAAAGCATTTCTGCTTTATAAAATATACCGTATTTTTTGCTCTATAAGACGCACCAGACCACAAGACGCGCCTAGTTTTTGGAGGAGGAAAACAAGAAAAAAATATTCTGAATCTCAGAAGCCAGAACAGCAAGAGGAATCGCTGCACAGTGAAAGCAGCAATCCCTCTTGCTGTTCTGGCTTCTGGGATAGCTGTGCAGCCTGCATTCGCTCCATAAGACGCACACACATTTCCCCTTACTTTTTAGGAGGGAAAAAGTGAGTCTTATAGAGCAAAAAATACGGTAAGTATCCATGTAGAAGCAAGAAAACCAAAATGGGAAGGATATGAAGCACACAGAACGAAGGAAAAGTCTTCCAGCAATATCACTGTAGAAAGAGGGATAAGTCCAAACAAGATGCTAGCAGCCTGACGAAGAAACATAAGGAAACCATGAACCTTCCCCCATTTATTTTGTGTTTATTGTTAAGGGTGTGGTAAGCTATTATCAGTTGCTTGGCATGCCAAAACACAAGAACCATGATTAAATTGTGATTAAAACTGGAAAGCAATGATTGATAGCAAGTATGTATGAATTATCTGACACCTGGGAAACAAAGAAAGAGGCCCTTTCCACCTAAGATTGCAACCATTCTCTGGGAAGTTCCCAACATTTAATATGTTTATCAATCACATTTCCTTCCTTTACTTCCACTCCCATTGCTTTCAGTGGTTGTCTGAGAATTTTTGAGAAGATGGGGAGAACATAGAATAATAGAATCTTAGAGTTGGAAGGGATCCCAAGGGTCATCTAGTCCAACCCCCACAGGGCTTGCAGGCCACATGAAAATAAATGTAGCATTTCACCTAATTTTACGTCTGTGCTTCAAAAAGCTTCACTTTTTAAATTTTTGCCTGGTGTACCAAAAGCACCACAGTCCTAACATGGAGAAAAAGGTGACAACCCTTTTGGGTTTTAAGAACATGGTCATAGTTTTCATTTTGTATTGCCTTTATTTTCAATCACCTTGAGAACTGACCAGCCACCCTGAATATCAAGCTTCCTGAATATTTACAAGAAAAAAAACATAAATAAATAAAGCCCTATTTCAGGCAAACCTAGCTTCTGATGACTATTTTATCTTTCCATTTTATTTTGTTTAAGGCACCTCTTGGTACATTTCACACATCCTCGATGGAATGGAAAAGGACTGAAGCCTTGCTTCATACTGCGAATTTAAAACTCCTGACAAAAATCTTCCACCTGCTGCTCCTTGTAAGCATTCCTCTTCCCTGCAGCCGACGGCTCGCCAGCCCCGCCCACTTCCAGATCGCCCTGCCCACCTGCCAAGGTGGCCCCGCCCCGCCGTCCCTTGCACCTGCAGGAAAAGCTCGTAGAGAATCTCCTCTTGCACGCGGCTCTCCAAGTTCCCCACGAAAAGCGTCCGGTCCGGCTCGTCTGCCTTCCCTGGGCTTGTCATGACAGCGACCAGCAGCCCAGCTGTGCGCGAGAGACGCAGGGAAGAGCCAGTCAAGGCGGCAGCTCCATCTGCGCGCTGGGATAGCAGATGGAAAGTGGGTGGGGCAGGTGCGGGAGAAGGGGCGGGGCTGCCGCGGAGCCGAAGCTAAGCGAGGGAGGCCGTAAAGCAGCGGACGCGCGCGACAGGCAAAAGAGGGGCCGAGGGTGAGCGCGCTTTACGGCACACCGAACGCTTGTTAAGCAGACGGGGTTAAGAAGCCGCCACCCTGCTGGGTATCCTAGCAACTGACTGACGGGGCTGTGGAGAGGGGCGGGGTTTCCCTAGCTGCAAGGAGACCGCCCCGCCCTCTCCGCCGTCGGAATTGGCAAAGTCACCCCTGCGCTCTTTTCCTCCTGCGGCGATTGCGTGGTCGAGAGTAGTGCAGTCTCTCTCTCTCTCTCTCTCTCTCTCTCTCACACACACACACACACACACACACACACAGTGATTCACAACACCTTTCCTTGGTATTTCTGTAGGAAAAGCGTGTCTTATGTGCATTAACGTTGTGGCACTACAGACTGGCACTACACAACTCGAAGTAATCCCGAGGGTTATTTTTAACTCGGTGCTTTTATTTTATTTTTGCAAACACATTCTCAACTTTTTACGGTTTTGTTTCAGCGCCCCGAGCTGCCCCTCCCTCCGACGTTGTGAACTGCAACTCCCATCCTCCTTGACGATTGGCCATGCTCGCTCGGAATGATGGGAGTTGTAGTCCAAAACATCTGGAGGGCGTCATAGTACTGCCCAGGATGCTTTCTCGTCACCATGCTTGGTTTCTCTAAACGCCTCGTTCTTCTTTTCCCCGCCCTCCTAACTTGTCACCGATCTGCAGTCTAATTTCTCTTTCCTTCTGTTACCCTTCCTTATGGGGAAAAAAATCCCGAGAAAGTGAGGGAGGCTGCTGAACAAGCCTGCTCCTCTTACAGCTGGGCTGTCCCTCCCACCAGCTGTCCTGCGGTCACAATCCTTATGATCCGCTATATGTTAGTGCTTGGTGTATAATGTGTTGGTGCGTGCGTTTAATGTTCATTATTTTTTTCTGGGCATGCAACTATTATTAAACATATTTCAGTAATAGAGACGCGGGTGGTGGGTTTGAAATAACTGGAGGCTTCCTAAACTTTGTCTGCCATCTTGTGGCACATCTTGATATTGCACTAGCCTTTCAGTGAGATGGAGTTCTGGGAATAAATGAGTACAGTATCAGCAAAGCTGTTTTTAGCTGCGTGTATATAATTTAAGATAAATTATATTCGCATTTAAATCGGTTTAGCACAAATTGCTTTTAGAAAATTAACTGATTTTTTCAGAAGAAATAAAACGCATCGTCACAATGACTTTCAGCTAAAAATGACCTCTTTGTCATCTTTTTAATTTTGATCTTTATAAAGTTCTAGATGACCCCCCCCCAGCCATCCCAGGAACTGCAGTTTGTTAAGGGTTCTGAAAGCTATTAGGAGACCACTATTCCCCCCACAGAGCTACAATTCTCATAGTGCTTTAACAATCCCAGGGAACTGTAGGAATTTTAGCTGGGGTGTGTGTGTGTCCTCCTAACAACTCTCAACATCCTTAACAAACTATAGTTCCCAGGGATCTTAAGTGGAAGCCATGGCTGTTTAAAGTGGCATGATGATGCTTTCAATGTATGGCACAGCGAGGACTTGGTCACAAATTTGGCAAATATATGATGTGCAAACTGATTTGAACCTCTTGGACAGGAAACCTGCATCCTCAAAAGACTGGACTTCTTCCAGTGAGGAAGATGGTGGGAAAATGTACTGGAAAGCATGGGAGAACTGTTGCTTAACACAGACCGCCGAGACCACATAACACCCGAGCACAATTCAAAGTGTTGGTGCTGACCTTTAAAGCCCTAAACAGCCTCGGTCCAGTATACCTGAAGGAGTATTTCCATCCCCATCGTTCTACCTGGACACTGAGGTTCAGTGCCGAGGGCCTTCTGGCGGTTCCCTCACTGCGAAGCTGAGTTACAGGGAACCAGGCAGAGGGCCTTCTCGGTAGTGGCGCCCGCCCTGTGGAACGCCCTCCCACCAGATGTCAAAGAGAAAAATAACTACCAGACTTTTAGAAGAAATCTGAAGGCAGCCCTGCTTAGGGAAGCTTTTAATGTTTGATGCATTACGGTATTTTAATATTTTGTTGAAAGCTGCCCAGAGTGGCTTGGGAAGCCCAGCCAGATGGGCGGGGTATAAATACATTATTATTATTATTATTATTATTATTATTAGTCTAATCTCCCCACAAACAAATCAGGGTAAATACACATTAAATCGCCAGTGTTGTCTAACCTTTCTGCAAACAGGTTAGGCTGAACACTCTTTAAGCAAGTAACCTGGAAGTAATCCCTTCCACATCCCACCAAACCTGCAATGTTGCCTCTTGCATTCTGCATCAAGTATCTGCTATCAAGATACAGAGTCCTGTAAAACAAGGTTCCAAGAAGTCCAAGAGAGTTTAAAAGAAACAGAAACTGCCTACATAAATTAGTTGGAAAGGAGGAGTCACCAGATTGCAAAAGCATAAAGGCTGGGTTTCACTCTGCCAGGTACTTCCTTCTACACACCACACCCATTTTATCAGTGACTCTTAATTGAATACTGAAGCAAACGGCAGCATGTTAAAAGGAGAAAGCAACACCATCCTGAAATGTGGTTACACGCTGCTTTTCAAAGATCACCAGTGTTGGGATTATGTGTCTTCACCTGTTTTGTGGCTTGGTGTGTGAGAGCAGGTAAGATAACCAATTACAAGTTCCTCATGTATTTTTGCTATAAGGAAACGAAGCATACATTTCAGACTTTCAGACGGTATTGTGTGAGTCATGATTCTCAGTGCCTGTCAGATTAACTTGACTCCTTCTCAAACAGTACAAAGGTTATTCCTTCGTTGTAAAACAAATAAAGGTGCCTTTGACCTCTGGACAAAAAAATGCAGCTAGATTGACCTTGTGTGGCGAAAGAGAGCAGGAAAAAATAATAATCCCTTGCTGCTGAGATGTAATAGTGTAGCTCTACCGCTGAATATAGTGTATAGTATAGAGGACTGGCTCAGTGATAGAGTATGTGTGTTGTATGCAAATGTTTCCAGAATCAATCCCTGGCACCTACAGTTAAAAGGCTAGAAAGCTGCGGTCAGAAAAGACACCACTGGTTGGATGGACCAGTGGTCTGACTCAGTATAAAGCAGATTCATACAATATAAACATCTCAGACCTTGATTCTTCAGAGAATGCTTATTCAAAAATAAGTTCCATGGGACTTACTCTCAACAAACTATTCTCTCATATGAACCTGCCCAGGCCCTGAGATCTTCAGGGGAAGCCCTTCTCTCGGTCCTGCCACTCTCACAGGCATGCTTGATGGGGACTGGAGAGGGCCTTCTCAGTGGTTGCTCCCTGATTTGGAACTCCCTTTCCAGAGAAGTTAGACTGGCTGCCTCCTTGTTGTCCTTCCACTGGCAGGTGAAGACCTTTTTATTCAAACAGGCCCTTAGGAACTGACTGTTTTGAAGGAAAGAATTAGTGCTGTGATGTTTTTATCATTGTTGCTTTTGAATTTTTAATACATTTTAAAATATTGTTTTATTTTGATTAGCATTTAATTGCTTTTTAATGATTATCTTAATATATTTTTAGCTTTTTCTAACTGTGTTTTTTATCTGCCTTGAGTCTGGGAAGAAGGCTGGAAACAAACAAACCTAGAACAGGAGCCTAAGCATGTCATTTAAAAAAAGTTATTTACTTCTCACATTCAGACAGATCATAAATTATATCTGTACAAAGATATGGGTGTCTCAGACACACAAAATGACAGAATATCAATGTGAGGTTTTGCACTGATGTTGACTGACACTGTGGAACAGTTTATGTTTGCTGTGTTACATTTAACATATTCAAGTTGTATGTGTCCAATGCATTTCTGTATTGTAGTGGTTACATTGTAGGTATTTTCAGCCTGCAGGCATTATCTTTGACACAACAGGAACATTTTATGACAGAAAGGTATTAAAAGCAACCATTCTAACCGTAAAAATGCACACATTATATTAAAAGGACTAACACAGGTTAGGGACGGTGGAACTTTCATTTTTTGTGATAGAGCTTGTTTGAATGACAGTAATTTGAATGCATTTTTAGGTACAAAAGATGAAGAAGATGTAAGCTTGTCATAATGGTAAAACTCATTGAAACATTTGCAAAATATGGCCTGTTTAATCAGATGCTGTGTTGTATTAAACAGAGCAGACTTGGACCAGCCAGCCCAGGTTCAAATCCTTTCTCATGTGAGCTATGATGTTTGCTGGGTGACCTGGGGTAAATTCCAGATTCTGATGCAGCAATAAACCACTAGCACATTTGCAAAGCTAAGCAGGGTCCAGTATGGTTTCAAATTGGATGGGAGACCACGTGCTGAGATGCCTGTATTGCAGGGGGGTTGGACTAAATGACCCTCAAGGCCTCTTCCAATTCTACAATTTTATGAGGCCAAGCTCCTTTACAGGTTTGTTGGGAAGCTAAAACAGGAGAGTAATGAAGTAAACTTCCTTGTAGACTTTGTAGGTCACTGAGGTAAATTGTGTTTTTAAAAAGAATTGTGTTAACTGATCAAGTGTTTTATTTCTCACTTATTTTATCTTTCAGATACAGAACAAGAATGCCCTAAATTTACTGATCTTAACATAGGCAATGCCGTGATTGGTACAGATGTAAAAGTGCAACTGCTTTTGCACACAAGGAGAAACCAAAACTGTGCAGAGATTCTCAGTGAAAACAATCTAACGGCTTCTACACATCTAAATCTGACCAAGCAAACTATTATTATTATTCATGGTTACAGACTTACAGGTTCCCCACCAGTATGGATTGATGAAATTAAAGAGCTTCTGCTTAAAAAGGAAGACAGCAATGTCATAACGGTAGATTGGAATCGGGGTGCCACGACTGTGTATTATCCTAGTGCTGTTAAAAATGCCAAGACAGTAGTAGGAATTTTGAACAATCTTATTGACCAAATGCTGGTAAGGAAGCCAGGGCACAGCAGCCTTCTTACCCCTATCTAATCCAGTGTACTGTCTTATAAGGGTGACAGGACCTTGGTTAGTTCTTGGTAAATGTATCTAGTATAAGGGTGTAATGAGATGTATGAACTTTCACTGTTTGCTTTGCCGTTCACATTATGCTTTTGTGTATATGGAAAATATTTTTGTGCAGAAAAATGTGTGAACTCACATGCAGACTAACACTGCAATAATTGCACGGTTGTAAATGTGCCACAGACCCATGGCCAATCATACTTGCCCAGGATTTGTAAACAGATATAAAAAAAAATGTCTGTGCATGATCTGCATAGCTCTCACACTTTTTTATAACATGAAATTTCTTGCCCTCTAGGAAAAATGAAAATGTGTGAAGTAGCCCTTAGAGCTGAGGCACATCAGCCACAGCAAACTAGCAGCGGCTGCTTTCATGTTTGACGATGCAGTGGCTCCAAACTCCTCCAGAAGCATGCTGCTGAACTTGCTGCCATGTGCAATACTGAACTGTCTTGTACTCTCCCACATTTTGATGGGTCTACAATGGCAAAAAGTAATCAAACCTGGACAGGCTGTAGCTCATTGGAGGAGCTTGACATGCAAAGGGCCTCAGGTTCAATCTTCAGCATGTCCAGCTAGGGCAAGGAAAGACTTCTGCCCCAAATCCCAGAAATCCACTGCTTGTTAAGGGAAATTGTAAACAGTACAGAGCTAGTTCCCCAGGAAAAGGGATTGATTGTTAAATCACTCTGAAAATTGTATCTCTGTTTCCTAACAACTCTCAGCCTCCTTAACAAGCTACAGTTCCCATAATGAATTGGTGGAAGCCATGGCTGTTTAAAGTGGTATCAAAGTGCTTTAAATATATGGTGTGAATGTGGTCATAGTCTCCTTGTTTCCCTTGCTTTACTGCACTGAAGAAAATGGTTGCTCATGCTACGTAGAAATAACCAGAAATATAGTCAATGTGGATATATATTGCCTAGTAATAAATATATGGCATTTTTTGTATTGTTAAAGAGGCAACAAAGGCATTAATTTTTTGCTACAAAGAACTTCCTTTTGAAGTTGCTAAAGAAATTGTTTCATGTCTCATCTTCTCTTGAAAAGCCTTTGGACTTCCAAAGCTGGAACATGGCTATTTAAGAAGGAAGAATAAAAGCTGCTTTGCCCTCTGTGGTTCACATTCCTATAACCTTCTATCCATACATATTTACTGACAGGCAAATGGAGCATCTCTTGACTCTGTTTATATGATTGGAGTAAGCCTTGGGGCTCATATAGCTGGATTTGTTGGGAAGGCATACAATGGCAAAATTCGCAGAATTACAGGTAAGTGTTAAAAACTGGACATTCTGGTGTTTTATTCTCTATTCTCATTCTTGTTTCCCTATGCTGAATGATTCAATTTGTCATAGAAAGCAAACAAAGTCAAGCTGGCTTAGTCACCCAACATAAGGTACAATGCCTGAGGTGGGTTTAAGTGAGTTGGCCATAGTCACGCACATAGTTGAAATTTGACCACCTTCTAAAAGATACAGTTTAAACCAGGGGCAGCCAACATGGTGCCCTTCATATGTTTTGCAGTGCAATTCCCACCAGGTCCAGCCAGCATGACCAATGGTCAGGGATGTTGTGGACATGTAATCTACAACATCTGGCTCTTGTGGTGTTCTGCATTATTTTATAAAAGTATAATGTATGTTTGTGTTTATAAATGTTTTGTGAAAGCTGCTTGGAGATCTTTGGCTAACAAGCAACTAAACAGTCAGATTATTATTATTATTATTAATGTACCAAGTTGGCAACTTCTGACTTAAACAATGAAAAGGCAGCTTCTGGTGACGCCCTTCCTCAGTTTTTAAAGTAGAACCAGTGGAGGTCAGCTGTTGTTTAAAGAAATCTCAGTCAACACTGACCTTCAGCAAACACATCATGAATGCAAAGATGTTCAGGGATATGAAACAAGAGTTTACCACTTTAATCCCAAATACTTGGGTCAGAATTTACAAAGCGTTAAGTATTTTTTAGTTACCTTGAATTCAACTGTTATGACTCTTCAGTGAAAGTGATTGCTGCAATCAGTGGATTTACATTCTCTGATAATCCTGACCTGCATCCTTCTTTCCTTTGGGAGGAGAACGGGCAAATTGGAGAGAAAGCTCATTTGTTTAAATAGTGGGTGTGTTTTATATTACTTTTGTGCTGATGAAGCTTAACAGTTGGGAGGAAGCTTGTTGACTATATACTTGTGTGTTTTATCCTCCTGTGGTCTGCTTCCACTCAAATACTATTTACAGATTCGTATGTACGTACATGTGTGTGTGTACAATTCCTATTATAATAAGCTAATTTTTTCATTTTTCATACCAGGTCTTGACCCAGCAGGGCCATCATTTACAGGAAAGCTGCCCAGTGAAAGATTGGATCACACTGATGCTCAATTTGTTGATGTTATTCATACTGATATTGATGGTAATTATACCATTTTGGATTTCCATTATCCTAATGGAGAATGATTCCCTGCACCCCTAATCTGGTTTGCTGGAAAAAAATAACTATTTCAAGTGTTCTGAAAGGCTTATACATAACCAAAAAACAAAAGCAGTTTTTTATTCTTTTGAAGCAATACTACTGGCTGGTCTTGAATACATACTAGTTCAAACTCAATTCATTCAGGCAGAATTACTTGCACTGTTCATTTGTTCCTGGCCAGTGCAATTAACCAATCTCTGTAAGTATCCCCAGTGGGTTTTGGTGAAAAAAACCAACTGCTTTGAACTCACAGGAAGTCGCGCCTCTTCTTAAATAAAGGGAAAAAATGTAATGTTTATCTTACTAGATTGTTCAGATAAAAACTCTCAAGAATGGCTGATAATTCCAAGCGTGTCTCTGCACAGCATTACAGTCTAAAAAATTGTATGAAACACAGCATTTTAAAAGCCTGGGAAATAAAAAGGGCTTCACCTGGTGCTGAAAAGGAATCAGACTCACTGCCAAGTTTGGCTCCATGAGGAGAGCCTTCCGTGCTTTATGTTTGGTTCCCTGAACAATCTTAGAATTTATCAGGGCTGGCCCAATAATGGCATCTGGCAGGTCATTATGTTTGCCTGAGGAAAGGGCCATCTGCTATTCCAGGGAAAACATGACCAGCCTTGGCCAATTTATAACCCACCTACTCACCCCATGCAAGATACCTGTAGGATGTTCTAGTCAAAGCATTGATCACATAGTTGTCACACACTTGTCACTTAGTTATGTATCACTGGAGCCTGGGGAGTGTCTTGGTTCCAGTTTTTCTGAGCCTGCAGGAACATCCCTCCTCACCATCAACTTCTGTGCATCCATTTGTTACATTTCCATGATATAATCTCATTGGTTGTTATCTTTGTAAATATGAATAATAGTTTTTATTTGTCGTTTTGAACATTCTGACAAATGCATGAGAAAAGTGTTATCATTTATTGTGAAATGACATCTGTATTTTTCCTCACTATGTGTTTTATTTTTCTTAGCTTTGGGCTACAGGGAGCCTTTGGGAAACATCGATTTCTACCCAAATGGAGGAACAGATCAACCTGGATGCCCAAAAACAATATTCAGTGGTAAATACAGATAAATTAAGTCTAATAGATAAAAACATCAGGAAGGGTTATGCTCTGGAGTCAACTGGGTTTTCACAAACCAACTGGCAAATATATTAGCATCATTAAATAAAATAATATTTATTTAAATAAATATTTCCTGGCAGGATGTTGGAATGGTCCTCCTGACTGATATTCTTTACATCCACCCTTTATGGTGTCATTCTCTTTTTTGAAGCGAAAAGACTGCACCAATTTTAATATATAGGTTTCACCTTGAGGTGGGACTGCTGCTTCTAATTAAGGTTTTCTCCTATGGTTGGAAAAGAAACTTTACAGTCTTTTCTATGCATTGTACTTTAATTATGTACTCTGCAATACTAGAAAATGGAATTGGTTGGGTTTTGAAGCTGAGTTACAGTGTGTGATTTCTGTGGTGCAATGGGCCAATGTGTCTGACTGTTAACCAGAAAGTTGGTGGTTTGAGCCCACCCAGGGATGGCTGTGGTCACATATTCTCAGTGGTGGTTATCCCTATGGATCAGAATATAGACTAGGGGTGAGACTTGCTATATAAAACACAGAGCTTCTTTTGAGTTGGCTATTGTGTCCCATGATGGGAATCTGTGCAAGAACTGATTGTAGGAAAACATAAAATGATGCAAAAGTCAGATTTGTCACTTTAAAACATAATACTGTTTAGTACACGTGCCACCGCTATTTCACAAGCAGCCTTTTTTTTTTGTAAGATTCACATTAATTTGGCAAGCTTTTATATATGCTTAGATGACAACCTAGTCTTACACTGATAATCAGTGCTTCCCCCCCCCCCAACAAAATGTTTAGGGGTACTCTCATTTTGACTCAAGAAAATCACCATTTTATACTTCAAATCGGGAAAAATAAATACAGTAAATGGACAAAAGTACAAAGATTCACAAAATGTTTAGGGGTATGCGTACCCCTGTGTCCCCCCAGAAAAAAAATCATGGCTGATAATCTGTAAAAGGAAAATATTGATTGGACTTAAAATGTTGTTGCTTAATAATATTAGTATTGCTTTTATAAAACTAACATTGTATTGCTTCATTGTTTCTTTTGTAACACTTTCTCTACTTTAAGGCACTCAGTATTTAAAATGTGATCATCAGAGATCTGTTTTCTTGTACATGGCATCCTTGAAACAGAATTGTAATGTAACTGGATACCCTTGTGACTCGTACGTAAATTATAAGAATGGAAAATGTGTGCACTGTGAAGCTTTTCAGCCACTCCCATGTCCAGTTTTGGGTAAGAGCTATTAATTATCCTGCAAGTGGAAACAGCACGCTATGGATAATTTCCTGGTTGTGCAATAATGAAGATACTAGCTGTGCACAGATAATTAAACATTAGCTTAATAGACCAGTTATATGCATGTATTTCATACACTTGCACAGCACCCCTTTACTTCTGCTCCGCTTCTGGTGCAAACCAAGAAATCAAACCAGGAAGTAACTGTACTTCCTGTTACACATGAACCAGGAATTACTGTTGATGTCTTCCAAATAGGTTCTAAGTTACCTTCTGAATCTGACTTGTTTTGGGGATCTTCTTGTCCTTATGGTTTGCACAAGACAAAAGAAAAGCAGTTAAGCCAACTAATCCAACTGAACTGAGGGCAATTGTGGCTACTCTCTGAGTACTCTTCTTCACCACACCATCGTCTGCATGGGGCCACAAGCTTAGTAAATCAGTAAAGCAAGATGACTAATAGTGAAATAAGACAGAAAGGAATGCACATATATATTATATTATAGCTGGAGTGACAAAGGAGCCAAAGTGTAATCCATTTTCCTGTGCATAAACTCACTGACTGTAATAGAACTCAGCGTGCATTACTTGAGTCTAAGTTCTTATGAGCTGATGTTAGTTTTGATTTCCCAGAACGTTATATAACAAAAACCAATCTTCATGATTTTTATCTTTCCTTTGTTTGTTAATTTTCTGCTGAACACATTCCAATTTAAATTTCAGGTTATTATGCTGATAAGTGGAAGGACCGTTTAATTGAAAAGAACCCTCCTGTGACAAGAGCTTACTTTGATACTTCAGACAAAGACCCATTCTGCAGTAAGTGATTAACCATTCTCTGTACCCTTTCTCCAGTTTTCATTATCTAATAACATTATGAACAAACCGCTTTTTGCTGTACAGATAGCATGGCACACTCTTGATGAAACTTCGTTCTCTGTTGCTGTATTGTTTATGCTCAGAAGATCTATGTGTAGGAAGGGGAAAACGCTGAAAACAGGAAATTATCTGGGCACCTGGTAAAAGATGACAAATGAGCTGGAAATGAGATTCAGCTGGATTTGCATTGGATAATCAGAAAAAAATATTAATTTAAGAATTACAAAGAAAGAGAAGCAAGTTAGCTAGGTGCTTGCTCCAATGCATTGCATCATGATTTGTTATGTCAATGTGATTTTCAGATGCTCACATTTCTGTGGGTTTGAAAATTTGAGAATTTGATGTGTGTCAGCCAATCCTTGCATGCTACATGGAGTCTGAAACAGGGATTTGGGGGATTACAGTATCATCGCCACAGTATTTCTTGTACATATAACCAGTGCTATTTTTCTAGAAAAAGAGGTGCCAAAGCTCACCACGAACTTCTCCCTTGTTCTCTTAGAATGGCAATGGCACCCGTTTACAATATGCATAGTAAGCATAAAACACCACCACATCATGAGCTGAATACTAGCATTTTAAAACCATCTAACTTAATATTAAGTGCCTTTGATAGTATTAAAATCACAGATATTAGACCTACATTCTGTAATACAATATTACAACAATACAATGCTTCAAACATTTAGTTTTGCTTTCTCAGTTAGCATGGACCTATTGTTATCTTTTCTCTCTCTTGGCAATCTTGATTGGTGTTTACACAACAAAGGGATTTTAATGGCACTTAATAGTCTGATTTTTTTTTCACCCATCAAAATCTGAGGGAGGGACAGTTTGGAGATGGGGAGCTAGGTACAGAACAGATGGTTTTGAACTCTGGCTGAACCGGATGCAGCTTGGGGGTTGAAGAAGTTCATGTTGCTCTCTGGGAATTGAAGGCAAGATCAGTGGTTTGGATGCCTGCCACCGGACACTATTTGCTTCTACTATGCTATGTTTGCAGTGTATGTTTCCTTTACAAATACAGTGGTACCTCGGGTTACATATGCTTCAGGTTACAGACTCCGCCAACCCAGAAATAGTACCTCAGGTTAAGAACTTTGCTTCAGGATGAGAACAGAAATTGTGCTCTGGCTGCGCAGCAGCAGCGGGAGGCCCCATTAGCTAAAGTGGTGCTTCAGGTTAAGAACAGTTTCAGGTTAAGAACGGACCTCTGGAACGAATTAAGTACTTAACCCGAGTTACCACTGTATGCAAAGAGATCACAAGTCTCAAGAGTGCTCTCAAACTGAAATCCCTGGCCATAGCACCACTTGGGGAAGGGTAGCTGAGGTTATTTTTTGCTGAGCACAATATTTTATTGCATTAAGTTACCTTTCTTTCCTCCTCTCCCTTCAGTGTATCATTACTCTGTGGATATTATTACCTGGAACAGAAATAGTAGGAGAGGTTTCATAAACATCAAAGTAACAGATGATGCTGGAAATACAACAGAATCCAAAATTAATAGGTGGGTCTTATTTTAGTCAATCTTTTCTTTATAGAAGTCACTTCAGCCATAAGTATACCTAAGTCCCATTGAGATAAGTGATACTTATTTCCCAGTAAATTGCATTTGGAATGAAGTGCCAGTTTGAAGATAAATATATAGAAACACTGCAAAATACAAATAGTTGTGTCTGTTTTGTCTTTTAATCAGTGTGATGCAATGGCAAAGGTGCTGGCCTAAAGAAAAATAAGCATGTCTTATTAGTGTTGATGAGTTTGCAACCTGGCTTTGTTCCAATAAATATGGCAGGTTCAAAGCTAGGAAATAATACCAGGCATATAAGGAACGCCAAGAACATAACTGGTGTTTTTCTCTTATTGATTACGTGTGTATGAGAAAGCATGCCTAGTTGAGAATGAATATACAGGATGCTTGACATTTCCCCCATCTGCTGGTGCCCCTCTATTTTAAATGTCTTTCTTCACCACCACTCAGGCCAGGCTCAGAAGACTGGCTATTTTTGCTGCCTGCCTGGGATTGCAATCCTTGCAACAAGCAAGGATTATCAGCTGGCAGACATGGGTGGGAGGCTGTGTTTGGTTTGCAGAGCCACAAGTTGTAAAGACGCAGAATAGGTGTTGAACTAATAATGTGTCCTGATATCTCCTTAGCGGAGCAGCTGCATTTCACCAATATAGACAAGCCCATTTGCTTGCTGGATTTGACGTGGATTTCGACAATGTATCCAAAATAGCCATGACATTTTCTACAAGGAATGCAATAGGCCCCAAGTACAAGCTTAGGGTCCTCCAAATGAGATTAAAATCTCTTTCAGATCCCCAAAGGTAAGTATATAGTTTTTCTTGCAACCTAACAAAACCTGTATTGATTGCCTTATTTGGAAGCCTCTGTGTGAACACCTTTTTATGTATAGGCCTTAACATGACTATTAATAATGCCAACCTTATAAGCAGAGGACCGTAGCAGTTTGTATGAGATCTAACTTTGATTTCAGCTGCAGAATTCTTCCTTTTATAATGCTCTTTAGCACATAGTTCTTACGAGGATCAGGAGATGACTGAAAGGTGGAGAAATTTTATACAAATGGGCCAGGGAACAAGTTATTGGGAGCATGTTGCACAATGGCAATAGGACAACATGACTATAACCTGATTGGACCTGGAGCAGAAATTTCAAAAAAGATAGCTGAGCAGTCCATCAAGGTCTTCTGCTCAATAACAGCATGGACCATGGGGTGCTGTAGAACAATGGCAGGGAACCTGCAGTCATCCAGATGCTATTGGACTCCAAATCCCATGAGCCCCAGCTAGGATGGCCTATGGTCAGGGATGATGGGAGTTGTAGTCCAGCAGCACCCTGAGAGCCACAGTTTCTTACGCCCTGCAGTAGAGGGTGGTTAGGTAGTACGAGAATAGTATTGAAATGAATAGCCCCCATGCCACCAGAGTAGTATGTGCACATGCATGCATAACAGGCAGCTGAGCTGCAACACCAAGCTAAAGACTGTGCAAGTGGTCAGTGAGAGTATTGCTGCATGCACCCCCATCTCTGAGTAGTGAGGGACTCTAGAGGTTCCAACACTCACCTGGGGTTCCGCTTCCTTGGAATGAAGGTTAGTGGATATCTGGTTTTATTTGAACATATATTTGAGTGGAGCACAGGATTGAAGGGCTCATTCAGCACAGCAAGGAAGTCAAGTCCTTCTCTCCAGTTTCCAGCCAAACTTGCACTAACTCTGCTATAGTTCTCCTACTTACAATATGATGTTGCTGGAACTAAGTGGGGGGCTGGGGAAAGATGCCTACTCCCTCCTGAAGAACACCACCTCTCAGTTGTCTTCATAGCAACATGGCCTGCTCTTTTAGATTCTAATCAGGTTGCTTAGCTGGCCCTAGCTGGGGTCATTAGCTTACAAAGAGTCTGGTTTGACCAGTTCAGCAGGTCCCCAGTCTACTGCGACCCCCATCTCACAAATACTGCATAACATGCTTGTTTGGGACCTACCGGCAACATCTAAACCAACAACAAATCCTTTGTTTGGTGGGATACAGTATGGTGGGATAATAATACAAAAAGGGAAGATTGTACATATTTGTTAATGCCATCTTGGGCCAGGGTTTCATTCTAAATCTCACAGCCAGGCTCAGGTCATGGTAGGGGGAGCTGTGACTGCTCGAAAAATAATTTCCTTAGCCAATTACCTTTGCATTCTGCGCAGCATTTTGTATACTCCACTAGACTTTCTTTAGTCCTAACTATTACTTGCTTCAGGCATGAATTCATTGGCCACAATCCAGCAGAGAATTAGACATACCTAAATTCCATTCATTTCAGTGACACTTAAGTGTGCATTGGATTGTGACCACTAAGATTTTAGTTCTGTATATGCTTCATATGGACAGCAGGTGAACTTATTTATATACTTATTTAACTTATTTAAGCGTATATTATGTGATTTGTATTGTGTGTGTATGTTTTGTTGTTGTTGCTCATATACAATTATGCAAGTCTGGCTGGAATGACAATTGAATTATTACATTGCACAAAGTTCCTTATTACACAATCATAAGCTATAATTGCATAATTGCGTCTTGCAGTTGGGTAAAATATGTGAAATTGATGTGAACACACACATATGGCTTCTGTAGTTATTCATCATTACTGTAATTGCATAAACACTCAGAGATATGTTAAAAACAACAGTACTTAACCAAGCTCTAAATGTTAATTAAATTAGAACAAAAATAGATAAGGAATTGCACAGGCATGAAAGAATAATGCTCCGAAAATTATATTAATTTGTGATCTGCCAACAGTATCAAGTACAAAGCGGAAAGGCACTGGAGGAAGAGCTAACACAACCTCCCTCTCTCACCACAATGTACTTGGAAAAAAAGCCTTGAGGAAAGGACCGTCAGGTCACATGACTCCTTTTTGTGAGTGCTTTGTGGAAGAGGCGTTTCCCCAAGAACACTTCACTATGCAAATATTGGTGGGAAATGTTTGAGCTGACTATCAACACCTCAAAAAATAGTAATGTGGATCAGCTCTCCAATTGTACAGTGCAGGTGCAGCATTATGAAAAAAATTGATATATAAAACAACTCCTCCCTGCACATCCTTGTCATCTTGATTTGGCCCATTTGTGGTGTATTTAGGAGAACATTCCCAGGTGATCTTAAAAATCATGGTAGAACCCGGGGGTGGGGGTGGGGGGGTGGATACATGGAATTGCACTGCCATTGTGCATGCTGGCTGACCTTCCAGTGACCACTCAGAAGCTCAGTTTGAATACATGGGGGGATCATTTGAGAGTTTAAACCAACAAGTATCCCTGAGAACTGACACCTTTAATTAGAATAATAAAAGAAGGCTCAGGTAAAAAATTTCAAAGCCTAGGTGGCTTCTAAGTAGTTTGCAGGATTAAGAGCCTCCTAATACTACATACATTATATGTAAAAGTGCTTTAAATAGGCAAGTGAGCATGCACTATATAATCTAGCAGGTCTGTGTGTGGCTTAGTATGGAAAAGAGAAGCAGAAGGGGAATAGATAGGAGCTGCATCCTATTAATAGAGGATTTGAAGGTGGCAATTTTGCAAATAGGGGGCCTCTGGTGCAAAAGGTGGACAACTGCTAAATATAGGAAAGCAGTCTGAGGGAAGGTTGCAATTAAGAAACAGGCTGAAATCTGTAGTGCAGTTCAAAATGGAGTACAGTGGTACCAAGTGTGAGACTGAACGAAGAGGAAGACCTGAAGATGGCAAAAAAACCCCCCACCTTTTCAGAGGTCAAACACAGTGCCTAGCTGTTATGTGTCATCCCCAAATATATGGAATAGGGAGTTTTCTTGCCTTTCTGAGGCTGGAATGAAGACATCTTCCAATTTAGTTATGGTATGTAGTTACCGTATTTTTCGCCCTATAGGACGCACCGGCCCATAGGACGCACCGGCCCATAGGATGCACCTAGTTTTTTTTGGGGGGGGGGAAATAAAGGGAAAAAAATTTATTCCCCCCCCCCCCAGCCGCGGATATCTGCCCGAAGCGCGGGACGCTCTGTTTCAGCGCGCCCCGCGCTCCGGGCAGCAGGCTGCGGATGTGTGCCCAAAGCGCGGGGCGCTCTGCTTCGGCGCGCCCCGCGCTCCGGGCAAGCAGGCTGCTATCCGCAGCCTAGGGAGCCCTGCGGGAACTCCTGCGGGCTCCCCAGGCTTGCTGATAGCTTCCTGAAGCCTGGAGAGCGAGAGGGGTCGGTGCGCACCAACCCCTCTCGCTCTCCACGCTTCAGCAAAAGCCTGCATTCGCCCCATAGGATGCACACAGATTTCCCCTTCATTTTTGGAGGGGAAAAAGTGCGTCCTATAGGGCGAAAAATACGGTATATGGGTGGAGAGCAGTGCATTTTTCAAAAGCATCTTCAAAACAAAACAAAATAGATTAGGTAGTCTTTCTATTGATAATATATTACCTCACTTTTCTCTCTACAGGATTCAGCTATGTAGGTATGATTTTGTTCTGCTGGAAAATATTGAAATGACCTTCAGACCTATTCCATGCCATTGATATTGAAGTGTGAAACAATAGCATCTTTCAAACCTGCCTGCGTGCATTAAGCACAGACAGCACCGAGAAGTGGCATAGAGTTAAACTTGCTCCCTTCAAGAAGGTTGAACTTTCAAAGATTATGGCTCAGATTAAGGATCAGTGAACTGCTACAAGAAAATCAAATAATTTTGATGCATAAAGATGTGTATGCTACCAGCAATCAATTTCTAATTAACAAGAGGAAAATCGATACTGTGAATCATATTCTGTGTAGACTTAGACTACTGTCTTGCACACAATGCTGCTGATGTCCCATTGAAATTATAATTTCATCCCTATGTGCTTAGCAAAGCACATGAAAACATTGGGTTGTATCCAGCTAAGTTCTGCTCATAGTGGATCCACTGAAATTAATGCACATTTCCATGAATTTCAGTGGGTCTTTTCTGAGTATGGCTTGTTGGAATTCAAGCCTCTATCGGGAGAAGCTGGCAACCCTCCCAGGCACCTGGCTTGAGTTCCGATGACCTCCCTGGCTGCATTCCCCAGCAAACTCAGGCTAGGTCTCTATAGGCGACCCTTCCCAGTGTGGGAAGAGCACACCCACTCTTTCCTGCTCCCCCGGCAGGGGAAAGAGATAGTCAGAAGCGTCTATTTACATGGTTTTATTTCTGACTCTTCAGCATCACATAAAACGTGTCTGCTCACTTCAGACATCGGCAAACAAGTGAGTAAGACTTCCTGTACAATCACAAGAGGAAAGTCTCAAATTACACTCTGAGCAATTTCCGGTAAACTGCCCTGTGATCTGACTGGAACGCTGTTTCCCACAGTCAGCTCCATCACATGATATCAACAAGCTAGATGTCTGCAGCTGCGATGAGCTCATATTCTGACATGGCTAACATTGAATGGATTCCCCCTTTTCCCCCACAATAAATTTCATGTCGGTAGAGGATGAGACTTTTAATCTCAGGGTTGTGGGTTCAAGTCTCTCGTTGAGCAAAAGATTCCTGCATTGCAAGGGGGTTGGACTATATGACCCTCGTGGTCACTTCCATCTCTACAATTCTATTATTCTGTGACTGTATGTTAGACAAATGTAACGGCTTTTAACAGCAAATGTGGTAGTGCCAGAAATCAGGAAGATAAGATCGCTGAGATTATTCTTTGGGTCTGTGCATTATTGGAAAAGGCCTTGTTGGTGGAGAGAACCACATTGTGCACATTGGAGACCACAGCCTCACAAAAGCCAGCTAAACTTGAGACTATAAAATGGATCAAGTTGCTACTTTGGGATATTAGAAATGATTAAAACCAGACAAAGAAGCAAAAGTTTAGCCCCTTTCAGGTGTTTGAAACCCATAGATATGGAATGCATAAAGGTGCTATGTGGAATGCATAAGCTAATCCTTTCCCCTAATTGCCAGTGCACATGCCAGCCATAGACTCTGGCTGTTCACCCAGCTGGAGGATATGTCCCCTGTTCAAGGATAGGAAACCTTTTCCAGCCTGAGGGCCACAGGCAAGAGGAGGGTGCAGTGCAAGGCCAGTAAAAAGTGTGTTCTGGGAAGAGGGAATGTGTCCTGCAGGGAGTCCTAATGGCCAGGGAGAAAGAGGCCTGGAGTTTCCGTCCCCTAGACCAGCCTGTATGTTCCAGTTAGCCCACCATGTCTGCAGTTCCTAAACAGGCATCTAACAGGGACTCATATATTCTTCAGCATGTGAATATTATGATTTTAATGTACATTTAATAAAGATTTGTTTATTTCAAGCGGTGTGCAAGTTGCTACTTAAAATGTGATACATTTAATGGAGCACACTTGAAGTACATTTTTTCAGGAATGTGGAATTTTGGGAGTTGTAGTTTGTTTAAGGTGTTGAAAGTTGTTAAGAGACTCATGTCCGTCCATCCCACACTCACTCCCTGAGCTACCATTCCCAGAGTGGTTTAATAATGAATTCCTCTTCATGGGGAACTCTGGAAATCATAGCTCTGTAAGGGGAATAGAGGCATCCCAAACAACTGTCAGCACCCTAAACAAATCACAGTTTGGGGGAAGCCATGACTGTTTAAAGTGGTAGAAAAATGCTTTAAAGATATGGTATTGATATGACCATTAAACATATGGTGTTGATGTGACCAGAGCTTCTGTAATGGTTGGTGGGTGTGATCAGGAGGAGGGCAATGATATGAGCAATAAATTTGAATGTTGGGCTGTGACTTACATATGCTCACTTTAGTCTTGTGGCATCTTAATGCTACTTAGCTCTGATAATGTGGGAAGTGTGCTTATATATTAGCGTGTTGCTGTGGCAACAGGCTTCCTATGGGCAACCTTTTGTTGCTGTTGCAATATTGTATGCAGCCCTCATCTACAGAACATGGTGTGGGTTTTGAACGATGAAGATTTGACTTTCTTATCTCTTCAGAGGCAGGTAGAATCACAATGCATAGCCCAGGAGCAGAGCCAAATGGAAGTGTGGCCAGTACTCGGAATTTGTCCCAACTTTGCTGAAATTCCAGACCACAAAGCTTAGGATCAAAAACCTCAACCCTATCTGTAGCACAACTGGAATTTGGCAGCAGCCCTAATTCTTAATTGATTTTTTTTAAAAAATGAAGTTTAGTTCCATTTTAGCCATAATGGAAGGTGTTTGCTCATCTGAAGACAGTATATCCCAGGAGTAAATGTAGAATCTGTAGCTAGTTTGTTGCAGCAATAACGAAGAGACCTCATTAGCACTTATTTGCAGAAAAGTACTTAAACCTGTTCTGCTTCCATATGCTAAAGGGCTTGGGAAGATTGTGGCAGTGATTTATATTAACATTTTACAAGGGAAGTGGAAAGGGACATATATGACAATATTATTGCAAGTAAATTTATTATGCCAAAATCTCCCCCCTCACCCGCAATTTTTTAAAAAAGAGTCAAAATATAGTCTTAGACAAATCTATGTTTTGTTACAGCGAAAAGAGAACAAAAAGTTTCACAAGAGTTATGAATGAAGCTCATTCTTTGGTTGATGAGTGTTAACTGGCATTGAAAGGGAATTAAGCATAACATGAAATATATTAGGATAATTATGCTCCTACACTCTTCATTTCAAGGAGTGATGCATAGTAAACTGTCTGGCATGATTGTATCATGCCAGGTCATAGCTCATTTTGCTGCACACAGCACATGAACCAGAATTTATTTCCCAAAGAGTCACACTGTGTTCATAAAAAGGCTTTAGGGGTAAAACAAAACAAAACACACAATACCCTATGCCTAACATCAACAGTTAGTATGATCAGGCACCTTAATAGGTGGATCACTATCAACTAGACTCTGGCTGCTGCTTTATTTTCACCACTCTCACTAATAGAGATCTACCTTCTGGATTCAATCCTCAGTATATATAGGGGATGTGAGCCAGGGAGCAGGTAGCTGGTGCCTTTCAGGACTGTCACTGCCCTTTTAACTCTTTAGAAAGATTCCTGCGTAAGCTTCGCAGTCATGGGAGAAGTCTTACCTGATAAGAGGAGATGTCTCCTCTCCTCGTATGTGTCAGACAGTACCATTCAAAACAGCCACAGAGCTGTTTAAAATATAACATTGGAAATTCTGCTCGAACATGACTTTCATTATGAGCGTTCTCTAAGGCAAAGGCAAACTTGGCCCTCCAGATGTTTTGGGACTACAACTCCCATCATCCCTAGCTAACAGGAACAGTGGTCATGGATGATAGGAATTGTACTCTCAAAACATCTGGAGGGCAGAGTTTGCCTATGCCTGCTCTAAAGCAATACAGTGGTACCTCGCAAGACGAATGCCTCGCAAGACAAAAAACTCGCTAGACGAAAGGGTTTTTTGTTTTTTGAGCTGCTTCGCAAGACGATTTTCCCTATGGGCTTGCTTCGCAAGACAGAAACGTCTTGCAAGTTTGTTTCCTTTTCTTAACACTGTTAATACAGTTGCGACTTGACTTCGAGGAGCAACTCATAGAACAGCGGTGTGGTAGCCATTTTTGAGGTTTTTAAAGACTTTGGTGATTTTTGAAGCTTTTCCAAAACTTTCCCGACACCGTGCTTCGCAAGACGAAAAAAATCGCAAGACGACAAAACTCGCGGAACGAATTAATTTCGTCTTGCGAGGCACCACTGTACTTGTAATGTGTTCTTTAAAAAAACACGATGTCTGAGTGGTTTGATCTATTCTGTCTTTGGTTACAACAAGCTGGAGAAGTGGCTTCCTCACTTCTTTGAGACATGATTGCAGCTTTTTAATATACTTTAAAAATAGAATTTGATATTTAAGGAGATGGTTGACTGGAGCTAAGCAGCAGGGGGTGATCACTACTTCCGTGCTATATTCATGAGCTCCCAAACACTTCTGGATGGCCACCATTCTAAACAAAAGGAATAATGATCAAAATGAACATGGAAGGAGGGAGGGGACATAATAAAGGTCCACAAAATTATGCAGGGTGTGGCAAAATTCGATAGAAGATCTTCTTCATCTTTCATAATACTAGTACCAGTATCTAATGAAGCTGAATGATGGAAGATTCAGCAAAAGCAAGAGGGAGTTCTACATTCACTGTTGAAGGAAGGATACCTTTGTATAGCAGTTGCTGGAAATCACAAGTGCTGTCTCACAAGAGACAGTGCTGTCCCCACCCTCAGATCCTACCTCTGGGTTTCCCATTCACATCTAGTTGACCACTGTGAGAACAGGTTTATATCAAGTGACATCCAACTGCATCTGTCTGCAAGGGAAATAGACTTCCACTCACACAAAAGGAATTCTTTCCCTCAGAGGCATAGCAAGGTCAGGTGGTACCCGGTGCAGAATATTTTGTCACCCCCCCCCATCATCAGCTCGGGATAGGCTTGGGAATCGTGGGTGGGTGGCATGCCAAATGTCACCCCCCTCAGTGATGACACCAGGGGCAGTCCGCCCCCTGCCCCCCTTCCTATGCCTCTCCTTTCCCTGAAACCCTGTTGACCTCCACTTCAGCAGGACTCCTCTTCTTCTTAGGAAGTATTTCTTCACACAGTGAAGGGATTCACTACCACAAGGTGTGGCAATGGCCGCCAGATTAAATGGCTTTGGAAGGGGACATATCCGTGGAGGATAAGAATATCGAAGCTACTTGTCATAATGGTCATATTATACCTCTGAATACCAGGTGCTATTGTGTGTAGGATTTGAAGAGTGTTTAGATGGCCAGTGAGAGCAGAATGCTGGGCTAGAGAGGCCTGTGGTCTGATCCAAAGCAGCTTATATGGCACTGGTCTTTTAATCCAGGGATGGATATTCTTGGGAACAAAACATACATGTGTTTTATTCTGTGTATTTAGTACCAAACGCCTCAGAGAACAGTTAAAAGAAGACAATAAGAAAGTTCTCACAATGCACAGGGGAGGGGAGGTCCCTGCCCCCAAATATACCCATTTATTTTAAAATGTTTTATTCCATACAAAATTATATGGATAATAAAACATGGACTCCAAAGTACAAATTATACAATGAAAGAGAATGATTCCTTTTTAACAAATTAAAGCTCTTCTGTCAGAAGAGGGCAGCCTTTTCACATATATTGTAAACACAACAAAACAGAAAACATCCCCTTAAATTATTCCCTTCATTCAGATTCAATATGCCACAAACAATTGTGGAAAGGAGATGATTAGAAACATTAAACCCAATCTACCTGATTGTTAACAGATTGCATTCTTGTTAATTCTTTCTGTTCTCAGCAGAAGACATGATTATAACTATTCGGCAAGGTGAGTGTGTCTTTTTGCTTTGTTCATGTCATAACAGACTTCTTCCTCCCTAAAGCTAAACTTAAGAGACAAAGCCACTTTCAAGAATCAGAAGTATAAATAAATAAAAGCTGACATGTCGTGAAGGAATGATCTTATTGCAGCAAAGGCTTGGTGTGGCAAAGCAGATGAGCCTAGTCACACAGCCAAAAGTAGGAGATCAAAGAAGCATCACCACCATACTTTACAGGAATATGTACATAAGGGTGAGTGTGTGTGAAAGAGAGACAATTTATTTATTTAATTTACTTTTTATTATCTTATTTATTACATTTATATTCCATCTTTATAAGTTCAAAATAGTTTGCATGGCCCCTCCCATTTTAGCTTCACAACAGCTCTCTGAGGTAGATTCAGGTAGGTAGCCGTGTTGATCTGACACAGTAGAAATATATATACCGTATTTTTTGCTCTATAAGACTCACTTTTCCGCTCCTAAAAAGTAAGGGGAAATGTGTGTGCGTCCTATGGAGCGAATGCAGGCTGCGCAGCTATCCCAGAAGCCAGAACAGCAAGACAGATTGCTGCTTTCACTGCACAGCGATCCCTCTTGTTGTTCTGGCATCTGAAATTCAGAATATTTTTTTTCTTGTTTTCCTCTTCCAAAAACTAGGTGCGTCTTATGGTCTGGTGCATCTTATAGAGCGAAAAATACAGTATATATAAATGTCCAGTAGCACCTTAGAGACCAACTAAGTTTGTTCTTGGTATGATCTTCCGTGTGCATGCACACTTCTTCAGATACACTGAAACAGAAGTCACCAGACCTTTATATATAGTGAGAGGGTGGGGAGGGGTATTACTCAGAAGGGTGGTGGGAATGGGTATGCTATCAAATGCCAACAGTGCCCTTCAGCTCTCTATATTGGACAAACAGACCAAACCCTACACCAAAGGATAAATGGACAAAAATGTGACATCAGGAATCACAAGACAGAGAAACCAGTAGGAGAACACTTCAGTCTCCCAGGACATTCTATACAAGATCTCAAAGTAGCTGTCATATTACAAAAGAATTTCAGAAATAGACTGGAAAGAGAAGTTGCTGAATTACAACTTATTACCAAACTTAAAACCATGGAGAGACCTGGTCTGAATAGAGACATTGGATTCTTATCTCATTATACATGATAAAGCTATTTTTGGTCATCTCATCCCTTGCTTTTTCCTGTAAGGGCAATTGCAGTCGTTAACAGTCGTCAACACCTATCAGCCAATCACCCATTCCCACCACCCTTCTGAGTAATACCCCTCCCCACCCTCTCCCTATATATAAAGGTCTGGTGACTTCTGTTTCAGTGTATCTGAAGAAGTGTGCATGCACACGAAAG